TGGGAGGTCGAGTCTAGCTGTGTCACCCAGGCCGGAGTGCAGTGGCACAATGTCAGCTTACTGCAACCTTTGCCTCCCGGGGTTCAAGTGATTCTCCTGCTTCAGCCTCCCAAGTAGCTGGGATTACAGGCGCCTGCCACCATGCCCAGCTACATTTTATATTTTTAGTAGAGGTGAGGTTTCGCCATGTTAGCCAGGCTGGTCTCAAACTCCTGACCTCAGATGATTTGCCCACCTCGGCCTCCCAGAGTGCTGGGATTACACGTGGAGGCACTGTGCTCAGCTGGCTTCTTTTTTAATGTAAGTGTGTACAGCTACAAATTTCCCTCATAGCACTGCTTTTGCTGCATCCTGTAAGATGTGATGTTTTGTCTCAAGATACTTTCTAATTTTCCTTTTTTTTTCCTTTGATCCACTGGTTTTATATATGTTGTTTAGTTCCCACATATTTGTGGATATTTCAGTTTTCCTTCTATTATGATTTCAGTCATTTAAAATGTATTAAATCTTGCTTTGAAGCCTAACATACAATCTTTGCCCAAGAACATTCCATGTGTACTTTTGAAGAATGTGTATTCTGCTGTTGGGTGAAGTTATCTGTGTGGTAGGTCCAACTGGTCTATAGTATTATTCAAGTACTTTGTTTCCTTCTTGATCTTCTGTCTGGATGTTTTATCCATTATTGAAAGTGAGGTATTGGGCCGGGTACAGTGTTTCAGGCCTGTAATCCAAGCACTTTAGGAGGCCAAGATGGGTGGATCACTTGAGGTCAGGAGTTCGAGACCAGCCTAGCCAACATGGTGAAACCCTGTCTCTTCTAAAAATAGCTGGGGCTACTCAGAGGCACAAGAATCACTTGAACCCAGGAGGTGGAGGTTGCAATGAGCCGTTATCATGCCACTGCACTCCAGCCTGGGCAAGAGTGAGATTCCATCTCAAAAAAATAAAGTGAGGTGAAGTCTCCTACCATTATCATAGAATTATCTATTTCTCCTTTCATTCTACAGTGTTTGCTTCATATATTTAGGAGCTTTGAGGTGTGCTGCATGTACATTTATAACTGGTGAATTGACTGTTATCGTTATCTCTTATAACAGCTTTTGACCTTAGGTCAATTTTGTCTGATATTAGTATAGCTACTCCTTCTCTTTTTTCATCCTTTCACTTTCAACCTATGTGTAAGTCTCTTAGTCTTTTGATTGTGGAATTCATTTGTATTTTTAAAGATTATCATTCTGACGCAACTCACTAACCTGGTGACTGTGTCATGAGGCCCACAGCCAAGGACTGTGGTGAGCAGTTGCTGTGGGAGGACGCGAGCACACTACTTACGGGACTTCCCGATGGAGAAGGACTTCCTGGTGCCATGCCGTTAATTGTTTTCTGCATGGCTTATGGTTTGCTTTCTCTCTCATTTCGTCCCTTTGTGTCTAATTGATTTTTTTTTTATTGTGACACACTTAGAATTCCTTCTCATTTCCTTTTATGTACATTCTGTAGATATTTTGTCATTACTAAGGGGATTACATGAAGCATCCTGAAGTTATAGCAATCCATTTTAAACTAGTAAGTACGATCACATACAAATACCCTACTCTTTGACAGCTGTGCCTCCCTCCTACGTTGTTGATGTCACAAATTACATCTATTTTTAGAGACAGGGTCTCACACTGTCACTCAGGTTGGAGTACAGTGGCATTATCATAGCTCAGTGTAACCTCAAATCCCTGGACTCAAGCAATCCTCCTGAGTAGCTGAGACTACAGGTGCATGCCACCATGCCTAATTTTTTTCACTTATATATTTAACAGATTTATAGTTATAAATCTTTTAAATGCAATAACAGATGTGAATCAAAATTACAATACAGGTCTTGATATGTGGCCTCAAATTTCCACCTAGCATTTTTTTTTTTTTTTGACTTGAAGGACTCCCTTTAGCATTTCTTGCATAATGAACTCCCTCAGCTTTTGTTTATCTAAGAATATCTTAATTTCTCTGGTCGGGCACCAGGCAGGCAGATCACGAAGTCAGGAGTTCAAGACCAGCCTGGCCAACATGGTGAAACCTCATCTCTACTAAAAATACAAAAATTAGCCAGGCATGGTGGCGTGCACCTGTTAATCCTAGCTGCCTGGGAGGCTGCACCACTGCACTCCAGCCTGAAGGACAGAGCAAGACCCTGTCTCAAAAAAAAAAAAAAAGTATAAAAAGCATCTTAATTTCTCTTTTTCTTATGAGAGTTCATAATATGTCTTTATTTTGTAACTTACAATCACCTTTTAATTTGTCCTCCAAAAGTTAATTATAATTGGTGACTGCTTTTCTTAGATACTTCTCTGGTGTCCAAGAAAGGGGAATAATTTAGCCCTTGATTTAAAAACCCCTAAGGGAGTGAGAGGACCTTAACTGCAGATACTATTCCATTGTGATGCTGCGGCTGTAAGTCTTCTCTGTTGTTCCCCCCAGATGTTGTGTTGATGGCTGAAGTAGCTGAGAGTTTTGTCTTTACACAGTCAAAACAACGAGCGCTTCTGCTTGATTCACAGATTCTCTAAGGTTCCCATGCAGCCATACCACCTCCTGTCTTGGCACTTCATAGATGTCTCATTGAGTCCAAGGCTGCCTCCTGAGGGTCTAGTTGGTAGACCATGAAGTTGATTCTTGCCTTAAGCCTAGTTCTGCCAGCCGTTGTCTTATATTCTCACCAGTCACATTTTTGGTACTGGAACCACTCGTAAGTGGATGCTGAAATCACAACCTGGCTATTTGGATGTCCAACCAATGCTTTATGCTGCTGAGTCCTTGGAACTCACCACCCCGTGCCGGAACTCACCGGAGCTCGCGTGTGTGGCGCTACCTTGTTTCTCTGTGACTGAGTTTTTGTTTTTTGAGACAAGGTCTCAATCTGTCACACAGACAGGAGTGTGATCATTGGTCACTGCAGCCTTGACCTCATGGGTTCAAGCCATCTCACTTCAGCCTCCCAAAGTGCTGGGAGTAAAAGCGTGAGCCACCACACTTGGCCTACTTTTGAGCTTTGAGTTCTTTATATACGCTAGAGATGAGTCCTTGGTCTGATAGGTGGTTTGTAAACATTTTTCCCAATCTGTAGCGTATCTTTCTATCTTCTTAGTAGAGTCTTTCGGACAGCAAAAATATGATCTGTCTTGCAAATACTCTGCCTCTGTAGCAGGCAAGCAGCTACAGACTACATAAAGGAATGTCAGTGGATCCCTTGAGTAAGTGTCATTTGTGGTAAACGTATCTCTAGACAGATCAGTGCTGAGAGGCTATTTCATTCTTAAATAATAGTTGAGCAAGGTATACACACTAACCTCATGCTTATTTTCTCTTATTCCACTGTTTTCTGCTGTTGCTGGTGGGAGATGGATTATCAACATGTTCTTCCTTCTTTCTACCCTCTTCAGTAGCTTTTAGGACCTTTGTTTTTTTCTGTAATTTTGTTCTGATGGGTCTTGGTATGGATGGATTTACTGTATTGGGGATTGTGCCTCCTGACTCTAAAGGGTCCTGTGTCTGTTTTCATTCTGGAATTTTTTTTTTTTTTTTTTTTTTTTTTTTTTTTTTTGAGACAGAGTCTTGCTCTGTTGTTAAGGCTGGAGCACAGTGGTGCAATCTCAGCTCACTGCAACCTCCACCTCCTGGGTTCAAGTGATTCTCCTGCTTCAGCCTCCTGAGTAGCTGGGATTACAGGAGCACACCACCACACCCAGCTAATTTTTGTATTTTTAGTAGAGACAGGGGTTTCACCATGTTGGCCAGGCTGGTTTCAAACTCCTGACCTCAAGCAATCTGCCCATCTCGGCCTCCCAAAGTGCTGGGATTACAGGCATGAGCCACCGCACCCGGCATTTCTTTTAGACATGTTGGATCCTCTTATTTCATCCTCCCTTTGTCATATTTTCCAATTCATTAATTTTCTCTTCTGCCGTTAAGGTTTTAAATGTCTGAACGGCAGCCACTAATTCTGGCATCTGAAGCTCTTGGAAGTCTACTCGTGTTGTTGTCACTGACTTCTATGCCCTTTGATTGGGGCTTTGGCTGCAGGAATCACGCAGCACTGGATGAAGGAGCTCTCAGCACGTGGGATCTGGTGCTATCTCAAGGTAGCTAGTGATAGAACTGAATTAGAGGGACACCCTGGTAGTAGGGACAACACACATTTGGTCACAGACGTCATCCGCTGTGTTGATGATGGTTGTGGTATGAGAGCAGAGGGAAAACAGGGCTGAGTATTTTCCCTAAACAGTGGTGTACATTCAAATCCCTCATGAGGCTGGGCACGATGGCTCATGCCTGTCATTCCAGCACTTTGGGAGGCTGAGGCAGGAGAATCGCTTGAACCCGGGAGGTGGAAGTTGCAGTGAGCCGAGATTGCACCACGGCACTCCAGCCTGGGTGACAGTGAGACTGTCCCAAAAAAGAAACCTACTGGCAAATTTTCAAGAAGTGACTTTATGTGACTCTCTGGACACTTAGCTTAGTAGGGGATAGGGAATCCATTTACACTGATAGAAGGAGCACCTGAGGCTGGGTAGTTCGTAAATAAGAGAGATAATTGGCTCACAGTTCTACAAGCTGTACAAGCCCGGCTCCAGCATTTGCTGGGCTTCTGGGAGGCCTCAGGAAGCTTACAATCATGGCAGGAGGAGAGAGTACAAACACAGAGAGGAGGTGCCAGGGTCTTTTTAAACAACCTGCTCTCATGTGAACTAATGGAGCAAGAATTCACTCTTCACCAAACGGAGGGCACTAGGCCATCCATGAGGCATGCACCCCCTTGAGGGGACACACATCCAAACTGTCAGCATGTGGCAGTCGCTGGGGCTCCCTTTCTTAGTAAATGTTTTGACTCCTAGCTCCTTGAATGACAATTACTTGTCCTCTCTGGTGAGAGAAAGGGACTGGTTTTCCCTCTGGGCTGGAAGGCAGATACCAGATGGGGGGCAGACTGCCAGATGGCTGGGGCAGCTTACCACACTGTGGAGGAGGGGCCAGGGGCACAAAGCCCCGGGCACACAGGTGGATGTAGGCGGCCACCAGGTTGCAGGCAGGCTGGAGCTCCCGGGTGCCACAGGTGTCCTGCACACACAGGCTGAGGAATGGTGTAGGGTCTACCTGAAATCAGGGGCACCCAGTCACTGTCCACACCCTGGGGAGTGGCAAGGAGGAAGGGCCTAGGCTAGATCACGGAAAGGGCCTTCTGCACCCCATGGGCCAGGCTTACACTCACCACCCAGAAGCAGTTCCTCAAGCTGGAGTGGGGGTCCTCGAAGAAGGCCCGGCAGGTGGGGCTCTGTTCTCGGCAGGCCTGCTGAGTCTTCTCAGTGGCCCTGCAGTCACCACCCACCTGGCAGGACAGACACAAGACTCAGGCCTCCTGCTGGACCATGTGGCTCCCCAGCATACATTGGCCTCAGCAGGAGACTTCCCCCAAACCCTGGGCCTACGAAGTCCTCTGCAGAGCCATCAGGCCGCCTGCCTCTCCCAGGACTCTGCAGGGAGCAGCCCTCAAGAACCTCAGGTGCACCTGCTCACCTGCCAGGCCAGGCTGAGCTCCTCCAGGCTGCGGGCCACAGAGCCGTCTGGCAACATCAGCTCATTGCCTGCTTCATTGTCATTGGTGCCTAGAAGACCAGCAGATACGCCTGCGGGGAGGAGGGAAGCTGAGGTGTCGGTAAGAGCCTGTGATCCTCCCGCAGCCACAGCCCTGCTGCCTTGGGACCTGTGTGTGAGATGAGCCTGAGGCACACAGGAGCAGTAGAATCCCACCACCTCCACCCTGGACTCCTGGAGCCCAGGCCCTGGCTCGAAACCCTCATCAGAGGAGGAAGAGAAAGCACAGGGGCTCAGGACAGCATGTGTACACCCCTATCCCCTCCCCATGTTCTTAGGTCGAGTGGCTGAAATCCAGGCCCTTTGTGTTCCTTGGCAGAGGGAACACAGAAGGGCCAACTCCACACTGGAGCTGCGTGTCATCTGGACACGGGGTCAATACCATAAGGCTAGACGAGTGAGGGCACACACGCTGCCATGCTAGAGATGAGGCTGGCAGAGGCTCTGCATGCACAGTTGCCGCCTGTCACCCTGGAAGCTTAAAATGGTACATCCCAGAGAGACCTTCGTAGGTGGGGCCAACCCTGCTGGGGCCCAGACCCACCATGGTGCCAGAGGCCCAGAGTCAGGCTGCAGAGGCCGGTGGGCACGTCACAGGAGACAGACACCCCGTCCTCACTGGCCAGCTCAATCCTGGGGACGTTCCTCCTTGTCGTATGATGCAGCTTGAGGTCCGGACAGCTCTCCCCCGGCATGGAGGAGTTGTACAGTCTGTAGGCCTGTGGGCCAGAGGGGACTGGGCAGGAGATCTGACCCACAGCCAGGTGACAAACTTGAAAGTGCCATCCCCCTCAGGCGACCTGCCATGGGCACAGGTCTCCAGGGGAGGCTGCCGTGCCCCTCCAGCTCACCTGCAGACTGGGGTAGAAGACGAGGGTCATATGGTTTAGCTCCACGGACAGGGCCATGAGCCCTGAGCCGGTCTGACTCAGTGTCAGTGAGAATGTGTTGTGAGCAAAGTCCTGGGCCAGGAGGATGCTGCCACACTGGGCGCTGAGGTCCCATACCCGGCCATCGAAGGTCACCAAGTGCTGGGCCCCGGCTACCAGGGCATGGTCTGGGGAGAAACAGCCCAAAGGCAGGGTGAGTGGGGCCAGTTCCACTCACCCACTGCAGTGGGAGCCCAGCGCCTGCCAGGCACCCCGATACCTAGAGCCTTGGCTTAGCCTGCCCTGAGGCCAGGATTCCCCTTCCTCTGCTGCAGCAGTCAGAGGCCCAGGGATTCCCCCACTGGCTTCAAGATGACATGAGCTGAAGGTCTATGGGCAGTTCAGCCCTAACGACGAATGGAGTCCTGAGACCCGCTACAAAAATACTGTGCTTGTATTTACATAAAATGTCTAGAGCAGGCATAGCCATGGACACAGAAGGCAGACTGGTAGCTGCAGGGTTTCAGTTTAGGCTGATGCATGCACAACTCTGAAAAAACTAGAAGCTACTGAATCGTACACTTAAAATTCACACATCGGCCAGGCACGGTGGTGCTAAGCCATCCCAGCACTTCGGGGGGCTGAGGCAGGAGGATCACTGGAGTGCCACTGCACTCCAGCCACGACAACAGTGAGACCTAGTCTCGAAAAAAAATTGCACAGATCATACAAGTCATCCATTTAATCTCAATCAAGCTGCTGGGGGTGGGAAAAAAACATTCGCTATGTCAGTGGATGACCAACGGGTCCCCCAAACACGAGACTAGTGTCCTGCAGACCTACCCTCTTCAGGGTAGGGAAGAGATGGCCTGAGAAGGAGGTCTGACCGGTCCAGCCAGTGAGCTGTGGCTTGGATGGGGGTGCCCGTGCCCATGGCCAGGAAGCACCATCTATGGTGCAAAGCCAGGCACCTGTTGGCAAGTCCCAGCATCCTGAGGGAGGCACTACCAGCCCCGTGGACAGCTGTCAGAACTGAGGGGCACAGAGAAGCCCACAGTCACACACATGGAATGTGAAGACCAGGCTGTTTTCTACAACACCAATGCGCTGCTTAGACATGACTGCACTCACGCTTCTTGGGAGCCCTGGGCCTTGGTATGAGTCCCACACACATAAAGCACTCCTTGCCAAGCCTGGGTACCCTGGTTCCCCCAAGGACATGAGGGGCTCCCCCTGCATCAAGAACAGTAGATGCCCATAACCCATATGAGCGAGCCACGTTGTTACCTGCATTTCACAGTGGAGGAAACCGTGTCCCATAGAGGTTAGACTCGCCTGGCCACACAGCAAGCCTGAGCCACACGCAAGCTCCCCAGGGGTCCAGAGCCAGGGCTAGTCCCAGCACAGCCCTTGGCTGCAGGTCACCTCTGACCAGCAAGTCTGAAGTCAGTTTTCTTCCAGCTGGAACTGGAGGGCTGCCCTCTTCTCCAGCAGCGCCCACAGCAAGGGAGATGGCCTAAAGTCCTAAACTGCCCTCCTCACCTCTCTGCAGGGCCAGGCCTTATATTCTGGACAAAAGCAGGATGTAGAGCCTCAGCCCTAGTCCCATAGGACCTTGGGAAGTCCAGTAACCTCTGGAACTGGTACTGTGATGCCACCAGCCTATGGAGGCTTCCCTGTGCCCACGGGGCAGGGGACTCCCCAGGGAGGAGGGTGGCACAGCCCAGGGCAGGACTCACACTCCCAGGGGCTCTCCAGCAGGCGGCGTCTGAGCCGGTAGTACTCGGCCAGCACGTTGGCCCCAGACAGCTCTCGGAGCGGCCGCAGCAGCTTCTCCACCAGGTAGCTGGTCACCTGGGCCACATCCAGGGGCTCGTCCCCCACAGGCAGCAGTGGCAGTGTCACCACGACTGAGCGGTTTCTGGAAGGAATGCAGAAGACAAGTCACTGTGCCTGCCCAAGCCTTGCTTCCCTTGGCTGCAGAGGGGAGCTCCCAGGTCCGCAGGAAGAGCTTTGCAGCGGAGAGCATGGGGGTGCCTCCCAGGGAGGGGCTGTGCTTGTCTTGGGAAATCCCATCATGAGGTGGAGGAGGACAGAGGCCAGCAGAACAGCACAGGTGGTGGATGATGCCCGGGACAGAAACAAGCTTCCCCATTTTTGAGGACACAGATGTCCAATGCCATGGCTGCTCTGCCCCCTGGGTCTTGGACAGCATGGGCTTATGTGTGGGGATGCTGAGGACAGGAGCTGGAAGGTCTAGGAAATTTTTTTTTTTTTTGTTTTAAGATGGAATCTCATTCTGTCACCCAGGCTGGAGTGTAGTGGCACGATCTCGACTCACTGCAACCTCAGCCTCCCGGGTTTAAGTGAGTCTCCTGCCTCAGCCTCCCAAGTAGATGGGACTACAGGCACCCACCGCCATGCCTGGCTAATTTTTGTATTTTTAGCAGAGTTAGAGTTTCACCACATTGGCCAGGCTGGTCTTGAACTCCTGACCTCAAGTGATCTGCCCACCTCGGCCTCCCAAAGTGCTAGGATTACAGGTGTGAGCCACTGTGCCTGGCCAACAGGTCTAGGAAATTTCTACAGTTAGGGGAGGACGGGAACTTTCTCAGGATCTAGAGTAGGGGTCAAGCCTGTGAGATTTGGATGATCAGGGAGATCTCAGCTCACGTGGGGGTGTAGTGGGAATAGAAACATTGCATAGCCTGTCGCTGATGGGCCGGTGGAAGGGCGGGGCAGGCAGCCTCATTTGCCTACTTCTAGGAAGCCCAGAGGCTCTGCAGCTGGGGGCAGGAAACAGCCACAGCCTCAGCCCCTTCCCTGCCACTTGAATCCATTTTTTGGCACCCCCACCTAGCAGTGACTGGATCCCACTCACCAGGTAGGTGAGCAACCAGGCAGGTCATTCTTCAGCCAAGCCACAGCCCCGCCCTGGGAGCTCTTCCCTTCATCAGCCTCCATTCTGACACAAGAGGGCAGGAGCAGTAATTTGTATTACATGGAGCCTCTTCCCTATGAGGTGGGTTTAGTCCCTCTTTTATGGCTGGGAAACAGGCACAGAGAGCTGATGCAGAAGAATCCTAATTAGAGGCAAAGCTGGATTCCAGATGCTCTACGAGGCTACCAGCATGGAAGAAGGGAGCTGCCTGCCTGCCTGGAGCCAGGTTCCTAGTGGGTCTCGTGCCTCTAAGGGGAAAGGATAATGGGTCCCCAGGTCCCTGCTCTAAAGTGGGCTCCCCACATCTATCCACCACCCCTGTGTCCTCAACATGGGGGCCAAAGTGGTCTTTTAAAGTGAAAGGGTGATCACATCCTTCCTAGGTCAGAGCAGAAGCTAGAGAGTATCCAAGCCTCCCCCAGAGTCTTGGGATCTCCCAGTCATATCCATTCTCCCTTGCAGGCATTCTGCTCCAGCCCCGCCAGCTTGATATTCAAATAGACCGGGCCAGGCCTGGTGGCTTATGCCTGTAATCCCAGCACTTTGAGAGGCCGAGTCACTTGAATCCAGGAATCTGAGACCAGCCTGATATGGTGAAACCCCGTCTCTACTAAAAATACAAAAATTAGCTGGGCATGGTGGCAAATGCTTGTAATCCCAGCTACTTGGGAGGCTAAGGCAGGAGAATGACTTGAACTTGGGAGGCAGAGATTGCAGGGAGCTGAGATCACACCATTGCACTCCAGCCTGGGCAACAGAGAACAAGACTCCATCTCAAAAACAGGCCGGCTGGGTGTGGTGGCTCATGCCTGTAATCCCAGCACTTTGGCGAGGCCGAGACGGGCAGATCACTAGGTCAGGAGATCGAGACCATCCTGGCTAACACGGTGAAACCCCATCTCTACTAAAAATACAAAAAATTAGCCGGGTGTAGTGGTGGGCGCCTGTAGTCCCAGCTACTTGGGAGGCTGAGGCAGGTGAATGGCGTGAACCTGGGAGGCAGAGCTTGCAGTGAGCCAAAATTGTGCCACTGCACTCCAGCTTGGGTGATAGAGCGAGACTCTGTCTCAAAAAAAGCAAAACAAAACAAAACAAAAAAAACAGTCTAGGCACATCCGTCTCCCAGGCCTTGGTGCAGTGGTGACCCCCACCTGGAGCGCTCTTCCCATGCTGGCCCTGTGGCTCTTGCTGAAACTCGACCTTCTCAAAGCCAGCCATGGCCACACTGTTTCTTAGGATCTGCCCCCCATCTCATCGATGTTCCTTCTCTAGTATTTGCCACCTAACATATAGCTCAGGGGTGGTAAATGGTGACCAGTGGGCCCCGGCCTGTGGCCGGCTTCTGCACAGCCCGCAAGTAAGAAGGGTTTTTATGTGCTTAAAAGATTAGTCCAAAACAGGCCAGGTGCAGTGGCTCATGCCTGTAATCCCAACATTTGGGAGGCCAAGGCGGGTGGATCCACCTAAGGTCAGGAGTTTGAGACCAGCATGACCAACATGGCAAAACCCTGTGTTTACTAAAAATACAAAAAATTAGTTGGATGTGATGGCACGTGTAATCCCAGTGCCTGCTACTAGGGAGGCTGAGGCAGGAGAATGGCTTGAACTCAGGAAGCAGAGGGTGCAGTGAGCCAAGATTGTACCACTGTACCCCAACCTGGGCAACAAGAGCAAACCCCCATCTCAAAAAAAAAAAAAAAAAAAAAAAAATTACAAAACGAAAAGCAAGGAAATGTGATAGAGCCAAATGGCCTGCTTAAGATGCCACTCTCAGACCCTCTGCGGGGAGCTGTGCAAGGCCTGGTGTAGATGACTTCCTTGTGCTTCGTGTCTGGGTAAAAGTGAGTTTCCTGAAGGCAGGGTTGGCCTCAGCCACTGTGCTCTCTGCAGCTCCTAAAATCCTACCTGCCCTGGGCCAGTGCTCACAAGCTATCTAAGGAGTGAGGAAGAAAGCCCAGCTTCCTCATCTGTAAAAGGAGGACGGAAGAAGCCTCTGGGCAGGGCGGTCACAGGAATCCGTGAGTGGAGAGTATCCAAGCATTCAGCACTACACCTGGTATATGGCAGGCACACAGCACGCGCCACTCTCAAAGCCCGAGTTACCTGGCCGAGAAGCTGTACAGGTCCAGCAGGGGTTTGCAGAGCCTCTTCAGTGCCCGTGAGAACGTGGCCTCAGCCCAGGACAGCATCTGGTGGGCGGCCTGGAGAGGGAGGGGACAGTGAGAGCTGGCTCAGGCGTCCTCACCTGCCAGCCGTGCCCCATCCTTGCTCCCACTCACCAGCTCCAGGGTTCCTTTCGCCGCCCCCAGGGCCACCCTGATGGGCCTTGGACCCCCATTGCCTGGCATCCCGGGCACCCAGGCCTGCAGCTGCCGCATGGCCTCCTCTGCCCGCTCCCGCCACACTTCCTCCAGGGGCCGCAGTGTCACCTCCAGGTAGGCGTCCTTCAGTGTGGCCAGGGGCCCTGCAACAGGCAGCCACCACTCACCGTGAGGCCTCAGGGCAGTTCAGAGAACCAGACAGTGCAGGCCTCGAGGGGATAGGGTCTGCTCCTGGGATGAAGATGGGGGGAGCCGGACGAGCAGGAATAGAGCAGTGGGCACTGGAGATTGCAGGGGAGTTCTCATGGCAGGCCTGAGCCTTCTCTGCAAGGCCTGCTGATAAGGTTGTCTGGGAACTTGGATTGGGGGAGGGTTCCCACCAATCCTAGAGTTGATAGGAGGCTGCCTGCATCTGACCTGTTTGTACAACGTGGTTTATGCTGGACCCCTGCTTGCCTCCTAGGAGTCTGACAATGTGGTCCATGCCAAGTAGCACCTGCCAGTGTGGCAGTAGAAATCTGGGTGCTGAGTCTCCCAGGAGCTGCTCAGGTGATAGCTGGGACAGCTACATGCATCCTGTGTGAAGGTGCAGGACTGGGAGAGGACACTGGGCACTGGCCCTGGTTCTCCCTAGACTCCGCCCCAGCCCCCGTCCCTGTGTTGACCCTCCTGCATCCCCTCACTATAATAAAACACAGCCGTGAATAGCACTGTGAGGAGTCCTGGGGCACTCCTCCCAATGCACTGCCCTGGGGGCGGCCACAGGAACACTGTGGCACAGCAGGGAGGATGCGGAGGTAACATTCAACAGCCAGTCAGAGGGATGACCATCCTGGCGCTGGGCAGGGCCTTGGGGGCTCTGCTGTGCTGGGCATTAGCCTGGATGGCGGAGAGGCCAGAGGTTCCCAGTCCTGCCAGGAGGCCACTTGGAGCAGCAGGAGTGAGCCTTTAACAGCCACATGGCCACACTGAGCTCATCGTGGAACCAGAAAGAGATGCTGTGGCAGTGAGCTTCACAGAAACAAGGCCGTATACTCAAAGCAGGCAGCAGACTGAAAAACCTAGGCAGCAGGCGTAAGGGATAGGAGCTTGGAGACCCTATAAGAATGACACAGCAGACCAAGAAAAAACGAAGGCTGTAGAGCTGTAAGAAATAAGGCAGGGGGCTAAACACAGCTGGGCTGCAGGCCCACGGGAAGCGAGGCCACCTTTCTGACTGAAGCAGTGGCGCAGGCCAATGTGAGCGCTTGGGGCCCTGGGCAGGGCATTAATTTCCACATGGGATTGAGCCCTCCCCTCCCGCACTCACGTTCCAGCTCATCACGCAGCTGCTCCAGCCCCACCTGCAGCCACTCCAGGTAAAGAGGCAGGTGCTGGGTCAGTGCCTGGCTCCGGGCCCACAAAGTGGCTACTGCCCAACCACTGGCCTGCACAGCCTCCCGCCCCGCCTGGGACAGCTGCAGAAGGAGGCCTGCCACGCCGTCCAGGGTGCCTGCCGGCTGCACCTGGGCAGGGAAACAGAGGCAGAAGCAGGTTGAGGTCCAGGGCAGAGAGAGCCCCAGACCCTCCCACCTGGTGAATGGGTGCTACAAGCCAGGCCAGAGGGAGAGCTCTCCACCCTGCGCCCCCACCCTCCCCTCCTGTGCTACCCACCAATTGCTGGAACCTTCTCACAGAGGCACCCAAGCGTTGAATCTTCTCTTCCAGTTGGGCTTGCACCTGGGAGCCAACTGCTGCGATCCTGGACTGTGAGGACAGAGGAAGAGGCTGGGGCCTTGTAGAAATGAAGTAGACACAAGGTTCTTGGTGCCAGCGGCAGGTGTGGGCCTCACCATGGGGTCGTCTGCCCTGGTTTCTGGGCACAGCTGGACCCCAAGGGCTCAGGGCTCCTGGCACGGGGGCCTCTGCCCAGGGAGAGAATGGTAACCCCTTCCCTGTGTCCCAGCCCAGACCTTCTTACCTCCACATGGCCCAGCAGGGCCCCCTGACAGCCGTGCGCAGCCAGCAGGAGGCTCTGGTTGGCAACCTGCAGGGTCAGGCGTCCCAGCGGCTGGAAGGGCTGCGTGCCATCCCGGAACAGGACCTCCGCCTCAGCTGTCCGCCCGTGGGCACATGCCCGCAGCACCACACTCTGCTCTCTGCCCCCTGGAGCCAGCAAGGGACCTGCTGGTGCCCCCACCATGTCTCTCGTGGCCCACTCCTCCTCCACCTCTTTCCGTAGCTCCCCACTGCCCCAGGCCAAGCCTCAAGGCCCTGGGATTTGAGAACCTTGAGCTGCACCAACTAAATCAACTTCCTGAGCAACCTGAAGCCCCCTCTTCTGTCCCCTCCCCCGACATGGCAGTCAGGGATGCCATGAAGTCCTAATGGGGTTTCCTGAAGTTTTTTTGAGACACCAAGGCAGGAGTACAATGACAGGATCCCAGCTCACTCCCAGCAGCTGCGATAGGAACCCATCACCCCCACGCCACCAGGTTTTTGTTTTTGTTTGAGACGGAGTCTCGCTCTGTCACTCAGGCTGGAGTGCAGTGGCACGCTCTCGATCTCGGCTCACTGCAAACTCCGCCTCCTGGTTTCACGCCATTCTCCTGCCTCAGCCTCCTGAGTAGCTGAGACTACAGGCGCCCGCCACCACGCCCGGCTAATTTTTTGTATTTTTAGTAGAGACAGGATTTCACCGTGTTAGCCAGGATGGTCTTGATCTCCTGACCTCGTGATCCTCCTGCCTTGGCCTCCCAAAGTGCTGGGATTACAGGCGTGAGCCACTGTGCCTGGCTGCCCCCCTTTATTTTTAAGTAGAGACATGGTCTCACTATGTTGCCCAGGCTGGTCCTGAACTCCTGAGCTCAAGCAGTTCTCCCATCTCGGCCTCCCCAAGTGCTAGGATTACAGGTATGAGCCCCCGCACCCAGCCCTGACTTCTGAGATCTTAATGCCCAGACCCCTGTCCTTTCTTGAGCCAACAGGGGCCGTGGCCCAGCTAGCTGAGCTGGGACCCAGCCACCACTCACCTTCCTCATGCATCACAGAGGCCTGGAGACAGCTTGGGGCCCGGAACACAGACAGTCTCACTTTCTCCTCTCTGTTGTCCACATTTCCCTCCAGTCGGACCAAGCTTTGAGAAGCCGAGGTGGAGACATGGCCCAGTAGGCCAACCCGCTGAGCCTTGGAGCCACGAAGCTGGGAGGGGGAGGGCAGAGGCCTCAGTAGAGCCTGACCCAGGCCCTGTCCCTGGTCTCTCCCCTGCCCGCTCCAGGCTCAGGAAGGGGCTGGCTAGGGAGGCTGTGGTTGGACCTGTAGGGAACCGAGGGAAGGCACAATAGCCATGCCGGATCTCCAGGGCACCAGGTTCCCCAAGCCATATCCCTACCTAAGGCTCCCAGGGCCCCATTACAGAAAGCACTTAGGAGAATACTCAGGGCCGGGCGCAAGGGCTCACTCCTGTAATCCCAGCACTTCAGGAGGCCAAAGGTGGTGGATCGCTTGAGCCCAGGAGTTTCAGACCAGCCTGGGCCACATGGCAAAAACCCTGCCTCTACCAAAAAGACAAAACTCAGCCAGTCTTGGAACAAATCATTTTTAAATATACCCATCTAGGAGCCCACCAACCCAGCAGCAGCCGCCCACAGGGTGGCTTAGAGATGGCTGCTGCCCAGACACTCTGATTTAATTGGTTTTGGGGGGCCCTGGGCCCTGGCATTTCTACCATTCCCAGTGCCCTGGTGTTTCTGCTATAGCCCAGGCTTTCCGAGTTTGCATGGGAACCGCTGCAAAGGTCTAAGCAAGTTCAAGGAGACGTGGGTACACCTGGCATAACACCCCAGGCACTGGGCAGTTTACCTACATCCCTGCAGGCGCCCAGCCTTGGGGACATGGCAGGGACCACGACAGGTGACTCTAGAATGGGGTGGGAGAGAGGCTCAGAGGCCCCAAGAGAACACAGGCCTGGAGGAGGCCCTGCAAGGCAGGGAGCCCCAGCTACCCTGTATTCTAGTCCAGACAATGCAGCTAACACGCTGTGCACCCTTCAGTAACGGTGTCACCCTCCCTAGGCCTCAGCTCCAAGATCTGTTAAATGATACAGAACAATGGCTCACAAAACTTAGCAGGACTTCAGTGTGTGTGTGCACGTGTGTCTGTCATGGGTTGAATTTTCTTCCTCAGATATGTTGAAGTCCTAACCCTCTATACCCGTGAACGTGATGCTATTTAGAAATAGGTTTTTTGCAAAAGTAATCAAGTTGAGGCCATAGTGGATGAAGGTAGGCCACACACCCAGTGAATGCTGTCCCTGTGAGAAGACCATGTGAAGATGCCACCCAGAAGACAGAAGGCCACCATGTGGGACAGAGGCAGAGACTGGCGTGATGCCACCGCAGCCATGGGTTACACCAGAAGCTAGAGGTGCTATGGAAGGATCTTCCCTAGGACTTTGAGAGGCAGTGTGGCCCTGCTGACAACTTCCTTTTGGACTTCTGGCCTCTAGAACTGTGACACCATACCTGTCTGCTGCATTAAGCCTTCCAGGGGTAGCCATTGAATACAGTAGCCCTAGGAATCGAATGCAGGGTGCTTACTAAACATGCGGAAGCATGTCGATCTCTGAGGAGATCCAGGTTGGTAACAGGGCTACAACCCAGGACTCCTATGGAATGTAACCGAGCACCCATGTGATCCTGCCAGGCAGGCTGGGGCAGGGCACAATCTGCAGACCACATGGAGTCGGCCCCGGATGGCTCCCAGCATCTGAGCTCAGCCCTGCTGGCTGTCACTGAAGAGCAAGGGCCACGCCTGCCTCTGTGCAGCCTTGGCAAGTGCCTGACCTCCCTGAATCCGTCCCTCATCTGTCCCAGGGCCACCGAGTTGGGGTGAGGAACAAACAAGGCTGGGAAAGCCTTTTGACCACTCCACAGACCCCAGAATGGAGCAAGTGAGAAAGGGCCAGAACAGCTGTCCCAAATCAATCGGGCACAGGGAAGCAAGAGGACCGGCCACTTGCTGAGTGTCCACCGTGGGTTCACTCCCAGGGCTCCAGTTCCATCGGGCACGGGGTTTACAGAGACGGGGTCAGCCAGGGGCCTGGCTGGAAATGGGGAAGTGACAGTCAGTCCCGAAGAACAAGAACCTTGGAAGGAGAAGCTCCTTTGAAATGGCCACGGCTGCTGAACTCTTAACCCAGAAATGCCATCCTCATCCAGCTCAGATGCCGGGAAGGGAGGGAACTCCCGTCTCACAAGCACCTGCTATGTGCAGATGTTGTACAAATGTCTGTTTTCCTCTTAACAATTCTGCAAGGGAGATGGTATTTGTTCCCATTTGACAGAGGGGAAGACTGAGGCTCAGCAAAGTAAAGTCACGAGGTCAAGTTCACCCAGCCACGGAGACAGGGGGTGGATGGAAATGCCGACAGGGCACCTGTGATGTCATGTGCCTTGGCTATGCAGGCAGCAGGAACCGGTATCCAGACTCTCAAAAACTACTCTGTGAAATATCTGATTTCACCCTCCTCCAGATGAGGACACAGATGCTCAGAGAAGTTCCTTCCTGGGATCATGATCACCTGGCCAGGTCGGGGCAGAGTAGGCACTGGAGGCCAACTCTGCCCCTTCCTACTTCCCAAAGCTACTGGGAGGCAGGCAGGGGAGAAGATGGTGCCAATAATGGCTAATAGCAAATACTTACATTGTGGCTGTTTTCTCTCGGGCACTGCTCTAAGCGATCTATGCCTATGAATATATTTAATCCTTGCAATATTAACCCCATGGGAGATAGGGCCAGTGCAATTATTATACCCATTTTACAGGGGAGGAAACTCAGGTACCAGGAGGCAGCTAGGCTGGGATTCAAACTTGGGCAGCCCAGCCTCTGCCTCTTCGTTATAGGAAGGGCCGGGTGTCAGGACTGTGGAGAAGCTGCTTTGTCTTGGTGCCAGGGCCAGGCCTGAGGTTCAGCAGGTGTTCCCCCTACCCAGAGTGAAGCTCTGGCCCCATCCAGAATGCTGGTCTGCGGTTCCTCAGATTGCCACTAGATGGCAGGGCCACCCAGGCAGTTGGGGACCTGCTGGCCAGGAAGGAACGGGAGGGAAGCCAGGCATCTTCCCCAGGGACTGTCAGCCCTATCCTGGCCACCCACCTCCAGCGCCCCGGAGAAGTCAGTTGAATGAGGCCTGCTGTGGTTTCGGAGGGTCAGGCTGAGGTGCAGGCCGTGGTCTGGGTCTGGTGCGAGGCCCAGGTGGCAGCGGGAACGAAGCAGGAGTCCACCCTGGCCCAGGACGTGCTCCCCGGCGACCAAGAGGGCCTGGGACGAGAGATTCTGTGTGTCAGGCAGGCACAGGGGGCAGCAGCTTCCTCTCCCCGAGTCCCCTGCACCAAGAATGCAGCAGCAGCTGCCACCTCCCAGCCTCCACACCTGCCCCAGCTCACAGCTGACCTCTAAGAAACGCAAATCAGACATTGTCCGCTGCAAGGAGAACAGAGGCCGGGCTCTGGCATGGCCTGTGGCCTGCTTTACTGTCCCAACCTCACTTCCCTTGCTCCCTCTGTAAGGGCTTCCCCATGTTCCTCAAGGCAGAGTCCTGCCTCAGGCCCCTTCCCTCTACAGGGCCCACACTCACCAGTGAGGCCCCTTTTGCAACACCCTGCCCCCCTCCCTGCTTCGTTCCTGCACAGCGTTTACCACACCCTGACCATAGACCATGCATCTCTAGTTTGTCGTATCTTCCTGGCCCCACTGGAATGTGCCACCCAGGACGCCGGCACCTGGCCTGTCTCCTTCACTATCCAGTCCCTGCACCCAGAGCACAGCCTGGCATAGGTGAAACACACACGTTTTCTGAATGAACAGAGGAAAAGATAAGGGGTGGGAAACTACAGTTTGGGGCTGAATCTGGCTCACTGCCCACGCTTGTAAATACTTTGAGACAGAGTTGTGCTGTGTCGCCAGGCTGGAGTACAATGGCATAATCTCAGCTCACTGCAACCTCTGCCTCCCAGGTTCAAGTGATCCTCCTGCCTCAGCCTCCTGAGTAGCTGGGACTACAGGCACGTGCCACCACACCCGGCTCATTTTTTTCTATTTTTAGTAGACATGGGGTTTCACCGTGTTAGCCAGGATGGTCTCCATCTCCTGACCTCATGATCCACCCACCTCAGCCTCCCAAAGTGGTGGGATTACAGGCATGAGCCACTGTGCCCAGACTGCAAATACTTTTACCGGGATACAGCCATATGGATTCATTTACATATCATCTATAGCTGCTTTCCCAGGACAGTGGTAGAGCTAGTAGTTGCAACAGAGACTGGATGGTTCATAAAGCCTAAAATATTTACTATCTGTCTCTTTACAGAAGAGTATGGGTCCTTGGGATGGAGGGATGAATGGATGGATGGACAGCTGGACAGGTAGATGAATGGATGCGAGGGAGGGTGGGAGGATGAATGAATGGAGAGAGAGGGTACGTGGGAGGGCAGAGATGGGGGATGGATGGAAGATAGGAAGGAGGATGGAAGGATGTGTGAAGGAATGGATGGATGGTTGGTGAATGGAAGAACCCATCGACCCACTACCAACCCCAGGAGGGGCAAGGGGTTGAGGAGAAGGGGTCCCAACAACCTCCTCTGGGGCAATCATGACTACAGCAGCTCTAACTTATGTGCCCAGCACCAAGGCTGAGCATTCCTCATCACGTCTCTCTTAACTCTCACCACCACTCTACATCCTGGAACCTGCTGCTCCTTCCATTCCTCAGATGAAACACCAGGGGCCCAGAGAGGAGATGCGCCCTGCCCAGTCACCCAGTCGGCAAATGGCAGAGCGACCATGCTGGCGTCTGGCTGCCTCACTCACACCCCTGCATTCTGTGCGCACCACCCTCCTTGCTGCCCCCTCACCACGGGTCCCTGGTCCTCCAGCTATCCTTTTCCGTGGGGCAGACTTACCCTGGGCAGGTCACAGAGCCCCAGGTGGAGGGAGTGCCGCAGCCAGTGTGCATAGTCAGTCTGTACTTCTCCCCGGAAGCTCTGCCGGCTACAAGAGGCCCCGAGGACGTGCTCCAGGGTGGCCTCCGCGATGATCCTGCCTGGCTGAGATGGCAGATGCCTCTGAAATGACAGGGCCCATAGGTCAGGGGCTCATGACCTAAGAGAATGCCCATGGCCAGCTGCAGGTGGAGACCCTCACCTAAGAGCATGTGCCAGGAATCCACCATTAGAGCCCTCATCAGCCACAGCAGCCCCTTACACTCTGGGGCGGGACTTTTTTTTTTAAACAGTTTCACTCTGCTGCCCAGGCTGGAGTGCAGTGGCGCTATCTCGGCTCACTGCAACCTCTACCTCCCAGGTTCAAGCGATTCTCCCACCTCAGCCTCCCAAATACTAGGATTACAGGTGCATGCCACTGTACCTGGCTAATTTTTTAATTTTTTAGTAGAGATGGGCTTTTGCCATGTTGGCCAAGCTGGTCTCAAACTCCTGACTTCAGGTGATCCCCCCACCTCAGTCTCCCAAACTGCTGGTTACAGGTGTGATTCACCATGCCCCGCCTGTGGCAGGATTTCTGCTGTGGGCACTGAGGGGGCCATGCCTAAGGGCCCCAGGAACCCAGGTGGGAGGCCTAGTGGAGAAGGGGGCTTCCAGGGCCAGCTCTCCCCATTTCTCTATGGCCTGGTTCCTGCCCCAGGCTCTGAAGAACAGTGCTCACCCCATGAGGAGCCCCATCAGGTATGCTGGAGGAGACCAGACCTGATGCCTTGGGGAACCTGAGCTCCTGATCTCCCTCCACCCCGTCCTGAGAAACCCATTAGCATCCCATCTCCTTCACTATCTCTTCCTTGCATCTCGTGCTGGGCCCCTTGCTTTTCTTCCAGGGTTTCCAGAGCCCTCACCACATCCCAGTTAGGAAGGGAACCATTTCACAGATGAGAAAACTAAGGCTCACAGCAGAGAAGTAAGTTGCCCAGGATCCCGCAAGCACAGGAACCCAGGACCACATGGTCCCAGAGCTGGACACTCCTGCTGCAGGTGGAGCTACCTGGGGTTCCCTGCCTAGATGGACGCTGCTGCTCAGACCTCACCTCGTATGTCAAGTTCTGCCGCATGCGGTGTTGGCCCCAGGACAGGTCAAGCTGTTCAACGAACACAGCTGGGGTCTGCATTAAGACCCCACAGGCCTGGAGGATGTCCAGGCCCCAAGCTTCCTGGAGCTGATAGGGAACAGAAGAGGGTGCATGACCTGGGGGGCCAACCGAGAAGCCTGGAGCAAGGAGGAGCCCCACACTTGGTGCAGTGGTCAGGCCCCACATACCTGCCCCGGGGAGGCGGCCAGGCAGCCGTCCCAGGCAGTGCTGTATGCTGAGGACCTGTCAGCCCAGGTGAGCTGCAGGGTCGCAGGTTGTCCTCTGTTCCAGGTGAGCTGCACCTGCATTGAGATGGGAGAGCAGTGGTGGGGAAAGGGGGACACGTGGAGGAGAGGAGAGGCTAACGCCACCCCCACACCCCATCTCTGTTGGGAAATGAGAGGCTAGGGAGGATGGAGAAGCTGGTGCCCCTCCCTCAGATATCCCTAGAGGAACTAGGACGGAGGGTGGAGAGACTGCCCTGCCCGGCCCCCATCTCTGGAAGAGCCCCGAACCATTCCCAGGCTGGAGATTGAAAGCATTTAGGTGAAAAAAACATCTCATCCTCAACATCCAGACTCAGCATTTCCAAAGATAGAAAGCAATCACTCTCCTCAATGGGACCTCCAGGGCCAGCGTGATCTGTCTCCGCCCACCTGACCTCATCTCCCTGTCACCCATCCCCCCAGTCACTCAGCTCCCATCTTATTCCCCTTCTGGTCCTCCCCAAAGCACCTGACTTGTTCCCACCACAGGGCCTTTGCATGGGCTTTTCCTGCCTCCTGCAGTGCTGTTGCTCCAGCTTCTCTCAAGCCCAGCTCCTTCCCATCCCGGGGCCGCCTCCCCAGTGAGGCCCTCACTGACCACCCACCTACAGTAGCTCCCCCACCCATCTGCCTAGTCACTCTCAATCTCACATCTTTTTTTTTTTTTTTTTTTTCTGAGATGAGTCTCACTCTGTCACCCAGGCTGGAGTACAGTGGCATGATCTTGGCTCCCTGCAACCTCCACCTCCTGGGCTCAAGTGATTCTCCCGTCTCAGCCTCCCAAGTAGCTGGGATTGCAGGCACACACCACCACACCTAGCTAATTTTTGTATTTTTAGTAGAGACAGGATTTCACCATGTTGGCCAGGCTGGTTTCGAATTCCTGGTCTCAAGTGATCCACCCGCCTCGGCCTCCCACAGTGCGGGGATTACAGGTGTGAGCCACCGTGCCGGGCTCCTCTTTACTACTTTATGGTGCTTATCACACTTTCTGATTTTTTAATTCATTCCTTGGCTTGAATTCTGGAGAGCATCTTTTGCCTGCACGCAGCTGGCCTATTGTCCTCCCTTTCACGGATGGAAAAACCTGAGTCTCAGAGAGGCGATGGGAGACACCCGAGGCCACCCAGCCAGACGGGGAACCCAGCTGCCTCACGCCGTCTCCGAAGCTACCACTAAACAAGCGACTATAAATGATGAATCGGAGACGCCTGTACGTGTTTCCCACATTAAAATGTGAGCCGTCCTCAAACACTGCCTGGTATACAGTAGGTGCTTAATGAGGTATTGATAAAGGAACGATTGAATGATCCCAGAGATCCCCAGGCTTCAGGAAGCTGTGAATCTGGAGAAGTCCTTGTCACTGATGAACACACTCTCCTCCTACCCGAGGTGCCCAGCCCCACAGGCTCAGCCACGTGGATCCCACCTCCAGCCCTGGCCAAGGGCGCCTGGGATATCCTCACTCACCTGCCGGCTCTGCCTGCCACCCCTGCTCTCAGCAAGGCCACTGACCTCGGCTTGCCACCAAGAGAGGTTGAATGGGTGAGCCAGGGCCAGGCGGGCGGCCAGCTCACTCTTCCCCAGCCACAGGGAGGAGGAGACCAGCACCTAGGGAGGGAGACAGACTCAGCCAGTGGCCTTGCCCAGACAGGCTGCACCTCTTTCCTACCGGCACAGAACACCTTCTCCATCAAGGTCAAGGCTGCAAGGGCAGGTGGCTTTGATCACAAAGCATCCCTGTGCAAGGCCCTTGGAGAGCTCAGCCCATTTCAGAGGAGGAAATCAAGGTTTGGAGAGGAGCAGATGGAGCAAACACAGGACAGAGATGGGACTGGAGGTCACGCTCTTCCTCCAGTGTCTTCCCCTGGCTCTGTGGCCGCGGGCAGGTCGCTGCACCTCTAAGTCCTTCAGTTTCGTCATCTGAACACGGGGCTATGAATAGCACTGAGCAGATGGGAGGCTGATGTGTGGGTTCACGCACAGAACCTATCACAGGATAAGCATTCGGGGCCTGTTAGCCACTGTCATTGCCGTGGCTGTCAAGGTGTTGTGAGGACCCGGGTCTCCTGCTGCTCTCCCAGTGCCTTTCCCACAGTCCCTTGGGGATGTGGTGCAGCCTCGTTGGCCCCAAATAAGGCTCCTCGGGCAGAGGAGGGCCCCCAGGACCCCGCTCAGCCTTCAGGGTGGAGTTCAGCTCTGCCCCAGGGTCACCTTCCGGCCCTGACACCTACCTGGTCCCTGCCATCCCAGCCGACAATCAGGCCATCCCGGTGGCTGCCTCCCAAATGCTCTGAGGACAGGCGGAGGCTGCAGTGTCGTGGCAGGGGGAGGGGCAGCGGGTGGGTGAGCTCCACTGGGTGGGTGAGGACACACACAAAGGGTAGGGCATGTAAGCTGAGGTCAGCAGCTCCAGGCCCAAGGGGGTGCAGGGGACTCAGCTGACGCCAGTGCCAGGTCATGCAAGTGGCCACTCGGGGGCCACACACCCAGATAATTTTCACAAAACTCAGAAGCTACACGCTCACTTTGTCAGCATTACCACTCGACACCCTGCACTGTCCCTGTGGGAGCCCCATTACAATGAGACTCTGAGGCTCCTCCAAGAGGTAGCGTCTGTCTCCCCAGCCCTTGGACCCGGGTTGGCCTCGTGATGTGCTAACAGAATTCAGTGAAGTTGACCCAGCGCCAGTTCTGAGCCCAGGCCTTAAGAGGCCTCAGCCTGCTTCCTCCCTTGAACCCATTCAGCCACATGAGAACAAACCCTGCTGGCCTGTGGGTTGGTGCCACCTGCGGTTGGGGAGAGCCTGGTTTCAGCTTAGGATGTCCTAGTGCAGCTGCCAGGCAGCCAGCCCCTAAGCAGGCAGGAGAGCCCAGCCAAGGCCAGCAGAGTCGCCCGCTCACCCTACAGCTGACCTTCAACATGGGGAAGACCAGAAAAGCTGCCCAGGTGACCCACAGCCTCGCGAGGAAGGAGCTACGCTTGCTTTATGCCGCTGAGTATCAGAATACTTTGTTACCATCCTGAATCAGGAGCTGATGGGGCCAGCCGCAACCCCAACAGCCTGCATCCCTCCTGGGGGCCCCACAGGCACAGGTGACCTGCCCCCCTCGGAAGCCCCACACCCCCATGCCACCGTCTGCTGTCCTGTGCTCTCCTTCTAGCTTGGGGTGTGACAGGTGGCACCCCATAGCTGAGTCCTTGCAACAGACAGCCTCCACACCCCGGGTTTTCTTCCTTTGTCCCCCAGGTGAGTCAAGCTGCTGTGACCTCCTGCATCACTTGAGCCCGTCTCCTGAGGCCCCTGTGCAGCCCTGCTTTCCCAGACCCCACAGCAGGAGGCTGCCTGAGGCCCCTTTGCACTTTGGTGACCTCTGAGCTCTGTACAAAGGGCACCCACCTGTTCAGATGGGCTGCAGGAGCCGTGCCCAGAGACACTGGTACTGGCTGGTTCTCAGGGCATCACCCAGTCATTGGTTCTGGGGAAGCCAACCACACGCAGGGCTAGAACCCTTTGTTCCTGCCACCTGCTGACTCACAACCTGCAACACTGTGACCACAGTGTGGGGCTGCACGCTGTGTAGCTCACCAAGGGTGGTACAAACACAGGCATGCACACACGCGCATGTATCCACACATACACACATGAACACACATACATGCATGTACTCTGCCTTGGTATGTTGGGGACCAGCTCACTTCCTCTGCCTTCCAGGGCACATATGTGGGCAAACATGACACGGGGAGGATTCTATCAGGCCATCTGGCAAGCCATGCCTCCAGGCTCGGGTCTGTACTCTGTCTCCACACCTGGCTGGTCATGGGTTGGACTCTGATCTGTGCTCCAGGGGTTCCTCACACAGAAACTGAGTCTTCTGGCTGTATAGGCCATGAGTTACAGCCCCTTCCAGGGATGCCTGTTTCTGGAGGACCCTGGGACTCATGGCTGCCGTCGCTGGTGCTCTGTTGGCAGTCACCTCCCCTGGCATCAGAACTGCCCGGGGATACCACCCCTTCCACACCCTGGCCCCTTCTCCCTGCCTGGATGCACTCAGGATGAGCCCCAACTCCTCTCTGTGAGCTGAGACCCTGCATGACCTGGGTCCCCCAGCCCTCCTGCCCCACCTCATCCTTTCTCCCATTCCAGCCATGCTAGCCTCGCTGCTGCTGCTCCACACGCAAAGCTCATTCCCACGCAGGACCTTCTGCCTGAAGTGCCTCTGCTCAGATCTGCCCCTCAGTCAGCTCCTTCTCATCCTTCAGACCTCAGTTCAGAAGTCACCTCCTCCAAGAGGCCTTCCCAGACCACCCCACCTAAAGGAGGCCCACACCCCACAAAGACCCTGCTTGCTCTCACAGCCGTTTCCACTCGTGGAAATGGTCAGTTTGATGTTATTTTGCTTATGTGCATCTTGTTGCTCAATGCCTGTCTCCCGGAGGGGTGGCACCTGGGCCATCTTGCTTCCTGATGGACCCCTGGTGCCTAGAATCACACCTGGGATATGCAGGTGCTCACTCATGGCTTTTTTGAGACTGAGTGTCACTCTGTTGCCCAGGCTGGAGCGCAGTGGCTCATTCTTGGCTCTCTGCAACCTCTGCCTCCCGGGTTCAAGCAATTCTCCTGCCTCAGCCTCCAAAGTAGCGGGGATTACAGGCGCCCGGCACCATGCCTGGCTAATTTTTGTATTTTTAGTAGAGATGGGGTTTCACCATGTTGGTCAGGCTGGTCTCAAACTCCTGACCTCAAGTGATCCACCCACCTCGGCCTCCCAAAGTGCCAGGATTACAGGCATGAGCCACCACGCCTGGCCAGGGATGATTTCTTGAGTGACTGGGCCACCCCTGCCTGCAGACCCTCACACACTCACCCTGCAGGCTGAGGTTCCTGGTGGCCTTGGGGAAAGGGCCAGAGAGGTTCCCAGTGAGGGCCACCTCCTGGCCATCCCACAGCACCACCTGGCGCAGGACACGGGTCCCATGAGCTCGCTTGTATGTGGTCTGCAGGACCAGCTCCCCGGGAAGGCCGCTGAGCTGGAAGAGAATGATGGCGTCACAGGGGAACCTAACCTACGCTTCTCCCTGGAATGGGAAAGGAGAGAAGCTTGCAGAGGAGGAAAAAGGGAGTATTTGTGGATCATTTACAGTTTCCTGCATGGTGACATATGCCAGGGGATCAAAAACCCAAATGCTTCCTAAGAATGAGCAGATAACATAACGGAGGGGAGTGGGTGAGGGGGGTATGGCCAACAGAAGACAGCACAGAACAGCCACCTCTCAACTCCATGGCCAAGCTGTGTGGCTATGGACAAGTTTTCCAACCTCTCTGAGCCTCAGTTTCCTAGAAAATGGAGGCAAGAAAGTGTCAACCTCTGCAACATAATACAAGTGGTGCACCCAGCCCAGGGCTAGACGGTGGAGAGGAGCTTGTAGGAGGCACGCAGTTGGTGTTGGGGTTTCTCTATCATGTAGCGAGCAGGTCTTATGTTCCCAAGCCAGTGCTGAGTGCTGGGTACAAAGCTAGCCAAGACCTGGTCCTGGCCCTCAAGGGGCTCCCAGGGAGATAGTCACAGGACAGGAAATGATGGGACAAGTTGACAAGGATGGTCACAAGAGACATTCAAAGCAGAAAGGAACACAGAGAAGCAAGCTTGGGGAGGAGGCAGGGAAGAGCATTCCAGGCAGATGGAAGAGTCTGTGCAAAGGCTCAGAGACGGACGCCGTCCCTGCTGGTGGGTGCCACCGAGGGTGACTTGAGGGCACTGCAGGGGCACTGCTGGGGTGGAGTAGGAAGTTTGCTCTTAAATGTCTCCAAAACCCGTCACTACTGCCCCTAGCTTGGACCACACATTATTATTGCCATGCCCCTTATGGGGCTTCCTCACTGCTCACTTCTGCCACCTGTAGGTCCCTCCCCACACAGCAGCCACAGGGATCTGAAATCATCATTTATTTGATCATGGCCTCAAAGGCTTCTAGTAGCAGACAGAACACACTACAAACGCCTTCCTGTGGCCTGACATACCCTGTGTGATCAGACCACCTCCTACCATTCCCCACCCACCCAGCTCCAGCCCAGTGGCTCCTTGGCCATTCCTAAAACATGCAAACCCATCCCTGCCCCAGGCCCTTTGCATGTCTTGTTCCCTCTGCCTGGAATATTCTTTTCAAAAAATGTGTTTTAGATTCAGGGGATCAGTGTGCATGTTTGTTACATAGGTACATTGTATAATGGTGGGGAATGGGCTTCTAGCGTACCCGTCACCCAAATATTGAACATCATACCCAGCAGGTAATTTTTCAGCCCTTGGCTCCCTCTTACCCTCCTCCCTTTTGGAGGCCTTAGTGTTTATTGTTTTCATCTTCGTGTCCATGTGTATTCAGTGTTTAGCTCCCACTTATAAGTGAGAACATGCGATATTGGGTTTTCTGTTTCTGAGCTAGTTCACTTCGGATAATTGCATCCCTGCTGCTTCAAAGTACAGAATTTCATTCTTTTTCACGGCTGTGTAGTATTCCATGGTGTATATACACCACAGTCTCTTTACCTGCCTCAAATGCCCCTCCCCCAGAGATTTCTTTTTTCTTTTCTTCTTTTCGAGATGGAGTTTCACTCTTGTTCCCCAGGCCGGAGTGCAATGGTGCAATCTCGGCTCACTGCAACCTCCACATCCTGGGTTCAAGCAATTCTCCTGCCTCAGCCTCCAAAGTAGCTGGGATTATAGGCACGTGCCACCATACCTGGCTAATTTTGTATTTTTAGTAGAGACGGGGTTTCACCATGTTGGCCATGCTGGTCTCGAATTCCTGACCTCAGGTCATCCACCTGCCTCGGCCTCCCAAAGTGATGGGATTACAGGTGTGAGGCACCGTGCCCGGCCTTCCCCCAGATTTTCAAATGACTGGTGCTTATCATCCACTGCTAGCTCATGTGCCATCTCTTTAGTGAAGCCTTTCCTGGCCACCTCATCTAAATAAGCTCCCTGGTCACTCTCAGTCACTTCACTATGTTTTCTCCATGTGATACTACTATTTGGCATATTTCATTTGTGTGATTTCAGGGAGTCAATCTGCCCCGCTAGAGTGGCCACTTGATGAGAGGAAGGATTGATCGTTCTGTTTTAGGTCACACCCCAGCTTCTGAAATAGTGCCTGGCACCTAGTAGATGCTCAATAAATCATGCAAAAGCAAGGATGGATGGATATAGAGACCAGCTAATAAGCCACTCCAGCAAATTTTGTCCATTTCACAGCCTTGCCTGTCCTTCCTCCCAGGAACCAGGACACTAGGACAATTTCTCTTTTCTCAAAGGGCTGTCCCAGAAGCCCCCCATCCCCCAGCATGCTCCAGCCCTGGGCTGACCTTCACACACCTGCAGGAAGGTCTGTTCCAGTTTGATGAAGTTGGTAAGACTAGCCTTAGCAGCTATCTGCTGGGTGCTGATGTGAAAATGATGCTCCTCCACGCCCAAGGCGAACATGCTCTGAACCTCACCCTTGGAGTAGCGTAGCTGGGTCAGGAAAAAAAACAAAAAAAACACGATAGAGCGCCTTATCAGGGCTCTGATGGAACATTCCAGCAGATGCTGGCTCTAGGCTGAGGGCTCTGCCTCCCAAAGTCCCAGGTCCAAGAGACCCACAGCTCCCTGGGCTGGATGAACTTTGATGATGTGAGGGTTTGAAGCCTCAGGTTAGGCCATCAAGTGTGGCCATGGCAACTATATCCTTATGCCCTCCCCACTATAACATTGACTTGAAAATATCTACCAGCCTAGCACCAGCAGGCAAGAATTCTAGTTGTAGTACTGTTGCAGACAGCAGGGGGCAGTCTAGCAGAAACAATTATGCTTGGGCATGTGTCAGAATCAAACACAACAGAACACTCCAAGTGTGGATCTACCACTGAGAGGTGAGTGATCTCCAGCTAGTTCCTTAACCGCCCAAGCCTTCTAATCCAAAAACATGGATAAGGACACCTATTTTATTATGGGTTATTGTGAAGATTGTTTGAAATAACGTGCTAACTTCCAGATTGGCTGAAAAGCAGAATCACTGGTTGGGGGGATCTTACTAAAAATATAGATTCTGGACTCCCACTTAACCTACAAAAATGGAGTCTCTGGGAAGATGTTCAAGAGCTGCTTTTTTTTTTTTTTTTTTTTTTTTTTTTTTTTAAAGAAGGTGTTTTGCTCTGTTGCCCAGACTGGAGTGCAGTGGCACGATCTCGGCTCACTGCAACCTCTGCCTCCCAGGTTCAAGTGATTCTTCTGCTTCAGCCTCCTGAGTAGCTAAGATTACAGGCATGCACCACCAAGCCCAGCTAATTTTTGTATTTTTAGTAGAGACGGGGTTTCACCATGTTGGCCAGGCTGGTCTCAAACTCCTGACCTCAGGTGACCCGCCCACCTCAGCCTCCCAAAGTGCTAGGATTACAGGTGGGAGCCACTGCACCCATCTAAGAGCTGGTATTTTTAACGATCTCACGAAATGCATCATTACATTAGTGATACCCCGTGTCAAAAATGTTCAACTTGAGTCTTCAACAAACAATCTGACAAATCCACATTAGGAGGATGTTTTGCAAAATAACTTCCTGGACACTTCAAAATTGTCAATGCAGGACTTTTTGTTTGTTTGTTTTTTAAGACAGGGACAGGGTCTGCTCTGTCATCCAGGCTAGAGTGTACAGTAGTGTGAACACGGCACACTGCAGCCTCAACCTCCTGGGCTCAAGCAATTCTCCCATACCTCGGCCTCCCAGGTAGCTGAGATACAGGTACACACCACCATGACTGGCTAATTTTTTAATTTTTTGTAGAGACGGGGTCTCCCTAGGTTGCAGGTTGTTTTGAACTCCTGAACTCTACTAATTCTCCTGCCTCGGCCTCCCAAAGTGTTGGGATTACAAGTGTGAGCCACTGCATCTGGTTGGGATTTTTTTTTTAAGGTGGTTAATGACAATAAAATGTTTAGGGGGAATTATATCTGCAACCTACTTTGAAATGTATCCAAAAATAAGATGGATGGATGAAAAGCTATGTGATTACGTGAAATAAAATGTGAACAGGAAAATCTAGGTATATGGGTATTCACCATAAAATTCAATTCTTTAGTGTCTAAAAAATTATATAATAAAACATTGGAGGGCCGGATGCAGTGACTCAGGCCTGTAATCCCAGCACTTTGCGAGGCTGAAGTGTGCAGATTATCTGAGGTCAGGAGTTCGAGACCAGCCTGGCCAACGTGGTGAAACCCCATCTCTATTAAAAATACAAAAATTATTCAGGCACGGTAGCACAGCCTGTAATCTCAGCTACTCAGGAGGCTGAGGCAAGAGAATTGCTTAAACCCAGGGGGCAGAGGTTGCAGTGAGCTGAGATCATGCCACTGCACTCCAGCCTGGGTGACAGAGCGAAACTTCTTCTCAAAAAGAGTAAAAGAATAAATATAAATAAATAAATAAATAAATAAATAAATAAATAAAACATTGGGTAAGGAAAGGTAGGGTGTAGAAGGAGAATGTTCTAGATCAGGAGTTGCCATTTGGGTCAAATTTGGCCCACAACCTGATTTTATAAATGAAGTTTTATTGTAACAGCCATGTCTATTCACCTACATATCCTCTATAGCTGCTTTTCTGTTACAGTGACAATTCTGAGTAGTTGTAACAGGGACCGTAAGGCCTGCAACCCCCACACATTTTACTTCACAATAAAAGTTTGTAGACCTCTGTTCTAGATTAAGAAAATTAAAAAGACATGGCAACTACGCATACTGTGTGATCTTGGCCTGCATCCCGGATTTAAAACAAAACAAAACAGTTTTTTGAAAGAACATTAGTGGGAAAGCTGGGAAATTGTATATGGGCTGTACATTAAATGAAGGTATTACTTCAACGTTCAATTTCCTGAATGCTGTAATTATTGTGTTAAATCAGAAAATATCCTTGTTACAGGAAATAGTTGAAGTATTTCAGAGTAAAAAGGTGATGCCTTCAGAAACATCTCTATATTAATTCTTAACAATACAGAAAAAATATGTATCTGATGATACAAATTTATGTAACATAGATAAGAAATATGGAAAGATATTAACAACTGGTCAATGTTCACTGTCCTACAGTAACTTTTATATAGGTTGAAATGACTCAAAATAAAACTTGGGAAAAAATTAAGAAGCTCCCTGAATGGAGCCTGGTGTGGTGGTACCACCGGTAGTCCCAGCTACTCCAGAGGCTGAAGCAGGAGGATCACTTGCACCCAGGAGCCTGAGGCTGCAGTGAGCTATGATCATGTCACCACACTCCAGCCTGGGTAACAGGGCAAGACCTTGTCTCAGAAAGAAGTTTTAAAAATAAAAAATAAGGCTGCGCATGGTGGCTCATGCCTGTAATCCCAACATTTGGGAGGCTGAGATGGGTGGATCGTTTGAGGTCAGGAGTTTGCGACCAGCCTGGATATCACAGTGAAAACCCGTCTCTACCAAAAATATAAAAATTAGCCAGGCGTGGTGGTGCACGCCTGTAATTCCAGCTACTCAGGAGGCTGGGGCAGGAGAATCACTTGAACCAGGGAGGTGGAGGTTGCAGTGAGCTGAAACTGTGCTGCAGTGAGCTGAAATTGTGCCACTGCATTCCAGCTTGGGTGACAGAGACTTTGTCGAGAGAAAGAAAGAGAGAGAGAGGAAGAGAGAGAGAGAGAGAGAGAAAAGCAAGAAAGAAAAGCAAAAAAAGAAAAAGGAAAAGGAAAGAAAGAAAAGAGAAACAGAGAGAGAGAGAAAAAGAGAAAGAAAAAGAGAGAGAGCGCGCGCGAGAGAGAGCGAAAGAAGTTCCCTGAATGATTATGCAGTTGTAGTGAAGTTTGAGGAACTCCAAAATCATGTGTAAATGCAGCCGGGGACCCAGCACACAGCACGCGCTCTGGAAACAAAGGTGGCCTGGGCCAGGGCGGGGAAAGCCTACAAAACATGGTGGCTGGTAGCAAAATGAAGTGACCAGTTGGCAGATGTGACCATTCATGCATGCACTCGCCTATTCATGCCCTATTTTTTACTGAACACCTACTGTGTGCTGGGCCCGGTGCCAGGCACTAGCATGCCCTCCAGGAGCTCCAGATTTGGGCACAGACGACAGCTCAGGGGGACAGAGGAACCTGGCCTAAGTCTACTGGGCCCTCCTGTCCACTCCTGCGACCCCCCCTGCAGTCCCGCATGCAGGGCAGAGATGGGGGTGATGCTGGCGCAGCTCCAAAGGGTTGTATCATCTGCTCCCGCCTCTACAAGTGTGCCAGGCTGGGTGAGGCAATGCCAGGCGCCAGGCACTGGGTGAGGAGGCCTTCCCCATCTCCCGAAGGTCTTGCGGGCCTGACTGGGGGCCGCGGGGGCTGGCCCAGGAATGGAAACCTGGGTGTGTTTGGGAAAGCTGGAGCCAGGGGTTCCGAGGGTTGCCCACCGGAGCCTGCTGCAGGCTGGTGAACAGATGTGCATGCATTAACACTCCCCAGAGGGGCCTGGCCCCCTCCCACCTCGGGCCGGGCATCTGGAACCAGTTAGGAGCCAGGCAGCTGGGGCACAGTTACCTTAGCTGAGGCTGAGGCTGAGCTGGGGCAGCGGCCCAGGAGGGAGGGGAGGCGATGCTGGCCTGAGAACAGCAGCTCTTTGCTAGAAGGAAGAAAAGAGAAGGCCTGAAGCTGGCGAGATGGCACCTTGTCCAGCGCCCCTAGGACCAGGTCGAGACCAAGTCGACTTCCCCAAAAGAGGGTCAGAGAGCCAGGATCACATCAGTGGCCTAATGCAGGGCTATTCACACACCCCAAGGTCCAAGGGCCATACGGTGCCCTGGTTAGGGCTGGACTCTGGAGCCAAGTTACCTGGATTTGAGTCCCGGCTTGGCCTCTGCCTACCTCTGGCACCAGGGGCAAGCTTCTTGGTTGCCCCTCTCTGAGCCTCAGTTTCCCCATAGGTATCAAGGGTTTAGCATGGCTCTGGGCTTCAAGTCTTCCATGAGCCCATCAGTGAGCTTTCCTGGGTTGGTCCTATGGGAGCTCCAGCAGGGTGTGGACAGCAGGATTTTAACCCCCTGGCTCCCTCCCAGGGATCCTCCTCTCATAGCACCCCTCCCCTCACTCCTCCAGGCCAGGGTGGTTATGGTCTGCACGTTTTTCTTTCTTTTTTTCTTCACTAGAGACAGGGTCTTTCTCTGTCAGCCAGGCTGGAGTGCAGTGCTGCCATCTCTGCTCACTGCAGCCTTGATCTCCCAGACTCAAGTGATCCTCCCGCCTCAACATCCTGAGCAGTTGGGACTACAAGCATGCGTCACCATGCCAGGCTAATTTTTAAGATTTTTTTGTAGGCCGGGCGTGGTTGCTCACACCTGTAATCCCAGCACTTTGGGAGGCCGAGGCCGGCGGATCACGAGGTCAGATCGAGACCATCCTGGCTATCACAGTGAAACCCCGTCTCTACTAAAAATACAAAAACTTAGACAGGCGTGGTGGTTGGCACCTGTAGTCCCAGCTACTGGGGAGGCTGAGGCAGAAGAATGGCATGAACCCGGGAGGCGGAGCTTGCAATGAGCCGAGATCACGCCACTGCACTCCAGCCTGGGTGACAGAGCAAGACTCCATCTCAAAAAAAAAAAAAAAAGATTTTTTGTAGCGATGGGGATCTCACTATATTACCCAGGCTGACCTTGAGCTCCTGGGCTTAAGCAATCCTCCCACCTCAACCTCCCAAAGCACTGGGATTATGGATGTGAGCCACTGTGCCAGGCCTATCTCCCATGTTGCTAACTCCAGGGTGCTGCGCCCTATCAGGTTCCTCTCCGCCTCCATGTCTCAGCCTTGGCACGGTTGTTGGCTCAGGGATTTCACCGTCGTGGGTGTGTCCTGAGCACTGCAAGATGCTTAGCAGCATCTGTGGCCTCTATACACTGACCCTCATAGTGTCGTCCTCCCCAGTGTAGCAACCAGAAAGTCCCCAGGCTTTGCTGAAAGTCCCTGGGGGAAAACTCACCCCTAGGTGAGAACCACTGATCTACCCTCTCAACAAGTGGCTTACTCACCCCCTCCTCACTGCTGAGACCCGAGCGCTAGAGCCTGGCGGGTGGCCCCTGACTTAGTGCACACACAGGAGCACCAAGCACCTCACCAGGCCCCCAGCCCTAAGGGCACTAATAGTTACTAATAAGTGTTTGGGGCCTGGGATGCACTTCGTTTCTGAGGCCAAGAACGCATCAGTGCCCTGCCTGGAGAGGCTGAGGGATGTTTACAGCTGTGTGACCTTGGAAAAGTTGCTTGGCCTCTCTGAGCCTTCCTACCCATATTTATGCAGCGGGGCTGAGCAGAGGATTGACAGGGGCTGTGTCCAGCGATGGTGCACAGTAGGTGCCCAGCCAATGGTTCCTCCCCCGACTCCTCTCCTCCTGGGGGCCCCCCTCACCTGACTGCCTGGTTCTGGCCACGGACGTCAAGGACCAAGGTGGCCTGAGAATCACAGGTCAGCTGCAGCGAGGAGCTCATCTCCTCTGCCTCCCAGAGTCCTTGGAACACGAGCTGAGGAGGGAGCAGGCTGTGAGATGTGCGGGTGTAGACAGCCTGAGGAGCCTCACAGGCCTGGTGGGGACCCCAGCTAAGCTCTATAGCCCAGCACGTCCCTGTCCCCAACCCCAGCATGGCCTGGGAGCCACAGAAGCCCCGCAGGCTTGACTCATCCAACACTCTCATAGATGCTGAGGATGCAGGGCCGGGAACAGCCCCGATTGCAGCTGAGGTTGGCAGTACCCACCCAGGGACCCCAAAGGACAGCTGCAGCCCACACATTGGCAGAGCATGTGCTCCCTGGAGGACTCCCTGTCACCTGACCTCAAGGCCAGGAAAGGGTTTAGATGAAGTCAGGGGCACGGGGTATCAGTCCACTCAGCTGTGGGGTACTGGGCAGAGATCCTTTGCAGGAGGGGTGACAGCCTGGCCCCTTGACCCGCCGGGAGCTGCCCCTCCTCCCACAGCAGAGTGGAGTGGGGCAGGGGTTGCTGGGTAACCGGAAACAGGCTGGGAAAGAAGCATTAATGCCTGGCTCTGGAATACGCTCTGTGTTGGAGAAGGAGGGCCCAGCTAGGCAGGACGAGCTCATGCCAAGTGACAGTGGTCAGGGCATGGCCCCATGTGGGTTCCTCTTCACCGAGGCAGGAGGACACCAAGATGAAGAGCCAGGGTGCCAAGTCTGAGTCCCTATTTTGCTGCTTACTTGCTAGGTGACCTTGGGTAAGTGGCCCACACTCTCATCGTGACCCAGAGATAATGATGATAATAGTCATTGTCACACCATCAGCATCATCTTCCCCTTCATCACAGCAGGTGCTTCTTAAGCATCTACACAGGCATTAATGGGATTAACTCACTCGATCCTCACAACCTCCACATTAGAGGTAATATCATCGTCCCCATTTTGCAGATGAGGAAATGAGGGCACAGACAGGTGAAGGAGTTTGCCCAAGGCCACACAGCCGGCAAGCAGCAGGGCTGGGATCTGAACACCGGAGAGGGCCTTCGTAAGGACGGTGCCATCCTGCCTCTCTCTGGGGCGTTAGGAGGATGAGACTAACGAACGCCCATCAACCCTTTAAAGGGGGCTGAGCACGCAGCAGGCGCTTGACAAGCAGGAGCTTTGATTCTGACCCAAGACTGCAGGGCAGAAGGACGCAGGCCAGGAGCCAGGAGAGGCCCCGAGCACCCACCCACGCCAGTCCTGTGATTGGGAACACAGAGACTGCTCAGCAGACCTCAGCAGTTATAGCAATTATGAAGGAAGCCTTTGTAAACTGTAAAGTACTGGGGAAACCCAAGGCCTGGTCCTCCCCACCCACCCTGCACACAGCGGGTCCTCTGCACACCAGGAATTGGACAGACGGGACAGAATTTGGAGGGAGGTCCTGCCCCACCCACTCCTTACCTGGTTGGTGAAGGGCAGGCCCAGCCTCTGGAGAGCAGGCACTGCATGGCTGGCATTGGCCACCAGCTGCAGTGGGCCATACGGTGGCCAAGCCACCAGGGCTGCCAGGTCCACGCTGACTCCACTGTCCCCGCCATGGAAGGCTACTATGGCCTGGGTCTCGGTCTCTAGAGGCAGAGAATGGCATGGGCTACTGAAGACAGGTTCACCTCCCTTCCCAGTCCAGGAACACACCAGACTACAGGAGAGGCCATGCCCTGTGGCCCTCAAACACAACACCAGCAGGAAAGGGCAAGGCTGCCACAGCGTGGGGGCTGGGTGGGGTCAACCATTTTGAGCCTCCTTGACATCACCTATCATAATGTGTCCCTGAGGATCTAGGCCTGGGCTCCTTCTCTCACTGAAGTTGAAGTTGCTGAAATGACACCTCCTCTAAGAAGCCTCCCCTGACTGCCCATCTGAAGTCCCTCCCAATCCTTTGCTGCCAGTCATCTTCCATCCCATCTCCTTGGAGTGTGGTTCCCAGCACAACCTGAACTGACCTCACTCACTTACTTATTGGGTCCCTGCTCCCCATACTCTCACCCCACCAGAAGGTCAGTCCCTGGGGGCGGGGTTTCTCTTAGGACAGCTCCTGACACCCAGCGGGGGTGCAGCGAGTGCTTTCTGAATGACTGCGGGATGAAACGCTTCTCTGCAGCGATTCCTGAGGATTATCCGAGTAGCCTGCAGAGGACTCAGCCTGAGGTCTGCTCTCCACAAATGGCCACTGCAGCCACTGACTTCCACCTGCAGCCACCCGGCCCTGGCTGGAGGGTCCCGTCCCTCCCATCACCCCCTGCAGAATGGGAGATTCTGGCTCACAGGGAGGAATTTCTTCTTTAACTTAAATTCCCTTTGCTACACGGAGAAATCCATCAGGTCTGGGAGTCCCAGAGCAAACAGATGGCGCCTACTCTACATCAGACGCCAGGTTCCCGTGGGGTGCAGCTCACCGCTTGGGCTCAGGCCCAAGTGACACTCAGCCAGGCTCCAGCACCTCCCATCTGGCAGCAGGGTGGATGAGCTCCACAGCTCTGAGCCTCACCTTCCTTATCTATGAGGTGGGCACAGCCTCATCGATAAGGACACGAAGTTTCACTCTGTGGCTCAGGCTGGAGTGCAGTGGCGTGATCTCAGCTCACTGCAACCTCCGCCTCCCAGGTTCAAGTGATTCTTGTGCCTCAGCCTCCTGAGTAGCTGGGACTACAGGCATGCACCACCACACCTGTCTAATTTTTTCTTTTCTTTTTTTTTTTTTTTTGTAGAGACAGGGTTTCACCTTGTTGGCCAGGCTAGTCTTGAAATCCTTACCTCAAATGATCCACCAACCTTGGCCTCCCAAAGTGCTAGGATTATAGGTGTGAGCCATCACACCTGGCCCCCCAAATAAAAAAGTTTGAGGCCAACATAAGATGCCCCAGGGGACTGGGGAGTCCCAGGGGTCCTGAATGGTTAAGAGTCACGTCTCCATAATCTATATGGGGGTCAGAGGGTGTCTCTGGGTTCAATCTTCCCTCTGTCATTATCAGCTGTGTGACCTGGGCCAGGTGACTCAACCTCTCTGAGCCTCCATTCCTCATCTGCAGAATGGGAATGACATTCCTAACCCTACCTCATAGGCTCGTTCATGCACCCATTTAATACCTACTATGTACCCTGCAACAAAGCAGACAAAAGTCATCCCTGCCCTCGCAGAGCACACATTCTGGAGATTCTAGCATAGAAAGAATGAGAAACAAAGGCATTTGTATGCTACACATATGTCAAATGACAGAGCTGGGGAGAGGGATGGGAGGAGATGGGGAGGTAGAAAAGAGAGGCCTCCCTGAGATGCCACTGGAAAAATACCTAAGGGAGGTGAGGAAGCCAGGCAGGTGTGTGGGAGAGAGGCATTCGAGGCAGCAGGATCAGCCTGTGCCAAGGTCCTGGGGCCACAGCAAGCCTGGTGTGTTGAAGAACAGCGAGGAGTGGAATAAGTAGGGCTGGGGGCTGGGAGATGAAGACAGAGAGGGGAAGGGTGTGGATTCTGATGGCTCACAGGCCCCTCTAAGAGCTTTGACTTTCCCCCTGTGTGATTGGGATGGCTGTACTGTATTGAGCTGTCGTGTGTACACAGCTTGCCTGGCATGTATGCAGTAAGTGCTCAGCCAATCCTGGCTCCTCTTGTTGCTTTTATCTTCCCACCATAATGGGTTGAACCGAGTCCCCAAAAAAGAGATATTGAAGTCCCACCCACACCCCTCACCCTCTGTCCTGTGATTATGACTTTATTTTAAAACAAGGTCTTTACATATGTAATTAAGTAAAAATAAGGTCATATCCTAATCGGACGGGCCCTCAATCCACTGTGGATTGTTTTTGCTTTTATGTTGAGACAGGGTCTCATTCTGTCACCCAGGCTGGAGTGCAGTGTTGCAATCATAGCTCACTGCACCCTCGACCTTCTGGCTCAAGCGATCCCCTGCCTCAGCCTCCCGAGTAGCTGGGACCACACACCGGTGCCACCACACCTAGCTAAGATTTCTATGTTTTAAGCCATCCGGTGTGTGGAAAACTGTCTCGGGAATTAGGTCATTGATGGGCAAGGCTGTCCTGGTTGTCCTAGAGCCCAGAGCCACACTGGGCTTGATGGAGGTGCTACCTGGGTCCAGGCCTGAGGCTGCTGGTCTGGCCCAGGCATGGAGGAAGCCAGCTCCCCTGTCCCGGGGCTGTGCGCTGGGTGCCTCACCGTGTATCTGCAGCTCAGCGCTCAGGCAGGCCTCTCCTGGGAACCCTGCCCACAACAAGGCCTCACTGTTGTGCCAGCTCTGGCCAGAGAGCTCCAGGTGCCCATCACGGTAACAGCAGCTCATGGAGTAGTTGAGGAACGTGGGCCCCATCACGACGCGCCCAGAATGCTCGAAGCCGGAGCTGCCGTTGTGAATGTCCACAGAGACCTGGAACGACACCGAGGAGACGCTGGACCGCCCTTTGCAGAGAGAGCCAGCCCGGGTCAAGCTGGCACTGGCTCCCACAAACCCTGGGGTTATCAGTGCCATTCACGTCACTGTGGTGGGAGGAATTCACACCCACTTGCAGGAGGTTTGATGACCAACGTGGTTACTCCAGCTAATTATACATGCACCCAGGAGAACATAGAGAAAACCCAGAGAAACCAATCAGGAAGTGGGTCAGGCAAGGGAGAGTAGGCCTGGGGAGGATGGCTGGAGAAAGGCTTTGGGAAGACCAAGATGTCCTGGCTGGTGCGAAACAGGTTGCAAACCACCGCCTACATCTGTTCTTGTAAACAAAGTCATTGGAACACAGCCCTGCCTGTGTGTCGGAGGCATTTGAACCAGAGCAACTCCATGTTGAATAGACGCTGGGTAAAATAAGGCTGAGACCTACCGGGTTGCATTCCCAGGAGGTTAGGCGTTCTAAGTCACAGGACGACATAGGAGGTCAGCACAAGACACAGGTCATAAAGACCTTGCTGATAAAACAGGTTGCAGTAAAGAAGCCGGCTAAATCCCACCAAACCAAGATGGAGATGAGAGTGACCTCTGGTCGTCCTCACTGCTACACTCCCACCAGCGCCATGACAATTTATAGGTATCATAACAACGTCAGGAAGTTACCCTATATGGTCTAAAAACGGGAGGCATGAATAATCCACCTCTTATTTAGCATATCATCAAGAAATAACCATAAAAATGGGCAACCAGCAGCCCTGAATTGTTTCTTGCCCAAGATCCAAGAACCCTCCCTTGGGGTCTGGATTGAGATTCCGTTCCGGTAACATGTTCACGTCCTATTCCCGTGACTGCTTTCACAACACAACAGCAGCCGAATGGAGGCGCTGCGGCAGAGACTGCAGGGCCACAGAGCCTAGGACGTTTACCATCTGGCCCTTGATGGAAAAAGTTTCTCAAACTTTGCTGTGAGATGTAATTCCCTCCCATGCCACCCACAACTGTCTCGGTAAAACCTTCAGTGAGGCCAGGCACACTGGTTCACGCCTGTAATCTCAGCACCTTGGGAGGCCAAGGCCGGTGGATAACTTGAGGTTAGGAGTTTCAAACTGTCCTGGCCAACATGGCAAAACCCCATTTCTACTAAAAATACAAAAATTAGCCAGGTGTGGTAGCAGTTGTCTATAATCCCAGTTACTCAGGAGGCTGAGGTGGGAGACTCTCTTGAACCCGGTGGGCGGAGGTTGCAGTGGGTTGAGATCACGTTACTGCACTCCAACCCGGGCGAAAGAGCAAAACTCCATCTCAAAAAACAAAAACCTTCAGTGAAATCTCCACCACCTCTTCCACCACTATCAACGGAGCTACCCAGGCATGAAGGAGCAGGGATGAATGAGGGAGGGGGAGAGGACACCTTGGGCCCGTGTGACCCAAAGAATGACCTGCGGCCCAGCCGTGACTACATCACCTGGACTGAGAAATGCAGGGTCTCAGGCCCCAGCCCAGACCTGCTGAATCAAGCCTGCATTTTAATGCCCTCCCTGGTTATGCCTGTGTACTGGGTGTGCGGGAAGTCCCACTTTAGGCAGAAGGCCGCATCTGCCGTGGGACCCCACAGGAGGTCCAGGTCTGCTGGGCTCTGATCGTGTGCCACCCACCCTCTGGCATGACAGCCCAGGACTCAGGGCTGGACTTATCGTAAGTTTCAGGGGCTCTGTACTGCTGGCCAGCTCTGTAAGACTGTCCCCGTCCACCCTGGGCCACACCCTGGCCTGCCTGCTAGGCCTCTGCTGGTGTCACCGCTGGCCTTGATGGCACCAAGGAGACTCAGTGTGACAGCAAAGAGGCCAGGGCTGAGCTCTCTGTCACTATCTACAGAGCGCTTCCCTGCATCCCAGCCCCAGTGGGCAGAGCTGGGGAAACTGAGGCCTGAGCCCTTATCACCACATAGCTGGCTCCCTGGACTTTCCTCCTAGGACTGGGCGTTCCCAGGGTCCAGTCAACCCTAGACCAGGGGTTGCAAGTTAGTGGCCCTTGAGCTGATAAGTTTTATGTGGTCACTGACTCTAGTATTTTTTGTGTTGTTTTTTGTGAGATGGAGTCTTGCTCTGCCACCCAGGCTGGAGTGCAATGGCGCAATCTTGGCTCACTGCAATCTCCGCCTCTTGGGTTCAAACAATTCTCCTGCCTCAGCCTCCCAAGTAGCTGGGACTACAGGCACACACCACCATGCCCAGCTAATGTTTTTGTCTTTTTAGTAGAGACAGGGTTTCACCATGTTGGCCAGGCTGGTCTCGAACTCCTGACCTCAAGTGATCCACCTGCCTTGGCCTCCCAAAGTGTTGGGATACACGACATCATGTATAATTCTGTTTGTATGAAATTTCCAGAATAGATGAATGCATAGGGATGGAAGGCAGATTCATGGTTGCTGGGGACCAGGGAGGAGGGGATGGGAGGGACTGCTGATGGATATGGGGTTTCCACTGGGGTGATGAAAAGTTCTAGAACTTGCAAGCACTGATGATTGTAGAATAGTGTGAACGAACATAGCGTCCCCAAGTTGTATACTTTAACATTATTACATATATTTTACTACAAGAAATGTGAAAAGATACATATGATGTGGAGGGTCTGAGACGTGGCACACACTCTGTAGTTCCCCACACAGCTCAGTGACACATTTCAGTTCTCCGCCTGGCCCCCAAAGGCTCTCCGTTTGCAACCCCTGCACCCAACTCACGCAGGTTTATCATTGAAACAGCAGGAGCAAGCCAGGTGCAGTGGCCCACGCCTGTCATCCCAGCACTTTGGGAGGTTGAGGCAGGCGGATCACTTGAGGTCAGGAGTTCAAGACGAGCCTGGCCAACATGGTGAAACCTCTCTATTAAAAATACAAAAATTTAGCTGGGCGTGGTGGTGGACGCCTGTAATCCCAGCTACCTGGCAGGCTGAGGCAGGAGACACTTGAACCTGGTAGGCAGAGGTTGCAGTAAGCTGAGGTCATGCCACTACACTCAAGCCTGCGCAACTGAGCAAAACTCCATCTCGGGAAAGGAGAGGGGAGGAGAGGGGAGGAGAGGGGTGGGGTGGGGGAGAGGCTTAAGACCCTGTCTTAAACCTGGGGATACTACCAGACACGAAATAGAAATGCCTGAGCCCATGACGCTTAGGTGGCAGTGGTGGGAGGCAGACAGGACAAGGAGAAAGGCGTTGTGCTTCCTGCCTGCTCGCTCGGCAGAGAGAGCTTGAAGCCACCTGAGCTGAGACGCACACACCAGCCCTGAGCTCCACGGTCCACTTGTCTCATGATGCTAGGACATGCCCACCACCAGTCCAGCTGTCCACTAACCCAGCTGCCCATAACAGAGGTGGGCTTGCAACCCTTGGGGCCTGGTTGATGTCTACCTGTGTTTGCAAATGGGACCACGTGAAGACCCTCAGGTTGAGCTGATGCCCCTGGGAACTGGGAGTCCAGGTGCATGTCACCAGGGATGCAGGGGGTCTTGAAGGAGGGGGACCATGTGAGTATCTCCTGGCAGTGACCTCAGCCCCAGGCCACACCACAGGCAGTCCCTGTGATCAGGCTGTGCCAGCCCTGCTGAGGGGGTCCACTATGGACCACAACCGTCCCGCCCAGGACAGAGACCCCATACCTCGAGAGGCTGCCCAGCGATGTCTCCTCGGCACCATCCTAACAGCTGGGTGGGCGAGGTGTCTCCACTGCAGTTGACCTACAGAGACCAGTGGGTGGGAAGGGGCTGGCTTCTTCCTCGACCCCAGAGTGAACTGTCGTGGGTGCCAAGATCCCACTTGACCCTACCCTATGGGGAAGCCACCAAGGGCAAATAACCCGAAAGAGAGGTTTGCACAGAGACTTGAGGGCGAAGCCACAGCCTCATCATCAGATGAAGGTAAGCAGAGCTCCCCCCATGCAGGGCCTCTGCGCCAGGCACGGTGCTCACTGAACCTCAGAGTAACCATGGAAGGAGGTGGCAGATGAGGAAACTGAGTCACCCGAGTCAGGGAAAGAGGAAGCATCTTGCGTGTGGTCACACAGTCAGCAATGGTGCAGCCTGGCTTCAGGCCAGCAGCCCTGGTCACTCACATTCCCTCTCCCACCATGGACGGTTTAGCCACCCTCAGGGACGCGCACCGAGGTGGTTTGCTGCTTTTCGTTTATGAGAGCAATGAAGAAGACAGCTGCGGGTGTGCGGCTTCTCCAGGGTGGGGGCCCCAGGGAGGAACTGAGGGACCAGGGCCTCCACCGTCTTCATTCTACCAGGCAGGGCCTGGTGCAGGCTGAAGCCTGGCACCCAACCCACTCACCTCCAGCTGGGAGGGCAGCGTGCCCTGCAGCCCCGAGAGGCTGTGGTTCAGCCCCAGCACCAGCCCCTGGCGGCCGTCCTCTGCCTTCCTCTCCAGGGCTGCGTGGAGCTGTTCACCATCCAAGTTTACCGTCAGCCCGGCCGCCAGACTGCGTCCCACACTCTGGGCATAAGCAAAGCTGTTGGGCGTCCTTGGGACCCAGTGTCCCCTGGGAGGGCCCGGGTGCAGCCCCCTTCTCACTCACCTGGAAGTGCCCGTGGCCGTTTATTGAGAAGGGGAGGCCCCAGTGGTGGAGGCTGGGCATGGTGTGGGTGTGGTGGAGGCTGGCATGGAGTTGGCGGCCTGGGGACTCGGGGGTCAGGTCCTCCAGGCCAAGGGCAGCGTCTAGCTGACCCCCCGTGTTCCGCAGTGCCAGGCGTGCTGAGCAGTTGGAAGCCATGTGGGTGAGAGACAGGAGCATCCCTGCCTCGGAGGGGAGTCCTGGAGGAAGAAGCCAGAGGGCAGAAGTGGGCAGAGCCCCAGAGGCCACTCAGACCAGTCCACCACATTTAGTCACGACGGAAACATGACAGGGGCCTGGCCAGCACACCTGCTCTCTAGAGGATCCCCTGAGCCCCATGGCTCCAGGTCCTACTGCCCCCAATACACCAGGTTAAACCATCTGAAACTGTCCACATGTCACAGAAATGGCGATTTCATCTGGTCCAACCTCACAGCACAATTGCCACATGCAGCCGGTGATAAGACCCATGTCCCCTATAAGATTTCTAGCTCCCCAAGGAAAGAGCCCAAATCTCAGAGGGAAACAGGGGTATGATCATGTGTCCTCCCCTCGCTGCTGTACCTGGGGGCCCCCTCCAGGCCGGGAGGGAACATTTGGGAGCTCGAGCAGGGGCTGCTGCGATTATTTCATACTGCGGTCCCAGGGGGCATCCTTTGGGTCCTGGCTAGGCCAGGTATCCACGATGCACAAGCTGTCCCAGGGAATGGGGGTGGGAGGCCTGGAGGGGGCTGGTGGCAGGGGCTGTCACCATTTGATTTGAAGCATGTCAACATGGTAACAACTAGTGCCCTGAACCTGCATGTTCCAGCTGAATCACAGCCCAGGGAAGGAGATGCAGGAGTGCCGGGGAAGCCAGCAGGGGAAAGAAATGAAGGTGGAATGTGAATCTGGGGGTTGGAGGCTCATTTATCCCCTTCCCTTGGCTCCAGGACTTAGGAGTCTTGCAGGAACAAGCTGTTCTGCCTGGACCACTCGTCCTACCTGCATCACTCAGCGTGCTGATATTGTGTGTCAGGCCAACTGCAAGCTGGCTGTGCCCGGGGCCCCAGGAGCAGGCGCCACCCAGAGCCAGGCTGGCCGCATGGGCCCGGATGCTGGCCTGGGCCCTCAGGTTCCTCATCTGGGCCTGCAGCCGGCCCTTCAGCTGGAGCTCTCCAGGCAAGGCCTGGCTGCTGTTCTGGGCAAGGACACAGGTCACGCTGCGCACGCTGGTGCCGTTCCCTGCCTTCTCATGCTTGTCCCGCAGGAGGAAGCCCAGCACAGCTGAGTCAGCAGTGACCCTGAGGGTGCCTGCAGAGGATGGTGGAGAAGAACAGAGCAGGGGCGGCTCAGGGAAACGAGCCACTTTGGAGAGGAGGGAAAATAATTTGGGGGCAGGAAGTCGCTAGATTCACGATGTCGCACTTATAATTCATGTCAGACATGGTACATTTGTGAAATCCATCAGAGTACACTAGCTCCCTCCCAGTACACTCTGAAAATCAAGTGAGCTAATTCGCAAAATAATTAGGAAAATCTGAATAGCTCTCTATTTATATAGGGCTATACATTTATATAGCTCTATACGTTTTTCAAAAAACGCTCCAGACATCTTCGCTGGTAGAGGCAATCCAGACATTTAGGGAACATCGCCACCAATCTCATACAAACTACCTCAGAAAAGAGAAAAGAATACCCGACTTGGTTTATGAAAGTGGCATAAACCTCATCCCAAACCTGACAAGAGCTTTGCGAAAAAAGGAAACTTACAGCCCAATAGTGCTATGAACACAGACACCAACTTTCTTTTTTTTTTTTTTTTTGAGACGGAGTGTTGCTCTGTCGCCCAGGCTGGAGTCCAGTGGCGCGATCTCAGCTCGCTGCAACCTCCACCTCCCAGGTTCACACCATTTTCTTGCCTCAGCCTCCCGAGTAGCTGGGACTGCAGGCACCGGCCACTACACCCGGCTAATTTTTTTGCATTTTTAGTAGAGATGGGGTTTCACCGTGGTAGCCAGGATGGTCTCGATCTCCTGACTTCGTGATCCGCCCACCTTGGCCTCCCAAAGTGCTGGGATTACAGGCGTGAGCCACCGTGCCTGGCCGACACCAACTTTCTTAACAAAGTATTAGGAAACCAAATTCAATTACGTATAGAAGGAAAGAAAAATACATATGAAAAAATGCAGGGAATCCCACTAAAGCAACATCAGATTCACACTGAAGACCAATTTAATTCACTCTATTAACAAAATTAAGGTGGAAAACCATATGAATATGTACTAGATTCAGAAAAGGCATTTGATTACATTCAACATCCATTCTTAAGAATAAAAACTGGCCAGGCACGGTGGCTCATGCCTGTAATCCCAGCACTGTGGGAGGCTGAGGCAGGCAGATCACTTGAGGTCAGGTGTTCAAGACCAGCCTGGCCAACAAAGTGAAACCCTATCTCTACTAAGAATATAAAAATTAGCCGGGTGTGGTGGCATATGCCTGTAATCCCAGCTACTCAGGAGGCTAAAGCAGGAGAATCGCTTGAAACAGAGGCGGAGGTTGCAGGTTGCAGTGAGCAGAGATTACACCACTGCACTCCAGCCTGGGAGACAGAGCAAGACTCTGTCTCTAAAAAACAAACAAACAAAACTCTGCAAAACTAATACCAAATCTTAAAATTATGGAAATTTTGAACGTTTTCTTTGTAAGATTGAGAACAGGTAAGGATTTTTGCTCTTAGCATTTTTATTCAAAATTATACCGTATTTCTTTGCCAAGACAATAAGAAAAAAAAAATCTAAATGGCATAAAAAATATCAGGCCAGGCTAGGCACAGTGGCTCACGCCTGTAATCCCAGCACTTTGGGAGGTTGAGGTAGGAAGAATTGTCTAAGCTCAGGCATTCCAGACCAGCCTGGGCAACAAAGGGAGACCCTGCCTCTAAAAAAAAAATTATCTGGGCATGGTGGCATGTACCTGTAGTCCCAGCTACTTGGGAGGCTAAGGCAGGAGGATTGCTTGAGCCCAGGAGTTTGAGACTACTGTGAGCCATGATCATCCCACTGTACTTCAGTCTGGGTGACAGAACAAGACCTCATCTCAAAAAAAAAAAAAAAAAAAAAAAAAAAAAAAATCAAAATGGAAGAAAATATTCTATTCCAGAGTATATAAAGAGTATCTACAACTCAGTAAAAGACAAACAATTTAATAAATGGGCAAAAAATTAATGTGACCTGTCTCAAAGGAAGCTACATGAACAAATAACACACATGAATAAGTGCTCAGCCAGGCGCAGTGGCTCACATCTGTAATCCCAGCACTTTGAGAGACCTAGGCGGGTGGGTCACCTGAGATCAGGGGTTCAAGACCAGCCCGACCAACATAGAGAAACCCTGTCTCTACTAATAATACAAAAAAAATTAGCCAGGCATGGTGGCACATGCCTGTAATCCCAGCTACTCAGGAGGCTCAGGCGCGAGAATCTCTTGAACCCAGGAGGCAGAGGTTGAGGTGAGCTGAGATGACACCATTGCACTCCAGCCTGGGCAACAAGAGTGAAACTCCATCTCAAAAAAAAAAAAAAAAAAAAGTGCTCAACATCATTCATCAACAGGGAAATGCAAATTAAAGCCACAAGGAGAAACCACTAGACACTAAAATGATTATTTTCTTGAGACAGGGTCTCACTCTGTTGCCCAGGCTAGAATGCAGTGGTGTAATCATGGCTCACTGCAACCTCAACCTTCCAGGCTCAAGCGATCCTCCCACTCCAGCCCCCGCGTAGCTGGGACTACAGACATGCACCACCACGTCCAGCTAATTTTAAACATTTTGGAGCAACAGAGTCTCCCTCGGTTGCCCAGGCTGGTCTGAAACTCCCAGCCTCAAGCAATCTGCCCTCCTCGGCCTCCCAAAGTGCTGGGATTATAGGTGGAAACCGCTGCTCCCAGCTGAGATGTGCACATTTCACTGTCTGTAAATTTTACATCAGAGGAAGGAAGACAGGGAGGGAGACTAAGAGCAGGGAGAATTGTAAGCAAATTTTGAGCTTTAGTTCACGATACATATGATAATCCATTTAGTAAGTAAGGTGTTCTGATGTCTACAACTCGCTCTGAAAAGCATCAAAAATAACATAGATGGATGTGTTACAGGAAAGGGGTCTGGATCCAGACCCCAAGAGAGGCTTCTTGGATCTCCTGCAAGAAGGAATTCAGGGTGAGCCCATGGTGCAAAGCAAAAGCAAGTTTATTAAAAAAGGATAGGAATAAAGAATGGCTACTCCAGACAGAGCAGCCCTGAGGGCGGCTGGTTGCCCATTATTACTGTTATTTCTTGATTATATGCTAAACTAGGGGTGGATTATTCATGCCTCCCCTAAAAAAAAAAAATTAGCCCAGGGTGATGCTGTGTTCCTGTAATCCTAGCTACTCGGGAGGCTGAGGCAGCAGAATCTCTTGAACCTGGGAGGTGGAGGTTGCAGTGAGCTGAGATCGCTCCACTGCACTCCAGCCTGGGGGACAAGAGCAAAACTCTATCTCAAAAAAGAAAAAAAGTATTACGTCTGCAACCTGGGAAAACACAATTCAGGAATAAAATAATACGTTAAATATATGTACATATAGAGAGAATATGAATATGCAAATGATAAAGGAAATGTAAAATGTTAGTAGCTGGTTAATCTGGACAAAGGGCCTGTGGGATTCTTTGCACTGTTCTTGCAACTTTTCTACAAGTCTGGTGTTATGTCAAAATAAAAGTTATTCCAACAAATATGCCTGGGAAACCCTGCACCCAACTCTTCCTTCTGGAGATATACAATGTCCATTAGCATGTTAAAGGCTCTGACAAGTCCTGCATAAGGAAACCTATACAGTTTTTAGTGAGTATATTTTTGTCAGAATGTATATTTCTCACAAAGGGGAATCATCCATACCCCTTTATCTAAACCTATGGATACGCCAGTGTAAGATGCTGGAGATGGAGCATCATTGGACTTGGGTGGAACTGAATCTACCTTGCAGTTCCATAGAAAGTGCTTGCCCCGCCCCCATGGCATTCCCCAGGCCCTCACCCTCTCGAAGTGTCTCCTTCTGCTTCAGCCTTCCTGTGAGTGTCAGGAGGCGGGGCATCGCTGCCCAGCCAGCCACCGTGTGCTGGGTTTGGCTCTGTAAGGTCAGGACCCAGCCTCCCCTCCATTCCTCAGATGCCTTGAGGAGCAGCTGTGCTGTGTTCTGGTCCAGCAGTGCCTTGGAAAACAGCCAAATCCTAGGCAGTGAAGTGAGGGGGTTAAGATCATAGGCTTTGTAGTCAGGCAAATCTGGGTTCCAATCTCAATGCTGCTACTCACTAACAGGATGACCTGGGAGAAGGACACAACCTCTCTGAGCATCAGTTTCTCCTTCTGCAAAGTCGGGAATAAAGTGGACAAACTGATACTTAGCTTTTTTTTTTTCTTTTTGGGAGACAGGGTGACTCTGTCACCCAGGCTGGAGTACAGTAGCGTGATCTCGGCTCACTGCAACCTCCACCTCCTGGGCTCAAGCGATTCTCCTGTCTCTGCCTACCAAGTAGCTGAGATTACAGGGACCTGCCACAACAGCTAAGTTTTGTATTTTTAGTATCGACGGGGTTTCACCACATTGCCTAGGCTGGTCTTGAACTCCTGACCTCAGGTGATCTGCCCGCCTCAGCCTCCCAAAGTGCTGGGATTACAGGCATGAGCCGTTGCGCCGTACCCTGAACTGATATTGATATTGATACTGACAGGTACTCACCCAGGAGTGATACAGTGTGTTTGCACCTATGGCTGGCTCTTCCCACACACTCTCCTGCAAGGTGACTTTGCCACTCCTGCATTAACATGTGAGATCTATTTCCTCTCCCTCTGAATCAGGGCTGCCCTTGTGACCTGCGTTTTGGTCAACAGAATGTGGCAGAAGTGACACTGCAGAAATTTCAAGGTTGGGCCCTAAGATCTGCAACTTTCACCTTCTCACATGAATGCTCCCTCTTGGAATCCAGCCACCTGGTAAGAAGTCTGACCAGCCTGAGACCGCCATGATGTGAGGAAGCCCAAGCAGCCATTTGAAAAGGGGGGGGGGGTTGCACATGGAAGAGCACCGAGGTGCCAGACATGTGAAGCCTTCCTAGACTTCCCAGTCCACCCCAGTCCTCAGTCCATGCACACATCTGTCTGGGAACTGACTCAGCTGAAGGCTGATGTTAGCCAAGAGTCCCAGAGAATGACCCTTGCCAAAGTCACACAGAGCAGAACTGCCTAAGCCTTGTGTAAGTTCCTGACCCACAGAATCACGAGCAAACAAAATGGTTGTTCTTTAATCTCCATGCTTTGGGGTAGCTTGTTATGCAGCAACATCTAACCAACACACTCTACCATGCACTGTGCACTTTAGATGCATTGTCTGACTCCTTACAAAAGCCCTGTGAGTTTTGAGAATATTATGATCCCCAATATACAGATGAGGAAACAGGTAGAGAGAGAGAGTAATGGGCTCAAAGCTCAAATAGGCAGTTAGCAGTACCTAAAGCATAGTATTGTTTAGAATTAAATGAACTTTGGAATATAAGATGCCTGCTCCTGGGTCAAAATGAGTGACTGATAAATGTGAGAAAAGGAACAGCCCCAAGAAGCTTGCTGTTAAACTTGCTGGAAAACTGGGGCAGGGGACGCAGTTCCTATCATTACACAGTGAATTTCTGTATGACACCACTGGAGAGATTTCCCTTGAGCTTCACCACCAGGAACAAGATGAGCCATGCATTTCATGGTGCACAGCTGTCAACTGTGTGTGTGTGTGCACTTCCTGAGGGCCACTGCAAATACTACTACTTGTTGGTTTCTCTCTTTGCATTGGCTGCTAGGAAACTCAGAGCCAAATCTTCAGCTGAGCTGTACATAACACAGAGGAACTCATAGCATGAATTTTGTTTACTGACACTACTTTGAGCAGCTTCCCATTTTTCCTATTTTTCTTTTCCCTTCTCCCTAGCTTCCTCATGTATCTCTTTAAAATCTTGAACAAGGGTTGAAAAACTATAGCTTGTGGGCCAAAGTTGGCCCACCACTTCTTTTTATAAATAAAGTTTTATTGGAGCACAATCATGCCCATTATTTATGAACTGTCTATGACACTCTTGTGCTGCCATGGTAGGGTTGAGTAGTTGCAACAGAGACCATACGGCCCATAAAGCTGAAAATAGTTACCATCTGGCCTTTTACTGAGAGTTTGCCAACTCCTGACCTAGAACAAGGTACATTTTAATAATTTGCCTCAAATCCTTTTCAGACTGGGGATAACGATGGACAGTTGGACAGGTAGATGGACAGCTGTGGTGGCAATTCTGAGGACAAGGTTATCTAGGACCATGTCCACAGCCCAGGGGCTCCTTAAATCCATGCCAAACCTGGAACAAACATGGGACTGCAGAGGACCATGTTCTACAAAAGAGACCCTGTTCCTACAAAAAAAAAAAAAAGTACAAAAATTAGCCAGGTGTGGTGGTGAGCCTGTAGTTCTAGCCACTAGAGAGGCTGAGGGGAATGGTGTCTAAAGTGGGGGGCAGTCTTGCACACTTAACCTGTGGGGGTCTGACGCTACCTCCAGGTATATAGGGTCAGAACTGAGTTAATTTGCAGGACACCCAGTTTGTGTCCACCAGAGAACTGCTTGATGGGGAAAAAGACCCCTGCTCCTGGCCACAGAATTATCCTGTACTGAGCATTCAGAGGATAGTAGCCGAAAAGAGTTTGTTTTTTCTGATGACACCTGCAGCAAAGATGGTAGCCAGCTATGGAGCGTGCTCACTGGCCCTCGCTTGGAACTCGCATGCAGGGCTCAGTTCATCCTTAAGACAACCCTAAGAAGCAGGTGGAGAAACTGAGGCACAGAAGGGCGAGTGGTCCCAGAGGCAGCAGGGGCAGAGTCGGACTGGAACCCAAGTGGTCACCCCTGGACCCTAGGCTCCTGAGCACCTCACCATAGTGGACACATCAGTAGGTAAATATATACTCAGACATGAGACCAAACGGAGATGTACATTCCTTGGGATCACTAGTGATTTTTGGTTCATTTCTTTTTACATGATGATTATTAATACTATTTTAGAGTCAGGCTCATTTCACTGTCGCCCAGGCTGGACTGCAATGCTGCAATCATAGCTCGCTGCAGCCTCCAACTCCCAAGCCCAAGCAATCCTCTAACCTCAGCCTCCCGAGTAGCTGGGACTACCGGTGCACGCCACCACATCTGGCTATTTTTTAATAAAATTTTTGTACAGATGGGGTCTATGTTGTCCAGGCTGGTCTTGAATTCCTGAACTCAAGCAATCCTTCCACCTCAGCGTCCTGAGTATCTGGGACTACAGGTGCACCCCACTATACCAGGCTAACCTTTTTTTTTTTTTTTTTTTTGAGACGGAGTCTCGCTCTGTCAACCAGGCTAGAGTGCAGCGGTACGATTTTGGCTCGCTGCAAGCTCCGCTTCCCCGGTTCACGCCATTCTCCTGCCTCAGCTTCCCGAGGAGCTGGGACTACAGGCGCCTGTCACCACGCCCGGCTAATTTTTTGTATTTTTAGTAGAGACAGGGTTTCACCGTGTTAGCCAGGATGGTCTCGATCTCCTGACCTCGTGATCCGCCCACCTTGGCCTCCAAAAGTGCTGGGATTACAGGCGTGAGCCACTGTGCCCGGCCTACCAGGCTAATTTTTTTTTTATTTTTTGGAGAGATGGGGCCTTGCTATGTTGTGCAGAGATGGGGTCTTGCTATGTTGTGCAAGCTGCTCTTGAACTCCCGAACTCAAGCAATCCTCCTGCCTCAGCCTCCCAAAGCCCTGGGGTGTGACTCATGGTGCCCAGCCCTTTATACATTATTGTTTAAGCTGTCTACAATGAACACTCTCATAACAATGCAAAAAAAATGAAGGGTAAAAGTGAAAAACTGAAAACCACCCGCTTTTCATGCCCTCAGTGGCACCGATGGGGCTGACTTGGGTGTGGTCTCGGAGGGAAAGAAGATGGGCCTCTCAGTGAGGATTGCCCAGGTCTCAGCCTTTTGGCCTCTGTGGTCTCCCCGCCTCCTTGCAGACCACCTGGGGACCATTACCTTGCTGGGGTGATCTTTCCAGACAGCTGCAGCCGAACAACCCTGGGGGCACTGAGGACAGCCTGGTGGAGAAGGACACTCACGCCCCAGCCCCGCCTGCTTCTCCGAGTGTCCTGGCTGGCGTCGACCTCCAGCAGAACCAGCTCCCGGCCAGACATATGCACAGATAGAGACCCGTTGAGGCTGCACACTCTGTAGCGTCCGGCAGCTGCCTGCACCTACAGGGAGGCAGGGGAGGGACAGGAAGGGTCTATGGGATCCTGGGTGTGGGGTAGGGCTGCCTCCTCCTCCAGGAAGCCCTCCTGAGCCACTCCAACTTTGAATAGTCACCAATCATGGTAGACAGCACACAATCAGGAGGAGAAACGAGACAGAGGGAGGGATGAGGGAGACAGCCTACCCTGGCTCCAGTTCCTGGCCCAGGGGTACAGGCCCATCTTGTCCTTTCCACATGTGAAATGGGAGTTCTTATTGTACAAATGGGGAAACTGAGGCTCTGAGAGGGTCATATATGCCACCTGAGTCTGCCTAGCTCTAAAACTCGTGCTGGTGGGGGAAGCAGAGGACATCTTTGCGACTCCTCCACGGAAAAGGAGGCCCTGTAGAGTGCCCTGCGGGAACCAGAGAACCCAGAACTTCTGGGGTTCAAAGAGGATGGCATCTGGGTACCAAAGCAGTCAGGCGGGGATGAACACATAGCTAGCCCCAACAAGGGTGTTGAAGGGAGCAGTGGAGGGTGGGAGCAGAGAGGCCCAAGGCTCCTCCAGCTCCACAGGACCTGAGCCTCTCCTTTTCCTGATCTGAGCCTCAGTTTCCCCATCTGCAAAGCAGGTTTAGCCCCATGGTTCTGAATCCAGCTTGTGTATTACAGTCACAATGAATTTTTTTTTTCCCCCCTGAGACGGCGTCTCACTGTGTCATCCAGGTTGGAGTGGCGCCATCTCAGCTCACTGCACCCTCTGTCTCCCAGGTTCAAGTGATTCTCCTGCCTCAGCCTCCCAAGTAGCTGGGATTGCAAGCGCCCGCCACCATGCCCAGCTAATTTTTTTGTTTGTTTGTTTTTGTTTTTGTAGAGATGGGGTTTCACCATGTTGTCCAGGTTGGTCTCCAACTCCTGACCTCAGGTAATCTGTCCTCCTCGGCCTCCCAAAGTGCTGGGATTACAGGCATGAGCCACCGTGCCTCGCCTGGAAAGGTTTTAAAAGAATGCCTGGTGCCTCCACAGATGAACTGCTGAATAAAACATGATACACCCAGACAATGGAATATTATCTAGCGCTAATATAAAATGAGCTATTAAGCTGAAAAAGACATGAAGGAAACTTAAATGTATATTACTAAGTGAAAGAAGCCCATCTGAAAAGGCTGCACACTGTATTCCAACTCTATGACATTCTGGAAAAAGGCAAAACCACAGAGAGTCAGAAGAACAGTGGTTGCCAGGGGGTGGAGTGTAGGAGGAGGGATGAACAGGTAGAGCCCAGAGGATTTTTTAGGGCAAGGAAACTGCTCTGAATGATGCTGTCAAGGCAGATCCATAATGTCTGTCAAAACCCAGAGACTGGCAGGGCACGATGACTCACACCTGTAACTGCAGCACTTTAGAGACCAAGGCAGGAGGACTTCTGAAGGCCAGGAGTTACCAGCCTGAACAACAGAGCAAGACCCCCATCCCTACAAAAAATTAAAACATTAGCTGAGCGTGGTGGCGTGCACCTATAGTCCCAGCTACTCAGAAGGCTGTGGCGAAAGGATGGCTGGAGCCTGGGAGGTAGAGTCTGCAGTGAGCCATGTCATGCCACTGCACTCCAGCCTAGTTGACAGAACAAGACACTGTCTTAAAAATTAAAATTAAAATTAAAATTAAAATTAACGTTTGAGCTGGACACAGGAGCTCACACCAGTAATCCCAGCACTTTCGAAGTCTGGCGCAGGCGGATCACTCGACGTCAGGAGTTCAACACCAGTCTGAAATCCCATCTCTACTAAAAATACAAAAAATTAGCTGGATGTGGTGGCGCATGCCTGTAATCCCAGCTACTTGGGAGGCTGAGGCACAAGAATCACTTGAACCTGGGAGGCGGAGTTTGCAGAACCGAGATCACGCCACTGCACTCTAGCCTGGGTGACAGAGCGAGACTTGGTCTCAAAAAATACTAATGATAATAATATTTGCACCCATTAGATGACCCAGCATCCAAGCTTCCAGGGGAACCCACCCCCACTCCCCAGTGAGTTTGGGGGATCGATTGGATGGTCTCTGAAACCAGAACGCCTGGGTTCCCACCCAAGATCTTCCACTGCTGAGCCCCATGATCTTGGGCATGTCACGCCACCTCTCTAAGTCTCACAGCCTCATCCACAAAATGGTACAACAGTGCTCCACGCCCCCCCACAACAGCATCGTGAGGTGACCATGAGATAATCCACAAAGAGGGTTTAGAACAGAGCCTGCCAAGCAATCACTCCACAGACATCAGCCCCTAGAACAAATGGTTAATATGATGGCATTTCCTCCCATCTAAAATGCCAGCAGCTCTCAGATGGGCCGTGATCTCAGGGAACTCCACAAAAGCAAAAGGCTGCTAGTGAAACGGTGACCTGTGTCAACATGAAGATAGAGCCTGGCTTCAGGGATGTCAACCTGTGAAAACTCGTGCCTCTAAGAAGCAGCAGTTCCCTCCATTCAGAGCCACTCTCGGGCTCCATTCGCGCGTCTAAAACCCAACACACAGGGAATGCACAGCAGGTGTTTAAAAAATGCTATCAGGGCTGGGCACAGTGGCTCATGCCTACAATCCCAGCACCTTGGGAGGCCAAGGGAGGAGGATCACTTGAGCCCAGGAGCTCATTGCCAGCCTGGGCAACATCGCGAGACCCCGTATCTGCCAAAAAAAAAAAAAAAAAAAAAAAAGGTACAAAAATTAGCTGGGTGTTGCAGCATGTGCCTGTGGCACCAGCTACTCAGGAGGCTGAGGTGGAAGGATCGCTTGAACCCAGGTGGTCAAGGCTGAAGTGAGCCGTGATTACGCCACCACTGCACTTCATCCCAGCCAACAGAGTGAGATCCTGTCTCAAAAGAAATTTTAAAATGCTATCAGGCTAGGTGCGGTGGCTCATGCCTGTAATCTTAGCACTTTGGAAGGCTGAAGCAGAAAGACAGCTTGGGGCCAAGAGTTTAAAACCAGCCTCGGCAATATAGTGAGACCCCACCTCTAATTTTTTTTATCGCTATCAAATTAAAGGTCTGCCCCACATCTCCTAAGGGCCTCATCCCTGTTGGGATTTCCTATTTACACCTCCACATCCTTGAATTAGTCACCCTCTAATTCCTGTGGCACACACCATACACAGTCTGCTCAATGAAGCTGCAAACTTGGTGGGGGGACGGGGCTTCCACCTGGATGTCTTTCTCCACATCCAAAATACCCTGGGTCAACAAAGCCCTCTTGAAGGATTACACAGTTTCGCCAAAGCCCAAATACAGGGCAGAGTTTGGAGGAAAACTGTTTCTGTCCATTTTCAAGAGTGAAATGTGATCCTTCATCCCCTTCAGCCTGGACCATCACTTCCAAATGATGGATGTGGAAACCTCCCTGCCATCTGTTCTTGATTCTGCAGGGGCTGTTTGGCTAAGCACAACACTGCAAGTGTGGCCTCCCTCCCTCAGGCCCCCATCCTGCCTTCCTTCCGCCCACCTCCCAGCAGGCCAGCTGCTCAGAGACAACTCTTGGCAGGCAAGTCAAGGTCATCCGCAAGGAAGCAACGTCCATACCTGGAAGTTTGGAGGAAATGTTGGTCTGTGGGGATGCTTGAGCTGGAAGAAAAATGTAAAGTCGAAGTCAGATCCGTTCAGCTGGACCGAGACCTGTTGTGGGGAGAGTTGAAGAGGGGTCAGAGGGAACAGAGAGGGAGATGCAGAACCCTAGGAGGTGGCTACTAGGCAAACGCATCCCAGAATTTGCCCAAAGCTCAAACCAGAAACTTCTGTCCTCCCTCAATGTTCCTCACCCCTCAATCTTACTCAGGCTGCGCTACTGAACAAGGTTGCTTAGGAAGTGTTGTCCTGGATTTGGGGCTGGAAGACCACTTTGGGACCCCCCACTCCCTGCCATGGTGCCTGCTCATGCCTCCCACAGACACACCACCTTCTAGTTGGCCCTGACTATGAACCAGGCACTGTGCTACCAGGTTCACAATGACTACTTCATTTAATCCTCAACACTGCTTTGCTGGGTTGCTGTTACCACCCCATTTCCCAGCTAGCAAAACTGAGGCTCAGTGGGACTCAGTAATTCACCCAAGGTTACACAGCTAGTTAACAGTGGAACTGGGAATTGAACTTGAACTTACATAACCCTAAACTGCCCACTAGATTGAAAGCTGTCAGAGATGGGAACAGAGATGGGGACAGAGTCACCCATGCATCCCCAGTGCACATCACAGAGCCTGGCACACAGGAGATACAACCTATCCATGCTGAATGAATGGACATGAATGCACATGCCCATGGATGAATAAATGAACAGCCATGAATGAGTAAATATACCTACAATGGCTGCTATATATTCACCAAACTGCATTTCCTTTTCTTCCTGGACATACAGCTAAAACTAAATTTCCCAGCCTCCCTTGCAGCTAGGTGGGATCATGTGATGAGAACCCAGGCAGGAATGACCTTTCCACTTATGGGTCTGGCTCATAAAAGCCTCCTGCATAATTCTCCACTCTCTCTCCCTCCGTCTGCCCACTGGGGCAGAGCCACAAAGTGGGGAGGCCTGGATCCTGAGAGACTGTATGGAGCAGAGCCACGGTGAACTGAGACGTCAACACTGGCCTTTCACAAAGAGCCAAACATTTGTTTACAACAGTCAATGCATCCTGACTAATCACAAACACATTGCCAAAATAAGGACTGTGCTGCTGGCTCTCCAGGGTCATGTCTCCTGCCACCTCCTCAGACATCTCATATAGCTCACCTTCTCTAAAGGTTAAGACCCGGCCTCCCTTGGCAAGGGAGCAGAATTCAGCCTCCTGACCTGGGATGTGACATTGTGGTTGACGGCAGCTCGTGCATCCACACCGAAGTTGAATGTTCCTTGGGGACTCTGTCTAAAGATGATGCCCCCATCCAAGTTCAGGGCCTGGGGGAAGCTCAGCTGGGAAGAAACAGACAACACCCTTTACTTCTGCTAACAGTCAAGCTGTGTGTGGAGGGCACAAACCAGTGTCTGCCCAACCTGGGGACCCGTACCTGGTAGGAATGGGCCAAGTCCAGGGCCAGGCTGTGCCGGATTTCCCCATGCTGAGATCTGTCACGATGTAAACCCTTCAAGTGCAGCACAACTTTCCGGTTGACTTTCAAAGTAGCCTCAATCTCCCTGTTCTTAGCCTGAGTGTGTGAGAACCAGAGGCACTGAGAGAGGTCTCGTACCATCTCTATGTGCCTGCGGAAGCCACCCTGGGAACCCAGTTGTCAGAAGAAAGTGGTCCAAAGATTGATGGGTTATGGAGCAGTCTACACTCCTCCACTTATAGGGCAGGAAGTGGGCACGGGTACACAAGAATGGTAACTCCAGTGCCTACAGCTAAGATTAGCCGGCTGGGCTTGATGGAACAAATGTGAATGTCTGTGTCTTGTTCAAAGAAAGTGCCTTGGGAGTAGTGTATTTTGTTCATTGCCATATTCCTAATACTTAGCACGGGTCCTGGCATGTAGTAGATGCTCAATAAATACTTGGACAAACACAGAATCACTAGCTACAGCCTGAAACTCCAAGGACAAAGCTGAGCTAGAGTGAAAGAATGTGTAACTCATAGTGGAGCTGGCAGAAGAACACTCATTCCACGATGACATCCATGTCCTCATCACTGAAACTTGTCAATATGAGACCTTTCATGGCAAAAGAGACTTTGCAGTGTGACTGGATTGAGGATCTTGAGATGAGGAGATTATCTGGGTGGCCCTAGAGTAATCACAGAGGTCCTGTGAGAGGGAGGCAGGAGGGTCAGAGTCACACAGAGATTGGAAGATGCCACGCTGCTGGCTTTGAAGATGAAAGAAAGTGCCATGAGCCAAGGCATGCAGGCAGCTTCTAGAAGCTGGAAAAGGAAAGGAAATGGACTCTCCTGCGGAGCCTCCAGAAGGAACACAGCCCTGCTAACACCTTGATTTTAGCCACATGACATCCATTTTGGGCTTCTGAATTCCAAAATTGTAAAATAAATTTGTGGCGTTTTAAACCATTAAGATTGCAGCGATTTGTCATGGCAGCCATACCAAACTAATACACAATGGCTCTATCGTTTATTCACTCAACAACCATTTAGCTTCTGCCATAGGCCAAGTACACAGTAGCACGTTACCATCTTTTCCTACCTGTGTTGAGTGAGAAGTTAAAAATGCCTGCCAAGGAGCTTTATCATTGGAATGCATCTTTCAAGGGGTCCATCTTTAAAGGGGTGCTCGGCTTTACTTTAAAACCAAGACAGAGGAAGAGAAATAAGGGTCCAAGAGGGGAGAAAAATGCCTGTCGTTAAACAGACTTATTTTATTTTGAGACAGTCTCTCTCTGTCGCCCAGGCTGGAGTGCAGTGGCGCAATCTCGGCTCACTGCAACCCCCACCTCCCGGGTTCAAGCGATTCTCCTGCCTCAGCCTCCCGATTAACTGGGATTACAGGCGCCTGCCACCACGCCCAGCTAATTTTTTTTTGTATTTAGTAGAGATGGGGTTTCACCATGTTGTTCAGGCTGGTCTTGAATTCCTGACCTCAAATGATCCGCCTGCCTCGGCCTCCCGAAGTGCTAGTATTACAGGCGTGAGCCATCTCTCCCAGCCTAGACACGGTTTTAAAAAGAGTAGACAGCCAAATTATATGAAACTAAACGACTGCCATTTACTCAGTCTGAGCCTGTTGTTGTCAGCTGGGATTTGAGGCCTGGTGTGGTCACGCCTTCTGAATTTTTTTCTTATAAACACCAGAAATCTGGGTTTCACTCCAAATCTTCTGATTTTCAGTGGTAGCAATTAATTTCCTTAAAAAATTTAAATGCTAAGCAGACCAAACAAAACCCATCTGCAGATTGAATTTGGCCCATGGTGCCGGCTCTGCGATCTCCGGTTTAAGAAACAGCAAACACCATCGGGAACCACTTCTGCAGGTGTCTGAGGCTGTCATCCTGCCGTTTGTTTCTCCCGAGAAGCTCCAAGAACTGTACTACCTTATCCCTGGGGAGCTGCATGCAGCCTCATTTAACTAATGGTGAAGGGAGCCCCCAGAAGGGTGGGTCTCAGTGCTCAGCAGCTGCCTGGTTCATCCTCCTTCCCAGGAGCTGTTTTGTATCTTGCAAAGAGAAACGGCCAGGTGCGGTGGTTCATTCCTGCAATCCCAGCACTTTGGGAGGCTGAGGTGGGGGGGATCACCTGAGGTCAGGAGCTCGAGACCAGCCTGGCCAACATGGAGAAACCCCATCTCTACTAAAAGTACAAAAATTAGCCGGGTGTGGTTGTGGGCACTTATAATCCCAGCTACTCGGGAGGCTGAGGCAAGAGAATCACTTGAACCCAGGAAGCAGAGGTTGCAATGAGCCGACACTGCACAGCTGCACCCCAGCCTGGGCAACAGAGCGAGACTCGATCCTCAGTCTCAAAAAAAAAAAAAATGGTGGGAGGGGCCTGTGCATGAACCTGGGAGGTGGAGGTTGCGGTGAGATGAGATCAAGTCACTACACTCCAAACTCCAGCATGGACAACAGAGTGAGACTTTGTCTCAAAAAAAAAAAAAAAAGAGAGAGAGAGAAAGAAACACACACAATGACTGTCTTCCTTGCATACAGTAAATCCTCCATAAATGCTTGCTGAAAAATACGGTGCTCTCCCAGAGTATCAACTCCTCCAAGAGGTGTCAGGAAGGCGACCTGGATCAGGTTCTAGTAGGCATTTTACAACACTACATTGTAATCCTCTCAGCCACTGCATAGAGATGAGCACTGCTGCTCCCATTCTGCAGACAAGGAAACTGAGGTCCAGAGACACGAAATAGTTAGCCAAGGATACACAGGCAAAAACAAGTTTCACCCCCAGGGAACCACATGCCAAGACCCTCAGCCAGGTGTGGTGACTCTTATCTGTAATCCCAGCACCTTTTTTTTTTTGAGACCAAGTCTTTCTCTGTCACCTAGGCTGGAATGCAGTGGTGGGATCTCGGCTCACTGCAACCTCCGCCTCCCGGGTTCAAGTGCTTCTTGTGCCTCAGTCTCCCGAGTAGCTGGGATTATAGGCACCCGCCACTACGCCCAGCCAATTTTTATAGTTTTTTAGTAGAGATGGGATTTTGCCATTTTGGCCAGGCTGGTCTCGAACTCCTGACCTCAAGTCATCCACCCGCCTTGGCTTCCCAAAATGCTGGGATTACAGGTGTGAGCCACCACGCCTGGCCTAATCCCAGCACTTCGGAAGGTGAGGCAGGAGGATCCCCTGAATCCAAGAGTTCAAGACCAGCCTAGGAAACATAGTGAGACCTCTATCGCTACAAAAAATTTTTAAATGAGCTGGGTGTGGTGGTGCACACTTGTGGTCTTAGCTACTTAGAAGGCTGAGGTGGGAGGATCACTTGAGCTTAGGAGGTCAAGGCTGCAGTGAGTGAGCCATGATCGTGCCCCTGCACTCCAGCCTGGGTGACAGAGCAAGACCCTGCCTCAAAAAAGACCCTCTAAGTCAGAGGTCAACAACTACAGCCCCTGGTCCAAATGTCGCCTGTTTTTGCAAGTAAAGTCCTGTTGGGACTCAGCCACGCCGTTCATCACGTATTATCCACGGTGCTCTTGAATTGCAACGGCAGATATGAGTCAACAAGACCTGAACCATGTGGCCCATGAAACCTCAAGTAGTTACTATCTGGTTCTTTCCAGAAAAGTTTGTTGACCTCTGCTCTGGATCCTGGCATGCGATGGGTGTTAAATAGCATCATGGCAGCAGCTATTCATTGAGCACCTACTGTGTACCAAGCCCTGTGGCTACAGTGTAAACAAAGTACTTGTGGAGATCATGAGTTTTCCACAGTAACAGAGAAGCCAGTGATTGATGAATCACAAAAATAGAACTGGGGCCAGGTACAGCGGTTCACATCTGTAATCTCAGCACTTTGGAGGCCAAGATGGGAGGACCGCTTAGAGTCCAGGAATTCAAGACCAGCCTGGACAATATAGCAAGACTCTGTCTCTACTAAAAATAAAAATAAAAAATAACCAAGTGTGGTGGTAGTGTGTGCCTGTGGTCCCAGCTACTTGGGAGGCTGAGGTGGGAGGATCACTTGAGCCTAGGAGGACAAGGCTACAGTGAGCTGAGATTGTGCCTCTGTACTCCAGCCTGGGTGACAGAGTGAGACTTTGTCTTTAAAAAAAAAAAAAAAAAAAGAACTGGGATTTGTGATAGGTACTAGAAGCAAAAGATACAGGGCAAGCTGGGTGCAGCGGTAATCCCAGCACTTTGGGAGGCCGAAGTGGGCAGATCACTTGAAATCAGAAGTTTGAGAACAGCCTGGCCAACATGGTAACACCTAGTCTCTACTAAAAATACAAAAAAAAAAAAAATAGTCAGCAGTGGGAATGCACGTCTGTAATTCCAGCTACTCGGGAGGCTGAGGCAGGAGAATCACTTGAACCTGGGAGGCAGAGGTTGCAGTGAGCTGGGATTGCACCACTACACTCTGGCTTGCGCAACAGAGCGAGACTCTGTTTCCAAAAAAAAAAAAAAAGAAAGAAAGAAAAAGATACAAGGCATAGCTAGGGTACGCAGGGGTGTGTGTGAGCTGATCTGGGGGTCAGGTGAGAAGATGCTTGAGCTCAATCCTAAAAGATGAGAAGAAGGGAAGAGGCAAAGCTGAAGGAGAGGGTAACGGCTCCAGGCACACAGGACTCACAGAGGTCCCGAGGCAGGAAAGAGCCAGGTGAGGAAATGCGAAGAGGCTGGATGAGGCGGATGCAGGCCACAAAGCGGGGCTGAGGTGACGGGAGTGGGGCTTCATCCCAAGAGACTTTGTCAGAGTTTGAGAGCAAGCAGGTGGCAGGGTTGTGCTGGCCTTTAGAAAATATCCCTCTGACTGTCACATAGACTATACTAGGGAGGACCAAATTAAACAGGGAACCCAGGCAGGAGAATTTTTTTTTTTTTTTTTTTTTTTTTTGAGGCAGAGTCTCGCTCTGTGGCCCAGGCTGGAATGCAGTGGCACAATCTTGGCCTGCTGCAACCTCTGCCTCCCAGGTTCTCCTGCCTCAGTCTCCTGAGTAGCTGGGACTGCAGGTACCCACCACCACACCCAGCTAGTTTTTGTATTTTTAGTAGAGATGGGGTTTCACCATGTTGGCCAGGATGGTCTCGAACTCCTGACCTCAGGTGATCTGCCCGCCTTGGCCTCCCAAAGTGCTAGGATTACAGGCATGAACCACCATGCCTGGCCAGGAGTACTTTTTTTTGTGGGCCGGGGTGCAGGGTAGGTGTCTGAGTCTTGCTCTGTTGCCCAGGCTGGAATGCAATCGTGCAATCATGGCTCACTGAAGCCTCAACCTCCTGGGCTTAATCAGATCCTCCTGCCTCAGCCTCCTAGGTAGCTGGGACTACAAGAACATGTCACCATGCCTGACTAATTAAACAAATTTTCTTTCCTTTATTTATTTATTTTTTTAGAAACAGGGTTTCCGTATGTTGCCCAGATGGATCTCCAGTTCCTGGTCTTAAGCGACCTTCCCACCTCAGCCTCCTGAGTAGCTAAGATTACAGGTGTGACTCATTGCACTCAGCCCAGATAACATGTTTTTAATCCTACTGAGAGATGGCAGCAACTTGAACCAGGGCTGACTGGGATGCAAAGGTCTCTGGGGTCTCCGCTCTTACCGTGTGCTGATTCCAAGCAACCAGGCACCCCTCTGTGTTCCTGGGGATGACTTTGCCATCGTATGGATGCATCAGACCTGCACAGACCTGGGAGAGACAACCACATACATGTACACACGCACACAGGGGGTCAGGAGGCAGCTGGGGCCTTCCTCCGGCTCTCAGACCCCTTCCCAGCTATGCCCTGGACCCACTCACATAGGGGTGTCCAGCCTGGCAGCCCAGGACCACAGTCTGCAGGGTTTCCTCTCCGCCATTCAGGACAACTCTAGTCTCCAGGGAATAGCGCTGGTGTCGCCTATCAGCCGTGAAGGTCTCCTGCAGGAGGAGGCTCTGCGGGATGGGCAGGTGCAAGGGGTGCCTGGTGTGCAGAGGGAAAAACAGGCCAAAGCCATTAAAGCAGCTGGTAGTGTTGGGGGACAATTGTGCCCCACGCTCTCAGCCTGGGCCTGTCATGAGCTTGCAGAGTTAAGATTATCACAGAGAAGAGAACATAGGACACCTGGCAGCCCTGTGCTTTACAATTTGGCATCTGGAAGCCTTCACCACCTCACTGTGCCAGTGAAGTGGGCATGGCTGGGGTCCCCATCGCCATTTGACAGCAAAGACCCAAGGGGATAGATGGCACACGGCATCTGGTGTCACTGACTGGGACTGGAATCCAGGCACGGTCTTTCACTAGCTGTGTGACCTTGGGCAAAGGACTTGATTTTTCCGTGCCTCAGCTTCCCCATCTGTAAAACGGGGTCTAAAATAATATTGATTGGACACAGTGGTCGGGATTAGAGATAACATATATGAAATGAACGCAAGCTCCGCAAGGGCAAAGGTTTCTGACGTTCTGGTTCTCTGCTATTTTCCACGTGCCCAGAAGAGCCCTTGGTCCATAGTAGGTGTTCAACGAACGTAAGTGGGATAAAAACACAAATGAACACCGTGCAAACGATGCTGCTCTTCCTTTGTCATCACTGCTGCTGTTTAGGCTGTAGGTGACTTATCTGAGGCCACAGAGCTGCTCAATGCATAGCCTGGAGTCCAAGATGGCTCTGCTCATCCCAACCTCGTGCTGTTGCCTGCACACAGGGAACTGCTTTTCTAATGAGCTCTGTCTCCGGGAAACGAGAAGACTCCCCAGGCAGCTCCAGGCTAGGATGATGAGACTCACTTCGGCTCCCACCTCAGCAACGAATGAAGGGGGCGAGGGATGTGGGAGCTTTCAGGGGAGGTGGCTCTCCTCTGGGATTTGGGTTCCATCTGGGCCCCAGCAGGTCAGCAGGGTTTCTCCAGGTAGCTCTGCCCATCCTGTTCCCCTGGGGACCCTCCACGCTGGAGAAGGGGAAACTTGCAGGGTGTCAGCTGAGGAGAAGGGGCGCACACACCTAAGGAGCAAGGTCCCCCGTTTCCGGTACAATGTCCTGTCTTGCCTCAGCTCCTCCAGCTCTCCCTCCAACTGCAGGCCCCGAGATTGGCCCTGGACACCAGTCCGCAGAGCCGTGAGCGACACCTGGGTCTTCCGGGGCTGCAACAAGATCCAGGCTGAAGGGAGGGACGGGCCAGCAGGACCATGCTGCAGACCTGCCTGGCAGGAAGGCAAGGGGTAGCACCCCACAGCCTGCCCATCACCCCCAGAAATGACTATCCGAGAACCACTACCGAACTCCACCCACAACCTCCACCCTGATTAGACCACAGGATCCCACCGGCACACCACCATGTCTAGACCTCCCTAGGTACCCAGGGGGAATGAAGAACTTGGATTTCTCAGCTAAAGGAAGCCAAGTTTTGCTCCTGGATTTGTGCTAATGTGACCAGGATTCCTTTCACAGAATAAGAAACTAAGGCTTGTCTGGGCACAGCGGCTCATGCCTGTAATCCCAACACTTCGGGAGGCTGAGATGGGAGGGTAACTTGAGCCCAGGGCTTTAAGACCAGCTTGGGAAACAGCAATACCTCGTGTCTGCCAAAAAAATAAATAAATAAAAAAAGTCAGCAGTGCATGGTGGCATGTGCCTATAGTTCTAACTACTTGGGAGGCTGAGCGGGGAGGATCCTTTAAGCCCAGACATTCGAGGTTGCAGTAAGCTATGACTGTATCACTGAACTCCAGCCTGGACAACAGAATGAGACTATCAAAAAATATGTAAGAAGAAAAGATGGAAAAGGAAAACGGAGAGAGAGAGAGAGAGAGAAATAGAGGCTCCAGGAGGCCCAAGGTCATGGGCCAAGCCAGTGGCACAAAACCGTTCTCCATCCCAAGCAGGGAGAGAGGTAGGAGATCCAGGTGAGGGATTTGGTGGTCTCTTGGCTGCACAGGCCTCCTGGGCTCTTACCCACTCCAGGTGCCTGTAGGCAGCTGTTAGGTTCAGCTCCTGCCGCGGACCTTTCAACAAGCAGTTCAGGATCTTACGGTCCCGGCTGTTCTCAGCATGGATCTCACCCTGCACTGCTGCATTCCAGGTTGACTCAACTTCACTCCAGCTGTGGAAGAGGCTCTGTGCCAAGACTGTCACCGTGGAGACCTGCAATGAGGTAAGGAGGGGGACCAAGGCCTTTGCACACCCTATTTCCTCCCCCTGGGATACCTTTTCATCTCTTTCCTGCTTGGTGAACTCCTATTCATCCCTCAAAACCCCTTCAATGTCATTTCTGTGAGGCCTAACCTGACTGGTGCAGGTAGGCTAATTTTCCCTACAGGGCCTTGAGACAAAAAGAAATACTCCCCTCTGTTGTCCCAACCCTGAGCAGGCATAATTTCCTTCTCTCCTCTTCAGTTTGGGGAGGGAATCTGATCTCGCTGGGCCGCTATTACTAGTAGCCAGGGTGTCTGTACCCTGAAGGGCACACGCTGGCGGGTGGCCTTCTCTCCCTGCACCATCACCATTGTCTTCGGGAGTCCTAGGAAGAGCTGGGTGCAATCTGGCCCGTTTCAGAGCTGGGGGAGGTAGACCACTTGCAGCCACCACCCTGGCACAAGCCCTGCATGGGATGGTGCCCTGTTGGCCGCCATCCCTTGTTCACACAACTCGGGGGTCTCACAAGGAGAAGTGACAAGGACAAGACAGGGTTTGGACGTGGCTGAGCCACCAACCCAATACCAGAACTTTGTAACACTTTGTCCCACGTCACTGATCCTCAGTTCCCCACCGCCAACTTCCCCATTTCCTAGAATGGCACTTCCATCCCACCAGATGCTTGGGCCAAAACCTCAGAGCCATTTATTTCCTTTCACTCCCTCCCCACCACCAATCCATCAGCAAATCTGGCATCTCCAGGATCTGGACACTTGCCAACACCTCCACTGCCACCACCCTGGACCAGGCCGCCATGCCCTCTGGTTGGGTGAAGGATGGGAGCCAGCTAGTCAACCGTACCTTGCTCTCCTGTCTTGGCACCCTCGGCTACACAGAGGCCTCCTCGTGGTTCCTAAGATTATCACCGCTCTTGACTCTACCCTGGTGCCACCCAGCCCTGCCTCAGAGGGGACTGTGCTGCCCTTGGATGAGCCCCATCAAGCCCAGACCTTCCCCACATCCACACATCTGCCAGTGCAGGGAGACAGTGCATCTGCCAGGCTCCCTCAGCCCTGCAGATGACACTAATCGGTTTTCTCCCAAACCTGTTCTTGCTTCTGCACCAAACGCGTGCAGAGAAGCAACTTCATGACAGTAGTTGGGATCAAACCGACTTATGTCCTAGAAGTTTTCACTGTTTTTTTGGCAAAAGCTGAATGTCTGCCTATTTCCTAAGTCCTGTTCGACTTGCTTTCCTATTTTATATTTCTCTCTCCTTCAGCTGCTAAGCAGGGATATGGGAAATCTAGACTTTCTTTTTTTAGGTCTAATTTTTCTACGTCACTTAGGAACTAACTCTGATAGTTGTAGGCACTGGGAGGGCCCAACTTCACACATCTGTGAGCTGCTATCTGCCCACAGGCCTCAGATTTTATCCACCTCTGCACCAGAAAAAGATCTCAGTGGCAGGGGACCAGGCATGTGCTGGGGGCCGAGCACCGCTCACCCGGAGGTAGGTGGTAGCTGGGGTGTAGACCTGGATCTTGCCTTCCCTGTTGGGGCCCTGACTCCTGCAGGCCACGCTGACCACCAGGTCCTTCAGGGTCCAGGCCTTGCCCAGTGTTAGCTCCAGGACAGCCTGGAACACAGCTCGGTGTGGCCAGTATAGCCGGTGAGCTGCAGAGACCATCAGCCATGGACTATCCAGGTTCAGGGCTCCTGCAAGGGAAAAAGGAGAATCTGGTACGCGGGGGAGAGGAAGCTTCTAGCAGGCAGCAAGAGGTCCCCAGAGTCTCATCATAGCCGCAATGGACAAATCTCAAAACTCGGAATAACTAGGCATGAGGGAACTTTCTAGGACATTGGTGATGTTGTGACTTATGACAGGTGTTTGGATCACCCAGGTGTATACGCCTGTCAAAACTCATCCAATCCTACTGTAATTTATGCATTTCACTCTGCTTAATGAACACATACTGAAACGTTTAGGGATGAAATGTATCAATGTCTACAACTTACTTTGAACTGCACAGAAAAAATAAGAGGGCTGGATATGTGGAGAGAGAGGTGATGAGGCAAGTGGGGTCAACTGTCAATAGCACAACCTAGTATGAGAGGACGCTGGTGATCACCGTACCATTCACCCAACTCTCCTGAATGTTTGCAGTTTTTTCATAATAAAACATTGGAAGGTCGGGCGCAGTGGCTCATGCCTGTAATCCCAGCACTTTGGGAGGCCAAGGTGGGAGGATCACTCGAGTCTAGAAGTTTGAGCAACAAAGTGAGACCCCATCTCTACAAAAAATACAAAAATTAGCCAGGCACGGTAGTGCTCACCTATATCCCAGCTACTTGGGAGGCTGAGGTGGAGGTTGCAGTGGCTGTGATGGTGCCAATGCACTCCAGCCTGGGCAACAGAGGGAGATCGTGTCTCAAAAAAAAAAAAGAAGAAAAAGAACACAGGTAGAAATGCTGAGGGCTGTGAAGAAAAACAATACAGAAGGAATTTGATAAAAATTGGGTAGGTCAGCAAAAGCTTCTAGGAGACATTACCATTTACCTGATACCTAAATGAAAGATAAGGGGAGGTTAATCAAAGGGGCAGGCAACCCACCCCTGCTGGAGACAGGAGATTTACTGTCTGGGGAAACTGAGGCAGACAGGCTCAGATTCAGGGGCAAAGACACAGTAAGGGGAGGGAGGAGCTGCTGAGTTGAGAACAGGAGACGCTGAAGAGTGGGCAGCCTGGTCCCTGCCCAGTTGCTCCCTTCTCATGGGAAACGGGAAGATGGCACCACAGAAGAACAGAAGGAAGGCATGGATCCCTGGAGAGCCAGGTCCCCACCCAATTGCTTGATTGACAGGGAAGCCCACCAGTCCGCACATGCGCCCACCTATACATAGCGCCTCTTTCCAAACAAGTTTTGAGTCTCCAATTTGTTTTCTATTTCATTCATGTTCTTTCATGGTGATAAAGATCTTATTTCACTTTATAGATCACAGTTGCGACCTGGCAAGCTCGGGCCCTCCAGAACATATGTCTGGTTGCTCAGTTTTTGTTGTTGTTGTTGTTTTGCTTTTGAGGTCATGGTCATTCATTTATTTCTCATTACATTGGGCTGGACCAAGGGTCATGTGCCAGTGTATAGATTATGTTATTCTGTTGCTTTCAGACAGAATTGGGATCCAGGTTCTAACTGTCTCCCAAGTTCAAGACCTGGATCAGAACAAGAAGAGAGCGGCTACTGCTGCAGGAGGCTAGGGGCTGTTGGAGGAAAGGCAGGAAACAAACCTAGAGCTGACCACACACAGGGTTCATGATCAAGGGCACCCCTCTGCGTACTACAGGATCCCACACACAGCCTATGGATTGGCGAGCCCACAGCGGCCCCTCAAAGTGAATGGGGATGGCACAGGCCTGGGTTTGGAACTCCAGAGCTGGAAGGACAACTGCATCTGCCCAGGCAGGACCTGAAAACATTTTGTCCTTCCATCTGTATCCGAAAATCCTGTGTAGAGTCTTTCCATGAGGACAGGGCCAGGGCTAGCTCCTGGGTCTCTGGGTGGCCTCATGGGTCATCTGGTAAAAGTTCTGCAAACTTGTCACCATCTGGGGACATTCCTGCCAGCTCTTCTCCATGCCCTTCTGTGTAAGACACTGGGCAACTGCTTTAGGCCATTCATGATTCTTCTTCCTCAACTCTTCAAATTCAGGAGATTTCTAATCTTTTAGAAAACTCTATATCTCCAGTTACTCCAAAGGTGAATTAACTGGTCTGATGATTTTTCTGGTTTCTCAGTTTCTTTTTCCTTCTTTACTTCCTGAGGGCTTCTAGTCATTTTAGTCAGATGCCTCACTTTCTCCACTTTTATTCCTGAGTTTTCTCCTGGGATCCTTTTTATGGGCAGTCTTAGGGCCTAATCCTGGGTTAACAGAGAACTAGCACTCACTGTCCCCTAATGGGATCCAGGAGAGTCAAGAGGCGCCCAAGTGTGGAAATGTGTTCTCCCCTCTCTGTTTCGGCAGGTCTCTTACTCTAAGTTTTATAAAAGGATTTTAAGAAGAATAGATTTTTTTAAACAAACTTTTAAATCTCTGCTCCAGAATATGAGATCCCTAACTTTGCTAAACTGCTGGTTTTAATTCAGTCCTCAGGCAGCTTCTGAGTACATTCAAAACATAATTACCCTGTTTGAAAACAGGGTAACCAATATTTTGAGCAGCCGACTCAAACATAAACACATATCCAAGGCTGGCTTAGCATTTGGGGGAAAGCCTCCAACAGGAAATACAGAAATAAAAAGAAAAAAGAAACTCGGAGGAAACAGATAAAACTCCCTGAAATTCTGTAACTTATACTCTAAGAGAAGACAATTGCATTCATGGAACAGGACGATGTAAGAAAGGAACAAAAAAACAGAGCTCTTGAAAATATAAGATAATTCAAAATAAAAATGCCAGTAGAAGGGTTGGCATATGAAGTCGAGGAAATCGGCATTTAAATAGAACAAAAGGACAAAGAAATAGAACAAAAGAGAAACAAGGAGGCTGGGTGTGGTGGCCCACACCTCTAATTCCAGCACTTTGGGAGTCAGAGGTAGGGGGATCACTTGAGCGCAGGAGTTTGAGACCTGCCTGGACAAAATACTGAGACCCCATTCTCCAAAAAAACAAAAAGCAAAAAGACAAAAATAAAAACAAGTTTGAAAAGAGAAACAGAGAAAACATTAGAAGCTCAGTTTTCTGAGGACCGACATCTAACCAATAGGAATTTCAGAACAAAGAAAGGAAATTCTCAGAGAAACTGTAAGAGAAAATTACCCAGACCAAAATGACACGATTCCAAATTGAAATGCCCTATGCTAAGGACCCAGTACAAAAGAGGAACATAGGTCCATACTAAGGTACCTTGTAATGAGATTTACCACCACCAGGACTAAGACGAGCTCCTAAAAGCTTCTAAGACAGTGAGAAAAGGGTCACATACAAAAGATGCTAAATCAGAAAAAGCATCAGATCTCCCAATTAATTCAAAACAATGAAGCAATGCCTTCAAAATCTCAAGAGAAAATTATTTCCAACCTAAAATTCTCCACTCAAACTCCCCCAGTATTATCAACGTTTAGGGTCTCAAAATGTTTGTATTCTGTTATGGATTAAATTGTGTTCCCCCAAAAGATTAACTGAAGTCTTAATCCCCAATACCTCCCAGTGTGACCTTAACTGAAAATGAGGTCATTGCAGATATCATTAAGTCAAGATGAGGTCATGATAGAATAGGACAGGCCCTTAACCCAATAGCACTGATGTCTCTATTAGAAAAGAAAAATCTGGACACAGACACACACAGACACACACAGGGAGAATGCCATGTGACAAAAGAGGCAGATATTAGAGAGGATGCAGTTGTAAGCCAAGGAACACCAAGCTTCAACATCCATCACCAAATGCTTGGAAAAGGCAAGGGAGGGTTCTCCCCAGAGCCTAAGAGGGAACATGGCCCTGGGGGCTCCTTGACTCAAACTTATGGCCTTCAGAACTGTGAAAGAACAAATTTCTGTTGTTTTAAGCTGCCCAGTTTAGTAATTAGTTACAGAAACCCTTGGGAATGAATATACCTCCCATCTATGCTTTCTCTGGAAGTTACTGAAAGATGTACTCCATCAGAACAAAGGAATAAACCAAGAGAGATGACACAGGTTTAAGAAAAAGGGGTTGTGACCCAGAGGAGAAGTGAAAAGAAGTCCAGGTTGACGGAAAAGGGAGGCTACAGAACCACAGCTGTGCAACTGGTCTACTTTGGAGCAAGATACAGGCTCCAGGAAGAGGGTCCCCAAGAAAAATATCAGAACTAACTGAAGTCAATGAACAATCTGATGTGTCTGACCACTTGGAAAAAAGTTTTGCAATGTTGCTGAAATCCTGTAATGAGTAGGCAAAAATTATAGAAAACTAATCAAATAGAAAAATAAAGGCAATTACAAACTCCAGAAAAAAACAAAAAGTCACCAAGATAGTACACCATATATCTAAGCTATGTAAGACATTTACAGTTACAATTCTGTAAGCATCAGATGTTAACAAAATGTAATTCTTTTAAGAAAATGAGGAGAAATACGTATTTGAAAGGGGCACCAATCTAAGAGTTAAATGCTTATCCTCTCTAGTAAGAAACCTATGGAGAATGACCAAAGCTGAACATTCAAGAAATAACAGCATGATTATATCATTTTAAAAGATGGAGAATATAAACAGAAAAATTGGCTGAAAGAATTTAGAGTGCTTGCTGTTTTAAGCAAGTCTTGGGGTAGGGGCCAGGCACAGCAGCTCACACCTGTAATACCAGCACTTTGGGAGGCAGAAGGAGGTAGATCCTTTGAGCTCAGGAGTTCAAGACCAGCCTGGCCCACATAATGAAATCCCATCTCTACTAAAAATACAAAAATTAGCCAGGTGTGGTAGCACACACCTGTAATACCAGCTACTCGGGAGGGTGAGGCAAGAGAATAGCCTGAGTCTTGGATGTAGAGGTTGCAGTGAGCCGAGATCATGCCACTGCACTCCAGCCTGGGTGAGAGAGTAAGACAGTCTCAAAAAAAAACAAAACAAAAACAAAAACACAAGGTAGGCAGGTGTGACACTGAGGATATATTTCTCTTATAAACTTTAATCAACTTTCAGAAAATGTAGTTCAAGTCTATACAAGAGCAAAGAGCATAATACAATGAGCCCCCATGGGACCCAGCTTCAACAATGAGCAACTCACAGTCAAATTCACTTTTAAACAAGGTATCACTTCAATAAAAATAAAAATTGAAAAAAATAATTCATGGATAAACTATGGTGAATTTTTTTTTTTTTTTTTTTTTTTTTTGAGATGGAGTTTCACTCTTGTTGCCGAGGCTGGAGTGCAGTGGTGTGATCTCTGCTCACTGCAACCTCTGCCTCCCGGGTCCAAGTGATCCTCCTGCCTCAGCCTCCTGAGTAGCTGGGATTACAGGTGCCTGACACCACACATGGCTAACTTTTGTATTTTTAGTAGAGATAGGGTTTCACCATGTTGGCCAGGCTGATCTTGAACTCCTGACCTCAAGTAATCTGCCCCCCTCAGCCTCCCAAAGTACTGGGATTACAGGCATGAGCCACCACACCCAGCCAGCGGATCCATTTTCCATTTTTTAAAAGTGAGAGACAGTGTTTTCCAGACACAAAGATCCACAAATGCAAAGGCCCTGGAGTGTGTCTGGGGAGCAAAAAAAGGCCTCCGAGCCTACAGGATAATGAGCAACGGGAAGAGTGGGGTGGGACAAGGCTGGAGAAGGAGGCAGGGACCTGACACTTGACTGGCAAAGGTAAGAAGTTGGGATATAATTATAAGCATGATGGGACTCTTTAAAGATAAGGGTTTTCGTGTGTTTGTTTCTAAAATTAAGACAGGTTCCCACTATGTTGCGCAGGCTGATCTCAGACTCCTGGCCTCCAGAAGTCCTCCCGCCTCGGCCTCCCACAGTGCTGGGATGACAGGTGTGAGCCACTGTGCCTGGCCCAGTTTGAGTCTTGAGTTAGCCTAGCCAATAAAAGGAAAAGGTGTTCCAGGAAGGAGTCATAGCTTGAGCAAAGGCCTGGAAGTCAGAAATCTGAGCTGCTAGCCAAGGAGGCCCCACAGCCAACACTCACCTTCCCACTTCCACAGGGTGGCCCGAGATGTGTCCTTCCACTGCCCGCCTGCCACAAACAGCGGCCGCCCATTGTACTGCACCTTCAGGTGACTGCTTCTCTCCACATAGGGCAGGCGGAGGCTCAAATGGTGCAGCTGCACACGGCAATCCACCTGCCTCTCAGGCACCTGCAGCACAAACTGGAGAATGCCCACCGCCCCCCCCAAGATGCCAGTGGGATCATGCCATCCCCGGCCTAGAATGTGCCCAGGAAATCGAGGCAGCAGTGAGCCAAGATTGCACCACTGCACTCCACACGAGCAACGGGAGTGGAACCCAGTCCAAAAAACAGAAAACAAAGAGCTTTGGTAAGGATGTGGAGAAATCTGAATTCTCAAACGCTGATGGTGGGAAAGTAAAATAGTGCAGCTACTGTGGAAAACAGTGTGGCAGTTTTTCAAAAAATTAAAGATCGAATTACCATATGACCCCAGCAATGACACTTCCAGGTGTATATACAAAAGAACTGAAAGCAATTGAAACAACTGAAAGCATCAGTTCATAACAGCATTTATTCACAATAGCCAAAAGATGGAAGCAACCCGCGTGTCCATCAACGGATGAATGGATAAATAAAATACTGTCTATACAGACAATGGAGTATTCAGCCTTAAAAAGGAAGGAAATTTGACATATGCTACGATATGGATGAACCTTGAGGACATGCTAAGTAAGCCAGTCAAAAAAAGGGCAGGAAAGGCGTGGTGACTCACACCTGTAATCCCAGCACTTTGGGAGGCCGAGGCAGGTGGATCACCTGAGGTCAGGAGTTCAAGACCAGCCTGGCCAACATGGCAAAGCCCCATCTCTACTAAAAAATACAAAAATTAGCCGGGCGTGGTTGTGGGAGCCTGTAATCCCAGGTACTCAGGAGGCTGAGGCCCAGAGAATTGCTTGAACCCAGAGGTAGAGGTTGTAGTAAGCCAAGGTCATGCCATTGCACTCCAGCCTGGACAACTCTATCTCAAAAAAAAAAAAAAAAAAAATAGCCAGGTGTGGCGGCAGGTGACTGTAATCCCAGCTACTTGGGAGTCTGAGGCAGGAGAATCGCTTGAACCTGGGAGGTGGAGGTTGCAGTGAGCCACGATCATGCCATTGCACTCCAGTGTGGGCAATAAGAGGGAAACTCTGTCTCAAAAAAAAAAAAAAAAAAGACAAATACTGTATGATTCCACTTCTAAGTGGTAGCTAGAGTAGTCAAAAGTCCAAAACAGAAAGTAGAACAGTGGTTTCCAGGGACTGGGAGCGGGGGAGAATGGGGAGTCAGCATTTCCTGGTTACAGACTTGCAGTTTTGCAAGTTCTCGAGATAAGCAGTGGTGATGGCTGCACAAGAATGTAAATGCATGTAATGCCACTAAACTTCAAAATGGTTAAAATAGTAAATGTGGCTGGGCGTATTGGCTTACGCCTGTAATCGCAGCACTTTGGGAGGCTGAGGTGGGTGGATCACCTGAGGTCAGGAGTTCGAGACCAGCCTGGCCAACATGGAGAAACCTCGTCTCTACTAAAAATATAAAAAAATTAGCCAGACATGGTGGTAGGCACCTATAATCCCAGCTACTCAGGAGTCTGAGGCTGGAGAATCGCTTGAGCCCAGGAGGCGGAGGTTGCAGTGAGCCAAGATTGTGCCAATGCATTCCAGCCTGGGTAGCAGAACAAGACTCAGTCTCCAAATAAATAAATAAATAAAATAAAATAAAATAAAATAAAATAAAATAAATAACACAAATAGTTAATTTTACATGACATATATTTAACCACAATTAAAATCAAAGTTAAAATTTAAAAGACCATTTGCAGGACTGGATCTGAAAAGAGAAAAAAAATTCTAAACCAATTTTTAAATAAACATACAAGGTTAAATAGTGTTGTTTAAGAACCACCACCTGGGCTGGGCACGGTGGCTCAAGCCTGTAATCCCAGCACTTTGGGAGGCTGAGATGGGTGGATCACGAGGTCAGGAGATCGAGACCATCCTGGCTGACACGGTGAAACCCCGTCTCTACTAAAAAATACAAAAAACTAGCGAGGTGGTGGGCGCCTGTAGTCCCAGCTACTCGGGAGGCTGAGGCAGGAGAATGGCGTGAACCTGGGAGGTGGAGCTTGCAGTGAGCTGAGATCCGGCCACTGCACTCCAGCCTGGGCGACAGAGCAAGACTCTCTCTCAAAAAAAAAAAAAAAAAAAAAAAGAACCACCACTTGTTCAGCTGCTGAGCACACCATCATTCCTAACTCAGTAAAAGAACCCACCCTCAGGGAAAAACTAAAAGCGAACCCCTCTTTCCAAAACGCATTTTTACAGGTGGAAATCTGGGTTTCCCAAGCTCTCCTGCCGGTCCTTGGCACTCTGAGAAGTGTTTCTTACCCCTGGGGACGTGTGGCTGGAGGTGCAAAACGGAAAGTCACCAAGGCTGAGTTTCAGTTGGCTGCATCCTTGCAGCCAGGGCCAGAGGGCCATGCGGGGGTTCCCCAGCTCCCACCATCCATGCTGGACTCATAGGGCATGGCTCTGCTGCAGTGGCCGGGCTCACCTCCATGAAGTGATTGCTCAGAGCGGGCCCCGAGTCATTCTTGAAGGTCTGGCTGACACGGAGATGCCTCTTGTTGCTGCTCTTGTCCCAGTGCTTCCCGTAGCTCACCTCCAGCTGTGAGTGCAGGTGGCCCGAGTCCTCCTCGTGCCAGAGCTGGACCTGCGACACACATGGGTGGTGAACTGCCCATGGAGGCCCTGCTCACCCAGTCCCTGGGCCTCCTTACAGCCGCCCACTCCAAGGATATCAGCTTGGTTTTCAGAAGAGACGGTTCTGTAGCAAGCACTATTTTGGTTTGTTCGTTTGTTTTTAATTTATTATTTATTTTAGAGATAAGATCTCACTCTCCCACCCAGGCTGGAGTACAGTGGCACCACCTTGGCTCACTGTAACCTCTGCCTCCTGGGCTGAAGCATTCCTGGATGAATAGATGTAAGACTGAGGCTGAAGTTCCAGCCCCGGAACACATTCCCATATGGCTATGTGATTGTGAGCAAGTCCATCTCTTCGGGGATGAGCTCAGGATACTCAGATCACCACTTGCCTGACTCTGGTGCTCTCTCTGGATGTCGCACCTAGCCTGGGCACCCACCTTGTGGCTGAAGGCTGGGATCTGTGTGTAGTGGAGCTCGTGGCCCAGCTCCAGCCTGTAGGCGCCATTCAAGCCGCTCTCTGCCTGCAGCTTCTGGCTGGTGCTACACTCGTATTCCGGCTGCTTCGCCTGACCTGTGCGGATTGACCCAGAGACCCCTGCCCTCCTCTGCCAGGCAGCCCTCCACCAGGGATCCAAGAGGAGGAGGGCCTGGCCCAGCCTGGCCACAGCTACACCCCCATGCTCTACTCCACCTGTCACTTCATTAGAACCTGACGATGGGGAGATCTTAAGAGATAGGCGAATGTCCCCTTAAGAGACACACCTTTTTTTTTTTTTTAATGGGCAGGTACTCAGTACTACTCAGAGCCACCAGAATGACTAATGGAAAACCCCGTGGTGACAGCGTATCTTAGCTAACCGAGCCACAGCCCTAGGAAACAGGGCAGGCCCTGTCACCTCCACCTGCCCCGCAGCCAGGCACGCAGCGCCTTACCCAGGAGGCTGTACTGGATCCTCAGGGAGTTGGTCCAGAGCCGGTCCCATTGCTGCAGCAGGCCAATGGCACGCAGCCCCACCAGCACTGGCACGAAGAGCTCGGCACCCAGGGTGGCCACCCACCGTCCATCCTCCTCCTTCCTCTCCAGCAGTGCTGCAGGGACACAGAGCAGGCAGATGAGAGGGCCAGCCCCAGGGACCAACACCCCCACCCCCAGGCAAAGAGGGGACTCGGGAATCACCGAGGGGCCTCGCCGTTGGGGGCTCCTTGAAGAGCCAACACATGTGCGCCCTGCATAACAGGCCACAGACAGGCCTCATCACGGCTTACTGTAGCCTTGACCTCCCAGGCTCAATCGATCCTCCCACCTCAGCCTCCCGAGTAGGTGGAACGACAGACGTGTGCCACCACACTTGTCTAATTTTTGTATTTTTTGTAGAAGCGGGGGTCTCACTATGTTGCCTAGGCTGGTCTTGAACTACTGGGCTCAAGTAATCCTCTCCGGTTTAGCTTCCCTAAGTGCTGGGATTACAGGCATGAGACACTGCGCCTGGCCCAAAAATAAAGTAGAAAAAACCAAAATCGAACAAGACAAAAGAGAAAAGAATTAACAGCGCATGGTGGGTTGTCGGGTCAATTTCACCTTTGGAAGCTTCTGAAACACAGAAGCTCAGCCAGAACACACAGGTGAAACTGAGCCAGCTGTTATGACTCCCAAACGCCCACATCAGAGGGTCGACAGCCACTGCTCCAATTACCCCCAGCCCCAGCTCCTGTCCTTACCTTGGAATCTTCTGGAACACCCCTGAGAGGCACACCCAGGTGCCACCACCCCAGCTCCAGCACCAGGGCCAGCACCTGCTGCGTCTTAAATGCCCAGTGTATTTCAGGTCAAAATGTTACATGTCTTTCTTATCATGGATCAGAATAAAAACACTCCAAAAGCTGCTATTTTAAGGTTTGTGGATGCAGTTGGAGGTTGGGGGAGGTTCTGGGGGCTCACACGGAGCCTGGATCTGCCCTTAGATGGGATGTTGATATTAAGAGAGGCTGGGGTGATGAGGAGTATAAGGAGGCACTTGGCCACCACACCTTAGCCTGGCCACAGAGCAGAGGGCGCAGAAGGGGTCTCATCTCCTACCTGTCACGTGGGCCTGGTCACTCAGTGGATGGCTCAGCGATGCGGAGAAGGCCAGCTTGCTGCCCGCCTGCCGTGTGACGTTCCCGGCAAAGACAATGGGGCTGCCCCCCGTCACCAGTTTCACCTCCAGCTGCGCATGGAACCACTCGGCCTCACCACCCACGGCTGGCTGCAGGTCACTCCAGCCCTGAAAAGGCTTCAGTGTCACCTGGGAAGACAGGCTTGACCAGCAGGCCCAGCTCTGACCACACAAGCTGGGACCAGACAGGGTAGGAGACAAGCCAGCTGACAGCCTTCTACACCGATCCTTCCCCAGTTTTTGTTTTTCCGTGAGATGGAGTCTCACTTTGTGTCCCAGGCTGGAGTGCCGTGGTGGGATCCTGGCTCACTGCAACCTCCACCTCCCGGGTTCAAACGATTCTCCTGCCTCAGCCTCCCAAGTAGCTGGGATTACAGGTGCCCGCCATCACATCCGGCAAATTTTTAAATTTTTAGTAGAGATGGCGTTTCACTATGTTGGTGAGGCTGGTCCCAAGCTCCTGAACACAAGTGATCCACCCGCCCTGGCCTTCCAAAGTGCTGGGATTACAGGCATGAACCACTGTGCCCAGCGCTTCCCCAATTCTTTAAGCTCTGGATTTCTCAAAATTAGAAACCTGTGTTACAAACTCAGACATAAATACAAGGGACTCCTCTTCTTGACATCCCCCTCTTTCAATCCATTAGGAACTGGAGTCGACTGTCCCTATGGAATGGGTCTAGAATCAACCACTTCTGCCACCTCTGCTGCCTCACCAGCTGGAGCCCCAGTCATCGGCCTGTCTCACTGCAATGTCCTCCTGGCTCTCCCGGTTCCCATCCCGCCGCTGGCAACTGATCTCCATGTGGCAACCAGACACGTCGAATGATGACACACTAGCCTTTCTTATGGTACAATCCAAAGTCCTTGCGAAGGCCAGCGAGGCCAGAATTTTCTCTTTTGATCAGTGGTGCAGACCTGGCCATGGGAAGACACTGGCAGATGGACCATGGGGACAGCTCACTACACACTCCACGGCCCCGCAGAGGAGATTCTCTGGAAAAGCCATGAGCACCTGCAAATATAATCTTTAATGGCCCTGCCAACCTGCAGTCCCCCAACCCTACACCCCTCTGATGGCCACCAGCTGGTCAGTTTACCCAAAAGACATCAAAGCAACACTCGCTATTACCAGACTGCCACTACTTAACGCTCTCTTTCCCTGCTCCCCACAGATGTGTGTACATAAATGTGTGTAGATGTGTGTATAGATGTAGCTACATGGATGTCTGTGTACACAGGGGTGTGTACAGATGTGTATGTATACAGACATGTGGGTGCACACGGGTGTATCTATGAATGTGTACATGGATGTGTCTGTATGTAGACACGTGTATGGACGTGTGTGTATGAACGTATGTATACAGATGTGTAGAGGTATATATATGGATGTATATATAAGAATATATGCATACAGATATGTCTACATGTGGACTGTATGAATACGGATGTGTACGGACATGTGAACAGATATGTATATACGAACGTGTGTGTAGACATGCATACAGATATGTGTATATATATGGATGCGTATATATGAACGTATACACAGATGTGTCTACATGTGGATGTTTGTGTGTGTGAATATGGATGTGTGTGAATATGGACGTGTGTGTATGGACACGTATGTGTATGGATGTGTGTAAAGAGGTGTATATATAAATGCATGTATATGAATGTGTAGATATGTCCACACGTGGATTGTGTGAATATGGATGTATATGCACATGTGTGTATGGACATGTGAACACACATGTATATATATTGATGTGTGTATATAAATGTGCATACAGATAAGCATACATTTGGATGTGTATATGCAATATCCTCCTGACTCTCCCGGCTCCCATCCCGCCCCTGGCAACTGATCTCCACATGGCAAGCAGACATGTCGAATGATGGTACGCTAGCCTTTCTTATGGTACAATCCAAAGTCCTTGCAAAGGCCAGCGAGGTCAGAACTTTCTCTGTTGGATGTGCACACAGATGTATGTACGAATGTGTTTGTACATGGATGTGTCTACATGTAGACATGTGTATGGACATGCGTGTGTATGAATGTATGTGTAAAGAAGTGGATATATGGATGTGTGTATATGAATGTATGCATACACATGTCTACATGTGGACTGTGTGAATACAGATGTGTGAATACATTGGATGTGAATATGGACATATGTGAATATGGATGTGTGCATGGACTCTGTATAGACATGTGTAAAGATATGTATATATATGAATGTGTGTACATATGAATGTATATACAGATGTGTCTACATGTGGATTTCATGTGTGTAAATATAGGCGTGTGTATGGACGTGTATGTGTATGAACATGTGTATGGGTATGTCACATGTGTATGGATGTACATGCGTGCACATACGACTACAGAGACACACCTTTCTCTTTCTCTTTTTACAGAAACAGATGCTGGTTCTCTACTCTGCTCCCAGCTTTTCCTGCTGGCAGGCACATTCTGGCGATGACTTTCTCCAGTCCGGACCAGAGGCTGTGTGGTGCTGATCAGAGCTTCCTCAAGGTGCACGTGAACAGGGTGAACACAGAATTTCTCACCCAAACCAGAACACTTTGCAGTTAAAGAGAACACTACTTGTAAATGTGTCAGGTCAGCAGGCGTAACCTGGGGCTCTCCAGACAACCCAGGACCCAAACCCTGCACACTAGTGGGAGGGGGCACAGAACAGAACACTCTTCCCTAAACCAATCTTAAATCCCATAAGCTTTGAGACAAGTTGAACCCAAGCTCTGGCACTTTGTATTCATGAGCTCATCTGCCTCAGTTTCTTCATCTTGTATGGGGTTACAGAGAAGACTTGAAGGGGGTCCTCATGTCTGCTGAAACAGGCTCCAGAAAGTTCCGGAGTTCTGGAGCTCCAGCTGTTACTGTACTTGTGATGAGTCTGGGGCAGGTGGAACTAGAATTTCTCCAAAGGCAAACATTCCCAGGCTGCAGACAGCTCTATAGGGACCAGCAGGAAGGTCCGTGGGGAGGTACAAGCAATTTGTGCTTGTACATTTAACAAACAACTGGAAGTTCGAGGGCCTCTGGTAATTCTGGAAATGAGGCATAAGTCTCAGCCACCAGGCAGGTGGGACTTTAGGAGGACAGCTCTCCCCTGACATAGATCTTCCCCCAACCCAGGCTGATGGCACAGCTGGAAGTAGAGAATGTATTTTTGCAGCAAGAGATCCAGCTCCAGCTTCAGATGCTGCAGTCCAGGCCTCTCTGAGAAGACACTGGGAACGGAGGCAGAATCAGAAGATCCACTGCCAAAGTTGCCCAGCAATCATGCCTGGTGGGATCAAGTCTAAAACTGCTATTTGTACCCTGGCTGTAGTGCAGTGGCACGATCTTGACTTACTGGAACCTCCACCTCCCAGATTCAAGCAATTCTTCTGCCTCAGCCTCCCAAGAGGCTGGACTACAGGCGTGCGCCACCATGCCCAGCTAATTTTTGTATTTTTAGTAGAGAGAGGGTTTCACCATCTTGGCCAGGCTGGTCCCAAATTCCTGACCTCCAGTGATCCTCCCACCTCAGCCTCCCAACATTTGTACACTTTTTGAAGTCACAGATCTGCTTGAAAAGGGGATGGAAGTTTTAAATCTTCTCCGCAGGATGGAGGGTAGACACAAAACTTCAACAGAATGACAGGGGCTTCAAGTGACTCACTAAGTTTCGACCAGGCACCCTTGGGTAAGAACCCTAGAAAAGCACCTACTAAGATGAAAACAAGCCTAAACAACATAGTAAGACCTCATCTTCACACACAGAAAGAAAGAAAGAAAGAAAGAAAGAAAGAAAGAAAGAAAGAAAGAAAGAAAGAAAGAAAGAACTAAGATGAAAACAAGCCCAAACAACATAGGCAAGACCTCATCTTCACACAATAAGTGTTGCTGTTGCTGTTGTTGTTGTTGTTGTTGCTGTTGTTGTTGTTATATATATATGTTATATGTTGTTGCTGTTGCTAAGAGCAGGTGCTTACAGAAAGAAAGAAAGAAAGAAAGAAAGAAAGAAAGAAAGAAAGAAAGAGAGAGAGAGAAAGAGAGAAAGAAAGAAAGAAAGAAAGAAAGAAAGATAGAAGCGCATGGTGGCACAGGCCGTAGTCCCAGCTACTTGGGAGACTGAGGCAGGAGGATCGCTTGAGCCCAGGGATTTGAGGCTGCAGTGATCTAGGATCATGCCACTGCACAAAAGAAGATGTTATAAAAGACAAGAAGGCAGGGAGGTGGGCAGAGAGGGAAAAGAGAGACAGGCAAAGAGACAGGGAGAAGACATGGGGGAAAGTGTGGGAAAGAGGTGGGAAAGAGGTGGGAAAGAGGTGGGAAGAGAGAGGGAAGAGAGAGGGAATAGACAGAGGGAAAGAGAGGGAGAGAAAGGAAAGGAAGAAAGGAAGAAAAGAGAAAAAACATATAATCCTTGTGGCCAGGGAATTCCATTGTTAAGAATTTACTCTGCAGAGAAAATGGTTCTCACGGCAGAATATTTGTAAGAGCGGAAACCTGGCAAAAACTCAAGAGCCCTTCATTATTAAACTAGCTGAATAAATTCCATTCCACGGACTATTACACAGTCATTCATGCTACACAGGAGGCACTTATTTTCTTTAAAGTGGATATATTAACTCCATGTGCTGACTGTGTGCATAGATCATCTCAGAAACGAATCACCAATAAAACCCTAACAGTGGTTGGCTTTCAGGAGGGGTGGGAGAAAAGTTTTAAGGCTACACCAGCACCAACCAATAGAACTTTCTGTAATGAGGGCAATGTCTCAGGGCTGCATGAAGCTTTGGAACACCTGAAATATGGCCCATGCAGTCAAAGAACCAAATCTTTAATTTTCTTTAATTTTAATTCACTTAGGTTTTTTTTTTTTTTTTTTTTTTTGAGATAGTCTCGCTCTGTTGCCCAGGCTCGAGTGAATTGGCATGATCTTGCTTCACTACAACCTCCGTGCCCCCACCCCCACAGGTTCAAGCAATTCTTCTGCCTCAGCTTCCCAAGTAGCTGGGATTACAGGAGCCCGCCACCACACCTGGCTACTTTTTGTATTTTTGGTAGAGATAGGGTTTCGCCAAGTTGGTCAGGCTGGTCTTGAACTCCTGACCTCAGGTGAGCCACCTCCCTCGGCCTCCCAAAGTGCTGGGATTATAGGCATGAGTCACTGCACCCCGCCTCACTTAGATTTCAATAAACATGTGTGCCACTGGCTACCATATGGGAGAGTCAGTTCTATACCCTTTCACAGCTTTTGAACTTTGAATCATTTAAATGCATTGCCTATTTAATTGCAGAATGTAATAGTATTTAGATTGAATTAATCCAAATGAAATCTACAACAGAATTTAAATTGTATCAGTGCATGCTGGTCTAAAAAGATTGCCACAGTGTATGTACATATATGTGTATTATGTGTGTGTGTATGTATATATACATATATATACAAGCGTGCGCACACATACATATATATATATTTTTTGAGACAGAGTCTCGCTCTGCCACCCAGACTGGAGTGCAGTAGTACAAAATCATCTCACTGCAACCTCTGCCTCCTGGGTTTAAGTGATTCTCCTGCCTTAGCCTCCTGAGTGGCTGGGATTACAGGCGCCCGCCACCACACCCGCCTAATTTTTTGTATTTTCAATAGAGATGGGGTTTCACCATGTTGGCCAGGCTGGTCTCGAACTCCTGGCCTCAAGTGATCCATCCGCCTTGGCCTCCCCAAGTGCTGGGATTACAGGCATGAGCCATGGCGCCCACCTGCCAAGGTATTTTTTTGAGTTTAAAAAAAAAAAAAGTCCTTACAGGTTTAAAAAAAGAAAAAAACTGGGAAACCGGGAGTGGAGGCTCACGCCTGTAATCCCAGCACTTTGGGAGGCCAAGGTGGGCAGATTGTGTGAGCCCAAGAGTTTGAGACCAGCCTGGGCAACATAGTGAGACCCCATTTTTACAAAAATATAAAAAACAATAGCCAAGCACAGGGGCACATGCCTGTAGTCCCAGCTACTCAGGAGGCTGAGGTGGGAGGATCGCTGGAGCCCAGGAGGTCAAGGCTGCAGTGAGCCATGTTTGCACCTCTGCACTCCAGCCTGAGAGACAGAGCAAGGACCCTGCCTCAAAAAAGAAAAATAAAAAAACAAAACCTAAGCATGAAAATTGGGTTTTCATGCTATTGTACGATGTGTGCTTCCCTCAAAACTTGTTACATCATCACATCACCCACCTGATGTGAAAAAGAAAAAATAAAACCCAGAAACCCACACTAAAACTATTTGCAAATCTATAGTGTTACGGTCTGCACTGTGTCTCCCTGCAAGATGCTGAAGCCCTAAGCCGCAGTATCTGTGAATGTGACCTCATTTGGAAATAGGGTCTTCACACATGATTAAGCTAAGCTGAGATGATGAGGGTGAACCCTAATCCCGTGTGCCTGATGTCCCTGTAAAAAGGGGATGTGTGGACATCGGACACCTACAAAGGTAAGATTATGTGAAGACGGAGACAGAAGACCACCTCCAAGCCAAGGAGCTCTGGAAGTTTCTAGAATCCAGGAGCGAGAACTGGGACAGATCCTCCCTGACAGCCTTCACAGTGGGAAAAAGAAAAAAACAAAAACAGAAAAACCTCAATTTCAGACTCCTGGCCTCCAGAACTGTGAGAATAAATCCCTGTAGCTGAAGCCACACAGTCAGGGTACTTTGTTAAGGCAGCTCTGGGAAATGAATACAGATTTCTCGGGACGTGCATCAATACTTCTGCAGGAAATTTGGGACGCAGAATGCTTTAACTTACAATTTATACCTTTCTCTATTCTGAATTCTTTTTTTGAGAGACCGGGTCTTACTTTGTCGCCCAGGCTGGAGTGTAGTGGCACAAGCATGGCTCACTGCAGCCTCAACCTTCTGGGCTCCAGCGGTCCTCTTGCCTCAGCCTCCTGAGTAGCTGAGACTACAGGCACACGCCACTGTGCCTGGGTAACTTTTTAAAATGTTTTGTAGACACCGGGTCTTGCTATGTTGCCCAGGTTTATCTCGAACTCCTAGCCTCAAGTGGTCCTCCCACCTTAGCCTCCTAACTTTCTGTAATTACAGGTATAAACCATTGTACCTGGCTTTTATTTTTATTTATTTATTTTGAGACAGACTCTCGCACTGTCTCCCAGGCTGGAATGCAGTGGCATGATCTCAGCTCACTGAAACCTCCGCCTCCTGGGTTCAAGTGATTCTTCTGCCTCAGTCTCCCAAGTAGCTCGGATTACAGGCACCCACCACCACACCCGGCTAATTTTTGTATTTTTATCAGGGGCGGGGATTCACCATTTGGCCAGGCTGGTCTCGAACTCCTGACTTCAGGTGATCCACTCGCTTCAACCTCCCAAAATGCTGGAATTACAGGCTTGAGCCACTGCATCCCACCTGAATTCTTAAAAGCATGTTTTTGTGTTATTAATATCCATTTTTAACATCAATGATGGTGGAATTTGAGCCCATTTTTTTCTTCTTTATACATTTCTGGGTAACAGAACTAACACCTGTTAACCGGCAGGTAGAAAGGGAAGATCCCAGAGGTGGTGGCAATAGTTAACAGGGCTCTGGGACCCGGGCAGGAAATCTCTGGGGAGGTGGCAGGTGCAGACACAAGTGGGCCAAGGGTGTGGAACAAACCTTGATGTAGTAGACATCCCTGTCATCCAGTATCAACTCCAAGTGACCCACGTGGGCACTCCCAAGAGCCTCCATCTTTCCTGAGGGTACAAAACGAGAGTTTAGAGACAAGCGTTCAACATCTAGATCTGGCCCCTCCATTCCCCTGGGAGGACCGCCTGCCCATTTTTTAATCTCTGAGCCTAAGATGCAGCACCTGTAAAATGGGGCTGGATTTAGTGCTGACCTCAGGAGGTCACAGACAAACCTATGAGCCAGCTCACTGTAGGGACCCAGCCCTGGGTGTGGCACCGAGTCAGGGGCGCAGGGAGCAGGGAGGGATGTTGACATTACCGTCCAGCTCGATTTTCTTCTTGGGATGGAGAAGCTTGAGCCGGAACTTGCTCTGGGGCAAGCTGTAACTGACATCCACCCCGACATCCCTTGGCACTTCTGACCCCGGCGTGCCCATGAAGATGTGGGCTGTGGCTTCTTGAGGGAACCAGCTATCCTTCTGGAAACAGCAGAGTCCTCAAGATTGAGAGCCTCCACCTCCACCCTTCAGACCCTTGCACTATTGTCCTCACAATTCCATCAGGAGTTGCTTGAAAATCGCCTGCAGAAGTGTAAAGCTCTGCAGCACAACCCAGGTCCACGCCCACAGGGTCAAAATTTATCCAGCAAATGGCCAGGGAGAAGCAGCTGCAGGGCACACCCCTGGCATCCTGTACAAACCCCTCCCATCCTTTTTTGTTTTGAGACCCAGTCCCACCCTGTTGCCCAGGCTGGAGTGCCGGGGCATGATCTTGGCTCACTGCAACCTCTGCCTCCCAGGTTCAAGTGATTTTCCTGCCTCAGTCTCCTGCGCAGCTGGGATTACAGGTATACGCCAAGAAGCCTGGCTAATTTTTGTTTTGTTATTTTTAGTAGAGATAGGGTTTTCACCATGTTGGCCAGGCTGGTCTTGAACTCCTGACCTCAAGTGATCCACCTGCTTTGGCCTTCCAAAGTGCTGGGATTACAGGCGTGAGCCACTGCACCCGGCCTCTCCCATACTTTTAACCAGCTTTGTGTCCTTGTCCCCCAGCTTCTGCAAGCTCTGCACTTCCTGGCTGTCACCTGAGGGCTCCAGAACATTGCCCTCCAGCACTCCAGCCAAAACTGCCAGCACTCTAACCCAGAGGGTAACACACTCTGCAAGTACCTCGTGCTCTGGGGCTCCCCGTGGGGCCAGGCTGAGGCTGCAACTTCACCTGAAATTGCACCCCTCTCAGCATCCTCCCCCGGCCTGTCCTAATTTCTCCACTCTTACTGGGTCCCCCAGAGCCTTTTCTTAATAAATCACTTGTACCCGAGTCCAAGGCTTGGGTCTCTTTTCGGGAATGTGCAGCCTCAGCCACAAGCCCCATTCTGAAATCCCACGGCAGCGTACATTTGTTCAACACCAACAGAGACGCGCTGCTGAGTGGAAGATGACTGAGCATGAGACATGCAGAGTCCCTGACCGCATGGAGCCTGTGTCCCAGTGAGGAGGCACAGGACCACCAGACGCAAGAATGGGTAAGACAGCAACAGCCAGTGAGTGTGCTGGCCAAGTCAATGGTTTAGGGGCCCTGAGCGGAGTGCTGGTCTAGACGGGGGTCCAGGAAGGCAGCCTCTGAGGGGTCCCATTGAAGGACACTTGAAAGGAAACGAGGGAGGGAGTTAGGTGGCTGTGCCAGGGAAGAGTGTTCCTGGCAGGGGAAACACCCAGTGCAAAGGCCATGGGGCAGGCATGTGCATGACCTTGAAAAGGGGGCCAGTGTGTCTTCAGGGCAGTGAGTCTGGAGGAGAGTCAGGGAGGGAGGCCAGCAGGGGTGGGACTGCCAAGGGCCTGTGGGTCACGGCGTCTGGCTCTTACTCTAAGGGTAACAGGAGCCACAGCGGGGTGGTTCATGCAGAGGAGGGACACGATCCAGCTAGGATTTCAGAGGGCCCATCTGGCTGCTGGGTTAAGATGGTAAGGAGACCAAAGCAGGAGCTGGGGGATCAGACAGGAGGCCGCCAAGTGCCTCCTCTGGACCAGATGCTGATGACACAGGGGTAAGTAAAACAAACCCTGAATCTGCTCCCAGGAACTGAGTCAGCAGCAGGGAAGACAGACATTAACTAACTAGCTTCACTAAGAAACAGAAGTGATCAAAAGGGAAGAAACGTGGATGTCTTAAGGCAAGTCACAAAAGAATATGATGTGCTCTGGGGTAACCAAGGCAGGCTTCCCTGAGGAAGTGACCCCTGAAATGAGATCTGAAGACTGATTCAGAGTTAATGCGTCATACAGCCCCAGACAGAGAATCAGTATGCGCAAGGGTCCAAAAGAAACCTACAGCAAGAGCAGCGCAGCCCAACAGCGCCACAGAGGAGCCCTACATCGTTTTGGGTGAGCCCAGTGCTGACCTAAGGAGATCCCCGACATGGCTGAGAAAGACAGGGCTGTTCCCTAGGGCCCACCTGGGGCTGCAGGGTATACGCAGCTTCCAGCAGATACTGTCGGAGCCCCGGGTCCCGCTTCTGCAGCGTCACGGCCGCGAACACAGGCAATGAGAGCACGTAGGGCTGGCCAGGCACCGGCCAGGTCACTTCAGTGCACAGCCGCCAGCCCCAGGTGTAGGACACTGCAGAGAGAGGTAAGCAGGCAGCACTGGTCAGTGGAGAACCAGAGGGCTCTGGGCATGGGTGCCCACAGCTGCCACATCAGCGAAGAAAGCACTTCTCTGATTTCTTCTGAAGAAAGGCACCACGTAGACAGGAATCCTGTGAGGCAGTGGTGTGTAGACCAGGGTTTCTCCACCTCAGCACTACTGACATTTGGGGTCAGATCATCTTATCTGGGGGGCCGTCTTGTGCATTATAGGACGTTTCGCTGCAGCCTGGGTCCCTATCCGCTAGATGCCAGTTACCCCTACCAACAATCAAATATTTCTGCACATATTACCAAATGTCTCCTGCGGGGTCAAAACTGCCCCAGCTGAGAACCCCTGGTAGACTTTTTTCTTTTTTTTTTTTTCTCCAGACGGAGTCTCGCTCTGTCACCCAGGCTGGAGTGCAGTGCACAATCTCAACTCACTGCAACCTCTGCCTCCCAGGTTCAAGCGATTCTCCTGCCTCAGCTTTCTGAATAGCTATATCCTAGAGAGGAGGCACAGGACGACCACACACCAGAACAGGTAAGACAGCAGCCACCAATGAGCGTGCTGGCAAAGTCAACGGGTTAGGGGCCCTGACAGGGGCGCTGGTCTAGACAGGGGGCCCCGGGAAGGCGGCCTCTGAGGGGTCCCATTGAAGGACACTTGAAAGGAGCAAAGGAGGGAGTTAGGTGGATGTCCTGGGGAAGAGTGTTACTGGCAGGGGAAACACCCAGTGCAAAGGCCCTGGGGCAGGCATTAGTATGGCCCTGAAAAAGGGGCCAGTGTGTCTTCAGGGCAGCGAGTCTGGAGGAGAGTCAGGGAGGGAGGCCAGCAGGGGTGGACTGCCAAGGGATGACTACAGGCAGGAGCCACCACGCCTGGCTAGTTTTTGTATTATTAGTAAAGATGGGGTTTCACTATGTTGGCCAGGCTGGTCTTGAACTCCTGACCTCAGATGATCTGCCTGCCTTGGCCTCCCAAAATGCCGGGATTACAGGCATGAGCTACCATGCCTGGCTCCTGGTATACTTTTTAAAAAGAGTGTCAGGCAATACTGTGTAGAACACAGGCTCTGGAGCAAGAATGCCTGGTTCAAATTCTAGCTCAGCCACTTCCCAGCTATGTGACCATGGACAAATTACTTAACCTCTCTGGGTCTCAAAGTTTCTTCCTCATTATTATTATTGCTATGACTCCCTTGACTCACTGTAAGGGCATCAGTGTTTCTCATCTTAAACTGCTAATGATAATAGTTCCTGTCTCATGGCATAGCTGTGAGGATTAACAGGTCAGTCAGTGTTGAGAACAGCACCGGGTTTCTGTAGTAACTCTTATCCCGATTATAAAAATGTACTTGTTGGCTGGATGTGGTCACTCATGCCCGTAATCCCAGCACTTTGGGAGGCCAAGGTGGGCAGATCACCTGAGGTCAAGAGTTCGAGACCAGCCTGGCCAACGCAGTGAAACCCCATCTCTACTAAAAATAAAAAAAAATTAGCTGGTCATGGTGGCAGGCACCTGTAATCTCAACTACTCAGGAGAATCAGTTGAACTCAGGAAGCAGAGGTTACAGAGAGCCAAGATTGTGCCACTGCACTCCTGTCTGAGCAACAGAGCAACACACAGTCTCAAAAAAAAAAAAAAAAAAAAAAAAGTACTTATTGCAAGAAGTTAGAAAAATTAGAAAGATTTTAAAAATTTTTTCTGTATGTGTTCTGTATTGTAAATGAGTTTATTTACAATTCTAAATACAAGTTAAGTGCAAAAAAGGAAAATTATCAAGAAGCAAAATTTGTATCACTTCATTAAAAAGAGCCCTCCCCAACCTTACTAATATATATGTATATACATATACACACATACATATGTATGTGTATACATATACACACATACATATGTATGTGTATATATATATTGCAAGATGTAGGCCGGGCGCGGTGGCTCAAGCCTGTAATCCCAGCACTTTGGGAGGCCGAGATGGGCGGATCACAAGGTCAGGAGATCGAGACCATCCTGGCTAACACGGTGAAACCCCGTCTCTACTAAAAATACAAAAAAAAATTAGCCGGGCGAGGTGGCGGGGGCCAACACGGTGAAACCCCGTCTCTACTAAAAATACAAAAAATTAGCCGGGCGAGTAGGCGGCTTCAGTCCAGCTACTCGGGAGGCTGAGGCAAGAGAATGGCGTACTGGAGGCGGAGCTTGCAGTGAGCTGAGATCCGGCCACTGCACTCCAGCCTCGGTGACAGAGCAAGACTCCGTCTCAAAAAAAAAAAAAAAAAAAAAAAAAGATGTGCTATTATTTGGCACATTTACTTCCTGTCTTTTTACCCAGTTGAGATCATATTCAGTGTTGCTGCCTTACACTTGGTATTATTATTAAAGAAGTTTCTCACTAAAACAGCTCACTCATAATGGAATTTAAAAGTTTGGGAGACCAAAGCAGGCGGATCACCTGAGGTCAGGAGTTTGAGACCAGCCTGGCCAATGTGGTGAAATCCCGTCTCTACTAAAAATACAAAAATTAGCCAGGCGTGGTGACATGCACCTGTAATCCCAGCTACTTGGGAGGCTGGGGCAGGAGAATCACTTGAACCTGGGAGGCAGGGGTTACAGTGAGCTGAGATTACATCATTGCACTCCAGCCTGGGTGACGAGAGTGAAACTCTGTCTCGAAAAAAAAAAAAAAAAAGTTATGCAGTATGTCAATAACTTACCAACCTAGGAGCCAGCAAACATTCTTGGTAAAGGGCCAGATTGTTTAGTCAGTTACCTAGCTAGCTAGCTAGAGACAGAATCCTCCTTGGTCACCCTGGCTTGAGTGCAGTGGCATGAACACAGCTCACTGTTGCCTCGACCTCCTGGGCTCAAGTGATCTTCCTGTCATCCTTCCAAGTAGCTGGGACTACTGGTGCATGCCACCATGCCTGGCTAATTTGTTAATTTTTATGGAGACAAGGCCTCACTATGTTACCCAGGCTAGTCTTGAACTCCTGGACTCAAGGAATCCTCTCACCTCGGCCTCCCAAAATGCAGGGATTACAGGCTAGCTATCTGCCGGTCAGATAGTCAACATTTTATGCTTTGGGGTCATACGGTCTAGCTTGCAAGTACTCAGTTCTGCTGCTGTGGGACAAAGCTATAGGTTATATGCAAATGAAGGGGGTGTGGCTGTGTTCCCATACAACTTTCTTTCTGGACACTGAAATTTCAGTTTCATGAAGTTTTCATGATACAAGATATTCTTCTTTTGAGTCTTTTTAACCACTTAATGTAACAACCTACGCTTAGCTCACTGGCCCTTATAATGAACCCTTTTGCCTACTCTGGACTATTTGAGTTGCTTCCTATTTTTTGTTCTAAATAATGATGCAATGAACATCTCTGTGCACAGAGCATTTTTAAGTGATTTTGCTTTGCTTTTATAGGGTAGAGTTCTAGAAGCATTATCATTGACTGAAGTGGTTGGTAAAGGAAAAGAAAACCAGGTGCAAGTGGCTCATGCCTGTAATCCCGGTACTTTGAGAAGCAGACGCGGGTGGATCACTTGAGCCCAGGAGTTTGAGACCAGCCTGGATAACATGGTAAAACCCTGTCTCTACAAAATACGGAAAAAAAAAAAAAAATTAGCTGGGCAGGGTGGTAAGTGCCTGTAGTCCCAGCTACTCGGGAGGCTGAGGTGGGAGGATCACTTGAGCCTGGGGAGATGGAGGCTTCTGTGAGCCATGATAGCACCATGGCACTCCAGTCTGGGTGACAGAGACCCTGTCTCAATAATAATAATAAAAGTACAATCTTGGGATCCCAATTCGCTATGCCAAAAGGAAAAAATTAAGCTGGAAGCGGAGTCATGCAAAAAGCTGCCTTCTCTTTTGTTCCTAAGCAGGTAGCTACAGATAAAAGGTTAAATATTTGTGCAGCTATTCTATGTTCACCTTATCTTATGTAAGGCGTTCATTTATTGAGCAAGGATGAGTACGTGACTATTCCCCTCCCTGTTCCTTTCCTCTTGCAGCCTGTGGATTCAGTCATGTGACTATACCCTCCCTCTTTCCCCTCCAGCCGTCTTTTCCCCTTTAAACAAAAGGAGGGAGAGTATTAGGACAAATACTAATGCACGCGGGGCTTAAAACCTTGATGACGGGTTGATGGGGGCAGCAAACCACCATGGCACATGTATACCTATGTAACAGACCTGCGCGTTCTGCACACGTACCCCAGAACTCAAAGTTTCCTGCCAGGTAAAAAAAAAAAACAGAGAAAAACAAAAAAAAAAAAAAAAAAATTGAAGCTTTTAGAATCATCTCTGGAAAAAGGCAAAGACCACAAAGACCACAGATTGTTCTGTGGATTTGTGTTCCTTTATTTCCAAGCATGTCCTTAACCTTGGCAAAGTAAATGTCTAAATTGATTGAGACCTGTCTCAGATACTTTTTGGTTTGCAGAATATGAATACTTTTAGGGCAGGAGAGCAACTCTGGGATCTGAAGCTGGCATTTTTCCCTTCAACCCCACGATGCCCACCTTGGGACGATGGCATGGAGGCCCTGCTGCCTACCTTCCTCACCAGTACAGGACTGGGCCTCAGAAGGGTCAGGGACGTGTCTGAGGCTCCTCACGCCATCCCTGGTGATGAGGTACAGTTGAGAGCTGGGTAGGGAAAGAAGACAGTGTCAGACACCGCATTTTCATTCATTCATTAGACAAGTAACACCTTAAGCTGCCAGAGCTTGGCACAGGGGCAAATTCTACCCTGAACAGGGCCAGCCTTTGGGCAGTGCACACGCTGGTGGGGTGACACTCCATGGGCACAGGGACAGATGCTGAGGACCACAGAGAGTGACAAGTGCTGTGAGAAACCCACATGGAGGTAGCACAGCAGGGGGCTGTCTCAGGGATAGAGCAGGGCCTCCCCTAGCTGGGGTAGGGGGAGTTCTCTGCAGAGATAACATTTGAGCAGAAATCCAAAGGATGAGAAGGAGCTGTTGTTCCAGACACAGGACACAGCAGGTGCAAAGACCCTGGGGTAGGAACGAGTTGGCCGCTTTAGGAGCATAGAAAGAAGGCTGGTGGGAGGGGGTCAGGGTGGAGGCGGACAGTGAGTGAGGGGCAGCAAACGGGCAGGTGGGAGGAGGGAGGAGCCAGGTGGGCAAAGTCTCCATGGGGCAGGATTAGGGAAAGAATGTGGGTAGGTAGGGCAGCCTGGACTCTCACTCCCTCTGAAATTGCCCCTTTCCAAGAGTTACCTCCCTAGGGGTCACAGACAAGCATGCCCCAGAGGGACTGCAGGAAAGAGCTGAGGGGTCTGAAAGTTCTCCAGCTCTCATCTCTCAGCTGCCCACGGTCCCTGTCAGACACACCCACCCCTCACAGTCAACAGGCACACACGCTCATGGACACACACGCACTCCTATAACACACTCACTCCTCACTGACACACTCACGGACACACCCTCATGCACACAGTAGCTCCCACACACGCTCATATGCCAGATCCTATGTACTCAGACGCAGGCTCATGGGTGCACATACTAACACACGTGCATACTCATGTCACATCCACACCCATGCACATCCCCATGCACACATGCAGACATGTGATCACACACTCACATGCATGCATGCATGCACACACACACCTGCTCACCTGCACCCTCACACTCATGGTTCCCTTTCTGCCAGTACTGGGCACCCACCTGAAGCTGAGCAGCTCTATGGCCTCCTCAGGCATGTTCAGATGCACCTTGAGGTCCTGGCCCTTCTGCACCTGGATCCCGCCATCCAGGCTGGTGGCGCCACGGACGCTGGTCACCCACCTCAGCCCGGCCTGCCCCAGGGTGCCCGCTGTGCCCATTTGAGCTGAGATCTGGAGCAGGGCACTGAGGTACAGGCATGTACCAGCTACATCCCGAGGGCCGTGGGGCCACAGACCCCACCCCCCACCCCCAGCAGCCCCCTTCAGTCTTGAGCCATAGCAGCCCCTCCACCACTGCCACCACTGCCACCACCGCCACCCACAGGCTGTACGTGCACCAAGCACTTTCCAGTCCTCACCTGCACTAATCCCTCTTACGGATGGGGAAGCTGAGGCTCAGAGAGGTGAAAGCACCTGCCTGGGTTCCATGACTGGGACAAAGCATGCGGCTGGGACACGTGAACCCTGGCTGTCTAAGTCCCAGCCCAGGCTCTTCACACCAGAGAGCACCCAGCCCAGGGCATCCATGTTCCCCATGTCAGACCCAGGACCCAAGGACAGCTCAGCTGAGGGGCTGGGGACAGATGCTCAGCAGCACCACAGCAGGTTCTGGAATCAGACCAAATATTGCACACATTCTGCGCAGGCGCTCTGGCGCCATGTGGCCCCAGGTTGTCAGTGTCCTCGCCTTGAACTTTGGTTTCCTTGTCTGTCAGTGGGAAGAAGCAGCACCAGCCTTGCTTGGTCAGGAGGGGGTTGCACGAGTTCAGCAAGCTCAAGGCTAACTGCTCTCCTCCCTTCTGAGTGGCGTAGATGGAAGGGCATAGGGTTGTGGCCAGCCACCTCGCACTGCGGTGTGACCTTGAACACGTGACCGGACCTGAGCCTCAGTCTTCCCACCTGTAGAGTGGATCTAACCACCTAGCATCTCTACACACAGTCTCTTGGCACAGGTGTTCTGCAGAATAGGGATTCCCTCTTGCCCATGTGGATGTCACCCAGGCCTCTGCAGCCCTTTGTAGGGATGGGATCATACCACCTAATCCGTGCCAGCTCCCAGGAGCTAGATACCTGGGCTTGACATAACCATTCACGGAGAAATCCGAGCGCTGCTGGAAGTCAGCGGTTCCTCGGACCCGAATGCTGATGCCAGCTGAAGCATTTAGTGTCAGTCGGGCAGGAAGGCCAGACACCGTGGGAAAGACCAGCTCCTCTGGGGCCAGGCACAGCCTCCGGTTCATCTGCACCTCCTGCCCCTGCAGTCAAGGAACTATAAGCGGGGGCCGGGCGTGGTGGCTCATGCCTGTAATCCCACCACTTTGGGAGGCTGAAGTGGGTGGATCACTTGAGCCCAAGAGTTTGAGACCAGCCTGGCCAACATGGGGAAACCCCATCACGACTAAAAATACAAAAATTAGCTGGCGTGGTGGTGCATGACTGTAGTACCAGCCACTCGGGAGGCTGAGGCAGGAGAGTTGCCTGCACCGGGGAGGCAGAAGTCGCAGTGAGCTGAGATCTTGCCACTGCACTCCAGCCTGGGCAACAGAGCAAGACTCCTTCTCAAAAAGAAGAAAGGAAGAAAGGAAGGAAGGCAGGCAGGCAGGCAGACAGAAAGACAGACAGACAGACACCATAAGGGGACACGTGGCCACCCCTGTTGTGAGCCAGGCACCCTCTGAGTACTGAGTACAATAGATTTCATTTGTCCTCAAAGGGCACGTGATCTCAGTTTCCGGATGAGGAAACTGAGACCACAAAGATAAATGTCCCACCAAGGCCCAGTAACTAGAAAGGGATGGAGCTAGGTATTAACCCAGGCAGTTTGCTTATGAGAAAAGGTCAGGGATCAGGTTCAGTTAGGTGGGGAGGAGTGTGGATCCTGCCGTTAGTATGCACCGGGCGAGCTGAAAGCATCCTGCTCCATTTTCACCGTATTAGCTCCTTTAATACAACTGCTGTATGAATGGATATTCTGGGTTTTTTTGTTTTGAGATGGTGTCACTCTGTCGCCCAGGCTGCTGTGCAGTGGTGCAATCTCTGCTCGCTGCAACCTCTGCCTCCCGAGTTCAGGCGATTCTCTTGCCTCCGCCTCCCGAGTAGCTGGGACTACAGACGCCCTCCACCACGCCTCGGTAATTTTTGTGTTTTTAGTCAAGATGGGGTTTCACCATGCTGGCCAGGGTGGTCTCAAACTCCTGATCTCAGGTGATCCACCCGCCCCGGCCTCCCAAAGTGCTGGGATTACAGGCGTGAGCCACTTCACCCAGCCAGATATTTTGTTATTTTTTATTTATCATCCCCATTTCACAGATGCAGAAACTAAGACCATGGTAAGTGAATCAGTAGGTTCGAGGAGGTAAACGGAAGAGCTGGGATTTGACCTTGGGCAGCCTGACTCCCAATTTCATGCCCTTAAGTACTTTGCCAAAGTGTCACAGGGCAGATGGCATGGGCAGGGGCAGGCAGGAGCTACCTTCATGAGCCTAATGACGAGCTCGGCCAGGTTCAGGGACCTGTGGTTCACGTGACTCCCTGTGGCTCCACATTTCACGAAGCTCAGCTCCTGCCCCAGCACCTTCATGCTCAACTCGCATCGCAGAGCCCGCTGGGTGGCCCCACGCCTCCGGGTCACCTGGGGGAGGGCCCAGACAGGTCACAAAGAACAGGGTCAGGGTTAGCAAAGTGATACGGTTTGGCTGTATCCCCACCCAAATCTCATCTTGTAGCCCCCATAATTCCCACATGCTATGGGGAGGACCCTATGGGAGATGACTGAACCATGGGGGCAGGCCCTTCCCATGCTGTTCATGGGATAGTGAATGGGCTCAGGAGATCTGATGGTTTTAAAAATGGGAGTTTCTCTGCACAAGCTCTTTCGTTGCCTGCTGTCATCCATGTAAGATGTGACATCCTCTCATTGCCTTCCACCATGATTTTGAGGCCTCCCCAGCCACTTGGAACTGTAAATCTACTAAATTTTCTTTCTTTCGTAAATTGCCCTGTCTCTGGTATGTCTTTATCAGCAGCATGAGAACGAACTAATACACAGGACAAAGTGTCTGTACTTTGGGAGGGGGAAGGGGTGTCTGGAGAGAAACGTCAAGAACTTGTGGGGTCCAGAGGAGGCTTGCAAAACTCCTAAAGCATGAACCAAATCCTAACCCAGATGTGTTTTCTCTGACTTGCACAGTAGTGTCCAATGCTCAGAGAGTGTATGTTTTCATAAAGGTTTTATTTTAGAATAATCTTAGATTTACGGAAGAGTTGAAAACTGGCTTGGCATAGTAGCTCATGCCTCTAGTCCCAGCACTCGGGAGGCCGAGAAAGGAGGATTGCTTGAGGCCAGGAGTTTAAGACCAGCCTGGACAGCATATCGAGACCCTGTCTCTACAAAATTAGGAAAAAAAAAAAAAAAAAAAAAAAAACCAGGTATGGTGGCACCCGTCTGTAGTTCCAGCTACTTGGGAAGCTGAGGTGGGAGGATCCCTTGAGCCCAGGACTTCAAGGCTGCAGTGAGCTATGATCATGCCACTGCACTCCAGCCTGGGCGACAGAGCAAGACCCTGTCTCTGAAAAAAAAAAAAAAAAAAGAAGAAAAAGAAAAGAAAAAAGGAAAATTTGCAAAGACAGTACAGAGAGTTCCCATGTATCATTCAACTGATTTCCCCATTGTTAACATCTTACATCAGCAGGATGCATGGTGCAAGCTGACAAACCAACATTGGTATGTCTCCATCAGCTAAACTCAAGAGTTCATTTACATTTCACTAGTTTTTCCATTAATGTCCTCTTTCCACCCCAAGATCCAATCAGGCAAACCCCACTGCCTCTCGTTGCCATATCTCCCTGGTCTCTGGTTCATGACAGTTTTTAAGTCTTTGATTGTTTTTCATGCCACATACTTTTTTTATAAATTGAATTTGGAAATTGGAAATTTTACATAAAACCCAGCTCTCCGGCTTCTCTATGAAGAGAAACATCAGGCTGCCCACCCTCCCCACAAGAAGGGGCAACAAAGAACCAAAGCTGAGCAGAGGCTGCCACTTCAGCTGGGCCACGGGCTTCCTCTGTCCACCACAGTCCCCACCACTCCCTATTGTCCCTCCAACACTGAGGCCAAGTATCTGCTGCCATTCATCACTGAGCTCATGCAGAATATTTCTCGGGATGTAAGTCTCTAAGAAAAGTGAGAAAATAGCAGACCAAGGAGATTGTGCATTCTCAGAAAAACTGTTTATACCTAGCCCATCTCCCTCTTTCAAGTCTCTTGCTGCCCCAAGCTCTAGTCCAACATGCTTTTAACAGCAGAGATTATTGCCCTGCTCATCCTAGTATTCCCAGGCTCTGGCTTTATACTTGGTGGTTAGGAAACATGTGACCAAGTGAACCAATGTCCCAACCATCCACCTTGGTCACTATCAGATGTACATGGCAATGACGTTTCATAAGAGCAAAATGTTGTCAATAATCTGAAACTCCATCAATGGGAAAATGGTTAGGTAAACTGTGGTCCCTACACATAGGATGAATATTAGAATACCTGCACATGTTGAGCTTCTAAGTAAGAAAATACTCAAGCGATAAGAAGAGAAAAAGTCGGTTAAAGATATATATACCCTAAGACTAACCAATTTCACTCCTAAGTGTATGCCTCACAGGTATGAATACACACGTTCCCTAAGAAGGCAGGCCCAAGAGTCTTCATAGCACTGTTTGTAATAGCCAGCAACTGATGGATACAGAAACTGTTTTATGTTTACACAATGGAATACTATGCAGCTATGAAAAGGAACAAATTATAAATCCAAACCACAGTATAGCAAAATCTCACCAATTTTAAACCAAAGTCAGACACAAAAAGAAGTACAGGAGCAGCACTATTCAGTCACCAAAAGGCAGAAACCACCCAAATGTCCATCAGTGAATGAATGGATAAACACGTGGTACATCCATTCAATGAAATATGACTTGACCTTAGACAGGAATGGAGTACTGAGCTACGCTACAATGTGGGTGAACTTCCAAAACACCAGGCTAAGAGAAAGAAGCCAGACACAAAGGTCACATATCATATGGTTCTATTTATATGAAATATCCAAAAGAGGTAAATCCACAGAGACAGGAAGCAAATTGGTGGCTGTCGGAGGAGGACTAGGAGGAGGAGCTGCTGGGGAGTGACTTATGGATACAGTGTCTCCTTTGGGGGTGATAAAAATGTTCTGGAACCAGACAGAAGTGGTGGCGGTATAATACAGTGGCTCTACTAAATACCACGGAATTGTTCACTATTTTTTTCTTTGAGACAGAGTCTCACTTTGTCGCCCAGGCTGGAGTGCAATGGCGCGACCTTGGTTCACTGCAACCTCTGCCTCCTGGGTTCAAGCAATTCTCCTGCCTCAGTCGCCCAAGTAGGTGGGATTATAGGTGCCTGCCACTACACCTGGCTAATTTTTGTATTTTTAGTAGAGACGGGGTTTTACCACATTGGCCAGGCTGATCTTGAACTCCTGACCTCACGCAACCCCGCCCACCTCAGCCACCCAAAGTGCAGGCGTGAGCCACTGCGCCCAGCCCTATTCGATTTATTATTACCATTATTATTATTGAGACAGAGTCTTGCTCTGTCACCCAGGCTGGAGCGCAGTGGTGCTATCTTAGCTCTTGACAATCTCTGCCTCCCGGGTTCAAGTGATTTTCCCGCCTCAGCCACCAGAATAGCTGGAATTACAGGAGTGCACCACCATGCCCAGCAAATTTTTTTGTATTTTCAATAGAGACAGGGTTTCACTATGTTGAGCTGGCTGGTCTCGAACTATTGAGCTCGTTATCTACCTCGGCCTCCCAAAGTGCTGGGATTACAGACATGAGCCACCATACCCGGCCAATCGTTCACTTTAAAATGGTTATTTTTACATATGAGAATTTCATCTCTTAAAAACAAGAGTACACTGTGAATGACTCCTTTTATATAATGTTTACAGAAGGAACTGGATGTGATTTCTATTGCTAACCAAATTGGAGTAATGAAGACTGGGTTCAACCTCCCACATGGAGCAGCTGGTAACCCAGATGACAGAGGCTCAACAATGGTCCCCAAGACACAGACATCAGGCAACCCAAGACGATGAACCCCAAGAGATGGAAACAAGCGAGATGAGCAGTTTCCCACCTGGAGTCAGTGTCCAGGCTACAGCGAGAGGAAGGGGAATGGAGGCTGAGCTGGGGGACTCCCTGAACTGAGGAGCTGGGGGTATGGGGAGACCCTGGCAGCTGGACTTTGCAGGGCAGGGTACCAGAAAGCAGAGAGCTGAACAGAGAGCATGCTCGGAGGTCTACAGAAGGTCCTATGAGAATCTCTGTAACATCCCATCAAGCAAAAATGTCTGAGCTGTAACAGTCGAAGCACTATCAGTCAAAGAAACTAATAAACTTCACTTCATCAAAATTAAGACTTCCTGCTATTGTTTGAAAGACACCATTAAGAGAACAAAAAGACACACCACACACTGGGAGAACATATTTCTGAGTTACGTATCTAATGAAGAACTTGTTTCTGGTCAGGCGTGGTGGGTCACACCTGTAATCCCAGCACTTTGGGAGGCTAAGGCAGGAGGATCGCTTGAGGCCAGGAGTTCAAGATCAGCCTGGGCAACACAGTGAGACCCTATCTCAACAAAAAAAGAAAAAAACTTAGCCAAGTGTGGCAGTACTGCCTATACTCCCAGCTACTCAGGAGGCTGAGGCAGGAAGATCACTTGTGCCCAGCAGGTCAAGATTGCAGTGAACTATGATCACACCACTGCACTCCAGCCTGGATGACAGAACCAGACCTCAACTCCGAAAAAAGAAAGAAAAGAAAAAACCAACAACATGTTTCTGGAATAGAAAGAATTCTCAAAACTCAATAATAAGAAAACAAGCCAACAAAATAAGATGAGCAAAAGATTTGAATGTACATTTCACCAAAGAAGACATACAATAGCATGTGACATACAATAGACATACAATAGACATACATGAGCATGTGAAAAGATGATCAATGTCATTAGTCATTAGGGAAATGCAAATTAAAGCCACAAGATACAACAACACATTATTGGAAAGGCTAAAATTAAAAAGTCTAACCATACCAAGTGTTGGTGAGGATGTGGAGAAACTGGAACTCTCACATACTGCTGGTGGGAATGCAAAAATAGTACAACCATTTGGGAGAATGGTTTAGCAGCTTTAAAAAAATTAAACATATACCTACCACATGATCCAGCCACACCTACTAATTATTCAAGAGAAACAAAAGCACATGCCTAAAGACCTGTACACAAATATTCATAGTAGCTTTATTTTTAGTAGCCAAACCCTGGAAACAACTCAAATGTTGACCAACAGGTGAATGGAGAAACGAACTGGTATATCTATACAACGGACTACCATTTAGCAATAAAAAGAAACAAACTATGTTATAACCTATGGCATGGGTGAGTCTCAGAATAATTATGCTAAATAAAAGAAGTCAAACAAAAAAAGAGTACATGCTTTTTTAAAAAAGGACATGTTGGCAACTGCAGTGGCTCACACCTGTAATCCCAGCACTTTGGGAGGCCAAGGCAGGAGGAATGCTTAAGCCCAGGAAGGTTGATTTCAGCTTGGGCAACATAGTGAGACCCTGTCTCTGCAATTTTTTTTTTTTTTTAAATACATAGGCATGATGGCACATGCCTATAGTCCCAGCTACTCTGGAAGCTGAGGTGGAAGGATTGCTTGAGCCTGGGGGTCAAAGGTTGCAATGAGCCAAGATCACGCCACTGCACTCCAGCTTGGGTGACAGAGTGACATTGTCCCCAAAAAATAAAATAAAATAAAATAATAGACATGTTGTGTGATCTAATTTGCACAATATTCTAGAAAATGCAAACAAGTCTACGGTGACAGAAAGCCTCTCACTAGTTCCTGGGGACAGAGGAGAAGCAGGAGGAAGGGATTTTTTTTTTTTTTTTTTTTGAGATGGAGGCTCGCTCTGTTGCCCAGGCTGGAGTGCAGTGGCGCGATCTCGGCTCACTGCAAGCTCCACCTCCCAGGTTCACGCCATTCTCCTGCCTCAGCCTCCCGAGTAGCTGGGACTACAGGCGCCCACCACCACGCCTGGCTAATTTTTTGTATTCTTAGTAGAGACAAGGTTTCTCTGTGCTAGCCAGGATGGTCTCGATCTCCTGAACTCGTGATCTGCCTGCCTTGGCCTCCCAGTGCTGGGATTACAGGCGTGAGCCACCGTGCCTGGCTGGAGGAAGAGATTATTAAGGATCTGGAAGAGACTTTTGGGGGTGATGGCTATGTTCATAAGCTTTATCATGGTGACGATCTCATGAGTGTGTACAGGGGTCAGAATGTATCAAATTGTACACCTTAACCATATGCTACTGTTCACCTTAACCGTGTGCTGCTGTTCACCTTAACCGGGTGCTACTGTTCACCTTAACCGGGTGCTGCTGTTCACCTTAACCGTGTGCTACTGTTCACCTTAACTGTGTGCTACTGTTCACCATGTGTCAATCAGACCTCAGCAAAGCTCATTTTTAAAAACTAGAACTAATTGATGCTGCCAGAAGTCAGAAGAGTGGTTACCCCTGGTTAAGGATGGGTATTAACAAAAACAGGAGGACAAAGGGGAGGCTGGGAGCTGAAGACGGTCTGGGTGCTGGTGACGTGGGTGTGTTGAGGTGGTGGACAGGCAAGCTGTACACTTACAACTTAGGGACGTTCCCATCCATAGGATCTATTTCAAGCAACAGTTTTTCCAAATAAAGCCAGTTGACTACTCAGATTTGAACCAGCCACTCAGTTCTGTGAGGAGGGGACAGGGTCAGAGTTCACAGACACCCAAGTCTCAGGTTCAAAAGCCCAAGCATGAAGCGAGGTGGCCTGCCTGGGGGAGTAGGGTGGGTGTGGCCACCTCCCTTACCTTCTGCTGTAGGTCTCTCATCCTTCTGTCTCTGTCTCCTGGACACTCAGGGCTGGCTCGCTGTGGTACAGGCCCTGGTTTTGGCCCTGGGGGCTTCTCTGGCTTGGCCTCTCTCCCGTCTTCCTGGCCCCAGAATGACTTCCTGCCAAACAGCCTGTGAGCAATTTCCTCAGCATTTTCCAGCCGGAGCCCAAGCTGGGAAGGGAAGCCAGGGGCTCAGGGAGGAACAATTCAGTTACAGGGGTGATGATGAGCTGTCAGGCTGGGGATATGAATGGGGGAACCAGAGGCTTGAGCAGGCCACTCCAGGCTCCCTGGTGCCCACCTAGGCTTAGGTTCAGGGACACGACCTTGGGAAATCCATCACTCTCTGTATCTGCTTGGTAGACACCACACGGCAAGAATTCTTGCCAATTCTTTAAGGCTTGGATCAAATGTCACCACCTCTGGGAAGCCCTCCCTGAACTCCCATGTCACTCTCTTCCCACCTCCTCTGCCCCACACACAATATACTCAGACTGGAATGTGTGTCTTCCTCAAAAGATCCATGATGAGGCCAAGGACTCATGTCTCAATCACTAGGCACCTGCATGACCTGATCTGGGCGTAGAGGTTCTCAAAATGTGATAGGTGAATAAATGGATCCTTTCTTCTGTCCCTCCTGTCTTCCATCTGCCCATTCGTGCAACCCTCTGTTCACCTATCCTTTTGTCCTTCCCATCTATCCATCTATCTGCCTCTCCACCTTCCATCTTTTCTTTCCTTTGTTCTATCCATCCTTATTCCTATCCATCCACCTACTTTTCCTTTCTTATGGACCTCTCTCCTTTCATCTATTCTTTCTTCCCTCTTTCCATCTAGACATCTGTGATAGCATTTTCAGAGAAGTCACCAGAGACCAGCCCTTGGCAATGACTGGTGAGTGGGTGGATGGATAATGGATGGATGTGTGACTCAGAGGATGGACTGATGGATGAATGTGGGTAGACATGGATGGCTAAGTGAATGAAAGATGGATGAGTAGGAGAACAGATGAATAGATGGGTAGGTTAGACAGTAGACAGAGAGATGGATGGGAAATTACATGGATGGATCGACAGACAGACATACAGATGGGGAGGGTGGGTATGTCCATGGATGGGTAGGCGGGTGGACAGATGAATAAGTGAATGGATGGATGGATGGTGGGTGGGTGGTTTGGTAGGTGGATTAATGAATGAGTGAATAGATGGATGGATGGATGGGTAGGGGGGTAGATGGATCATGGGTGGGTAGATAGATGGATGGATGATGGATGGATAGATGATGGGTGCGTGGGTGGGTGGATGGAGGGATGGATGACGGGTGCGTGGGTGGATGGAGGGATGGATGGATCATGGGTGGGTGGGTGGATGGATGATGGGTGGGTGAGTGGGTGGATGGATGAATGATGTGTGGGTGGGTGGGTGGATGGATGATGTGTGGGTGGGTGGGTGGATGGATGATGTGTGGGTGGGTGGGTGGGTGGATGGATGATGTGTCGGTGGGTGGGTGGGTGGGTGGGTGGATGGATGATGGGTGGGTGGATGAATGGATGACGGGTGGGTGGGTGGGTGAATGGATGATGGGTGGGTGGGTGAATGGATCATAGGTGGGTGGGTGAATGGATGATGGGTGGGTGGGTGGGTAAGTGGATGAATGGATGGGTGGGTGAGTGGATGGATCAGATGAATGAGAGGGATATGGGTGGATGGACAGATGAGCAGGTGAAAAGATAGGTGGAGGAGGGAGGGATGGAGGCATGTAGGTGAATGGATAGATGTACGGACATGCCTATGGGTGGGTGGGTGACTAGATACTGGGGGAGGGGATTGAACAATGGAGTCAAGGGATGGACAGACAGACGGATAAGTGACTGGGATATTTTTTGGCCCCAAGAATAGGAGAGGCCCTGCAGAGGCTACAGCAAGGCTCCCCTCTAACCTCCAGGAGGTTGAAGGCACGGCCCATGGTGTGGATGGTCAGGTTGACTGTGGCAGAACGGGGGAGAAAGGAGGCAGGAGAGAAGAGAAGGGTCCCCTCCAGGTTGGCTCCCAGGCTTCCAGACACTAGGAGTAAGAAAAGAACATCAGTACACTCTGCGCACACTCAGAGTGGGGTCTGGCTATTACCATGGGGCCGTACCCTGAGAAAAAGCCAGACACATGGTGTGTCTTCCCACCTCTCCCTGACCAGGGTGGGAAACAGCCTTAAGCCTTTTCAAGAACAGAGGGAGTCCAGGACAGAGAGTCACATACACCCACTTCTGCTGACAGGCAGAGAGGAGGTACTCAGAGCACCCAATCCCCAACCCCAGGCTTCCAAGAATGGCTGAGGTAGTTTTAGAGCCTTAGCTTGAAAGAGATTCCCTTTTTGATTTTCTATTTAATTACAACAAAGAGGCAGTCTCAGTGTGGGGCTAATCTCTCTTATTAACATAGGAGAAAACTCTTCTCAAAATTCACAGCCCTCAGCAAGTCACAGAATTCAGGAGAATTTAATAAAACAGTGTTTCAGCCAGGCACAGTGGCTCACGCCTGTAATCCTAGCTTTGGGAGGCTGAGGTGGGCAAATCACTTGAGGCCAGGGGTTCGAGACCAGCCTGGCCAGCATGGTGAAACCCCATCTCTACTAATAAAAGTACAAAAATTAGCCAGGCATGGTGGTGCGCACCTGTAGTCCCAGCTACTCGGGAGGCTGAGGCAGAAGAATCACTTGAACCCCGGAGGTGGAGGCTGCAGTGAGCCAAGATTGTGCCACTGTACTCCAGTCTGGGCAACAGGGTGAGAGTCCGTGTCAAAAAATACATATATATACACACACACATATAAAAAAATACATATACATATATGTATGTATATACATTATGTATACGTAATACATATAAGTATATGTAATACATATAAATACACATATACATATATAAATACATATATACACACACATATGAGATATATCAGCGTTTCATTACCCACCTGTGGGTGTACAGTATTTCTTCTTAGGACTACCCTCTCTTTACAGAGCGTTAAATTGATTTTCTATTAATGGTAGTGATAGACAATTTCCTTTTTAACATTAATCTAAAGTACAAAGAGCCAATTTAGAGAAAAGATATAAGTATTCAGTTGAATACCATAAAATAACTGATATGACTTTTCTTTAAAAAGCAGCAAGTGCTATGGAAATATTGCAAAAAAAAAATTGAACAAGCAGCATATTAAGTTTTGTTACTGTTTTTTGTTTTTTGTTTTTTGTTTTTTTTTTTTTTTGAGACAGGGTCTCACTCTGTCACCCATGCTGGAGTGCAGTGGTGCAATCATGACTCACTGCAGATTCGACCTTCTAGGCTCAAGTAATCCTCCTGCCTCAGCCTCCCAAAGTGCTGGAATTACAGCTTTGAGCCACCACACCCGACCAGCATGTAAATATTTGACCCCTTAACACAACATCTGATCTGTATGCTCTCAAGAGCTGGAGCTCCAGGGTCCCCCAGCCTTCGTGGTCTCAGAGCAGCACCGGGGCTGACCAGGATGGCCATACCTGATCGGAAGGTGACATCAGAATAGGACGAGTGTTTCCACATTTCCGGGTGGAACTCCTGGCTGAGAATGTCCTCAGGGAGGGTGTCCCGGAGGGCCTGTTTCAGGGGGTCGTGCGTCTCCAGCAGCTGCAGGAGATGACTCCACACAAAAGAACCCACTGCAATAGAGTCATGGGCAGCAGGGAGGGGACATGAGGAAAGGGCCTGGAGCTGGTGCTGTCCAGAGAAAATACCCTCCCCCAACCCCCATCCCAGTCCTGCAATTCCCACACACGGGGACTTCTCAGGAGCCTGGCTACGGAGACCTACGTCTTCTCTCAAGAAACAGCAGCCAACAAGTCGTGCCTTAACAGAACTTGGAAATCCAGCCCGTGTATGGAATTCTGACACACTTCCCAGAAGAGAAAGGAAGGTGTCATGGGCTCAAAAGTCAGACCTGAGTCTGAGAACCCAGTCCCAAAGCTCAAAGCTGTGTGACCTTGAGGTGGTCCCTCTGCCTCTCTGAGCCTCAGTTTCCTCATCAGTGAAAATGGGAATTCAGACCTGATTTCAAATCCTAGTTCCACCATATACCAGTGTAGCTTTAGATGGTCACTCCAGCTCTTGGAACCTTAGGTTTCTCATCTGAAAAAGGAACTAACAAAGTACCTTGCAGGGCTTTTTGGGAAGATCAGTTAAAAGCAGAGCCTGGACCTTAAAAGACTAAGTATGTTTCAGGATCAGCAAAAGGTGACGTGTGACCCGGAGAGGTCCTGCAGGGATAAAGATCAAATGAGAGCCTCACGGGACTTAGTCAGCGGGGAATATTAAGTCTTACAGGAGCCCCCAACCCTCCCCACATTGTCCCGGGCTCTTAGAAGGTCAGTCAGAGCTTCACGGAACAATCTATCAAAGAATAGAGCAGAATGTGGACTTTGGGGACAAGGTGCTTACTTGTTCCCACTGGGCAATATATCCAGGTGGTACCCCAGGGCCACCGTGGAGGCTCGAGCCCCTCAGCAGATCCCCTGAGGAGGGTTCAGCAAACATCCACTCAGGCTGAACTCCTAATGCAGAGAGCCTGTATCTTCAATAGTGCCATCTCTTCAGAAGGTAATTCAACAACATCACATCAGACTTTTAAATGTGCATACCCCTTACCATGGCAACTTATCTTCCGGAAATAATCCTAAAGTGAGATTAACTCAAGGGGCCAAGGCAGCCGTGCAGAGTAGTTGTGGTTGTTGCTTCTAATGGCAAAAGACCAGAAACAGCCTAAAGGTCTATCAATGGAATTGACAAAATGGGTTATAATGCAAAACTCTGGTGGAACAGCCACACAGCCACAGGTAAGAGGCTGTAAGAGCTATAGATGAGAAATGAGCTCCCAGACATGGTAAAGACAAAAAGCAAGGAAGAGGCTGGGCCCAGTGGCTCACCTCTGTCATCCCAAGCACTTTGGGAGGCTGAGGTGGACAGATCTCCTGAGGTCAGGAGCTCGAGACCAGCCTGGCCAACTGTGGCAAACCATCTCTATTAAAAAGAATACAAAAATTAGCCGGGCATGGTGGTGCACATTTGTAATCCCAGCTACCCAGAGGCTGACGCAGGAGAATTGCTTGAACCCAGGAGGCAGAGGTTGCAGAGAGCCACGACTGCACCATTGCACTCCAGCCTGGGCAACAGAGCAAGACTCTGTCTCCAAAAAAAAAAAAAAAAAAAAAAGGCCTGGTGCGGTGGCTCTGTCTGTAATCCCAGCACTTCAGGAGGCTGAGGTGGGCAGATCACGAGGTCAGGAGATTGAGACCATCCTGGCTAACACGGGGTGAAACCCCGTCTCTACTAAAAATACAAAAAATTAGCCAGGCGTGGTGGTAGGCACCTGTAGTCCCAGCTGCTTGGGAGGCTGAGGAAGGAGAATGGCGTGAACCTAGAAGATGGAGCTTGCAGTAGAGCCAAGATCACGCCATCACACACTCAGCCTGAGACAGAGTGAGATTCCCGTCTCAAAAACAAAAACAAAAACAAACAAAACAAAGCACAAAAGCACAATAGCAAGTAAGAACATGATCCTGAGATGCTACTGTTAAGGAGATACATGTGTATGTTTATGTATATATTACATGTACAGGAGAATTGCTCACATTATGTATCTTCAGGACACAGGAAGATATTATTGGGGGGAAGAAGGAAGGAATAATTTTCCATTTGTCCCTTGCCTATGCTTTAAAATTTTGATCATCTAGCTATACTGCATTAATAATAGCAGTAGTCATAACAACATTAAAAGCAACAGTCATACATATGACACACTATGCATTCTAAATGTCTTTGTATATTAACTCATTTTATGCTTGCAACACTCTATGAGGGAGGTACTAGCATTATCCCTATTGTATATTTTATCTGTACCTAAAATATACAGGTACGAAAATGGAGCCTCAAAAGGTTTACTTACTTGTCTAAAGGCATACAGGAAGGAAGTGGTGAAGCTGGGATTTAGAACCTGGGCTCTCGGGCTCAGGCTCTCACCCACTGTGCATTATGGAAATTTTTCAACCATTGGTTGAACTTATTTTTTGTGAATTTACATCTGTGGGTTCAGGTGCATGTATAAAGGAATTGTCTCACTCCAGAAGGAATCTGAGATTTGCTGATGCCATCCCTCTTCTATCTTAGGTCTCTCTTTAGGATACTGTGTCGTGATTTGGCCAGAGCTAAAGGGCCAGTTCCCATCCCATTTTACAGATGAGGAAACTGAGGACCAGAGAAGAGAAGCAACTTCTCCAAAGTCATTCAACAGCAGAATGGGGACTAGAATTGCCATGTGGGGAAGGGAAGAATATACAGCCCCTTATCAAGACAGTATGGTAGAGAAACAGGAGAACAAAAGAAGACAGGAGGGGACACCAGAGGTGGAAAGAGAGGATGCTCTCAAACCCCCTGCACTCTCAGGAGGTGCCCTCCCAGCCCCACCCCTGCCCACCTCCCACACCACCCATGGCTCACCTGGTAGACAGCGCTCGCCTGCCTGGAGTGCGCGCACCTGGGCAAACACCTCCTCACTAGGGCATCTCATCAGGGCCAGGTAGGCATTGATACGGATCTCAGCATCCTCCTCCGGGGATTGGTACAGATGGGAGAGCACCGATCGCTGGCACCGGGCAGAGGAAGGCCATCACCCAAGGCCCACCTATCTCCCCACACCCAGGAGTATGGCGTCCCTGGCTCAGCAGGTGGACCTGCTGCCTAGCCCCAGCTGTCCTGATATCCCCACTGTGGGAGAGCTTCCCCATTACCTCACACAGTTGTGAGAGTAGCAGGTGTTCACTCACTGTGCCTAATTCCCAGTCTCCACCAGCCCCAGCCTAGAGAGTCTCATCAATTCCCCAACAAATAGGCATGGCTTACTTCCAATAAACTATTTACAAAAACAGTATGTAGTGTCTTTGCACACAGGAGGTCTTTAAATGTCTCGGCCTTCCTGGGCCCTTTCCTAAGCAAGCCACCTCCCCACATTGTAGCTCCCTCGGTACCTACTGGTTTTCCTCCACAACCAACCAGCCACCCAACCATCATTCCATCCACTCACCCACCCATCCATCTATCCATTCACCCATCCACCCACCCAACATCCATCCACCCACCCACCCATCCATCTATCCATTCCCCCATCTACCCACCCATCCACCCACCCACCCACCCATCCATCTATCCATTCCCCGTCTACCCACCCATCATCCATCCACCACCCACCATCCATCTATCCATTCCCCCATCTACCCACCCATCATCCACCTACCCACCCATCCATCTATCCATTCCTCCATCTACCCACCCATCATCCATCACCCACCCATCATCCATCTATCCATTCTTCCATCTACCCACCCATCCATCTATCCATTCCCCCATCTACCCACCCCCCCACCCATCATCCATCCACCCACCCACCCATCCATCTATCCATTCCCCCATCTATACCCACCCATCATCCATCCACTGCCCACCCACCCCACCCATCCATCTATCCATTCCATCTACCCACCCATCATCCACCCACCCACCCATCCATCTATCCATTCCTCCATCTACCCACCGCGCTCATCCACCCACCCACCCATCCATCTATCCATTCCCCATCTACCACCCATCATCATCCACCCACCCACCATCCATCTATCCATTCCCCATCTACCCACCCATCATCCACCACCCACCCATCCATCTATCCATTCCCCCATCTACCACCCATCATCCACCCACCCCACCCATCCATCTATCCATTCCCCATCTACCCACCCATCATCCACCCACCCACCCATCCATCTATCCATTCCTCCATCTACCCACCGTATCATCCACCCACCCACCATCCATCTATCCATTCCCCCATCTACCCACCCATCATCCATCCACCCACCCATCCATCCATCTATCCATTCCCCCATCTACCCACCCATCATCCATCCACACCATCCTCCATCTATCCATTCCCCCATCCACCACCCAGCATCCATCCACCCACCCACTCATCCATCTATCCATTCCTCCATCTACCCACCCATCATCCACCCACCCACCATCCATCTATCCATTCCCATCTACCCACCCATCATCCATCCACCCACCCACATCCATCCATCTATCCATTCCCCCATCTACCCACCCATCATCCATCCACCCACCCATCCATCTATCCATTCCCCCATCTTCCCACCCATCATCCATCCACCCACCCATCCATCCATCTATCATTCCTCCATCTACCCACCCATCATCAATCCACCCACCCATCCATCTATCCATTCCCCCATCTACCCACCCATCATTCCATCCACACCCACCCCATCCATCCATCTATCATTCCCCCATCCACCCACCCCAACATCCATCCACCCACCCATCCATCCATCTATCCATTCCCCCATCCACCCACCCAACATCCACCCACCCACCCATCCATCTATCCATTCCCCCATCTACCCACCCATCATCCATCCACCCACCCATCCATCTATCCATTCCCCCATCCACCCACCCATCATCCATCCACCCCACCCCTTCCATCCATGCAATAAATATTAACTAAGCAACTGTGCACCCAGCACTGTGCTAGGTGACAACCATAAACAAGACCAGCCCGGCTCTGTCCACCTGAGGCTGTTATCCTAGTGCAGAGAGACAGTCAATGAGATTAGCATGTGAACTATATAAAAGTTAGGTATGGGTGGCGGGTGCGGTGGTTCAAGCCTGTAATCCCAGCACTTTGGGAGGCCAAGACGGGAGGGTCACGAGGTCCTTGAGATCGAGACCATCACCAGCTAACATTCCATCTCTACTAAACACAAAAAAATTAGCCAGGCGTGGTGGTGGATGCCTGTAGTCCCAGCTACTCGGGAGGCTGAGGCAGGATAATGGCGTGAACCCGGGAGGCGGAGCTTGCAATGAGCAGAGATACCACCACTGCACTTCCAGCCTGGGTGACAGAGTGAGACTCCATCTCAAAAAAAAAAAAAAAAAAAAAAAAGGAAGTTGGAGTAGTGACAGCTAAACCCCCTATGGAGGGAAAAATGAAATGGGGAAACAGTGAAAGTGACTTTTAAGCTAAGACCTACGGGAGGTGAAAAAGAAAGGCCTGGAGACATCTGAGGGAAAAGTGTACCAGGAAAGGGGACAGCATGTGCAAAGGGCCTGGGGCAAGAGAGGGTCACAAGTGTTTAAGGAAGAACAGAAAGGGCAGTGTGTTGGGGAGGAGGGATGGGAGGTGAAAAGAGCAGGTGAGGTCCAGAGGTCAGATCCCTCAGGGCCTGGGAGGTCAATGAAGGGACTGCAACTTTGAGTAAAAAGGGATTAGCAAACTTTTTCTATAAAGGGACAGAGAACTCTTTCAGACTCTGCAGGCCATGCGATCTCTTGCAATGAGTTGACTGCAGGCGGAGCAGGAAAGCAGCCATAGACAACACATAAATGAGTGGGTATGGCTGTGTTCCAATAAAACTTTGTTGACAAAAACAGACAAAGGGCCAGGAAGTGACCCATGGCCCATAGTCTGACAAACCCTGTACTAGAGGGGGGCACAGATGGCACTGGTAATCATATGGTTGTTTGTGTATTTGATAAATAATCTGCTTCCCACACTACACACAGGCTTAGACCTGGATACCTGTTCACACTAGTACCCAGCCCACAGTAGGTGCTCATTAAATACATGATAAATGAATGAACAATTGAAGAAGTGACTTAGTAAACTGTGGTTTGAGAACTACCACCACCCAACCCCAACCCAGTGAAACAGCACACAAGGGCTCACATCTGCAGAGCAGAGGACCCTCCGGAAGGCCTGGATGGCCCCCAGCCGGATCTCAGGGGCGCTGCTTCTCAGAGATGCGCAGGCACTCAGTGTGGGGGTGAGAGCCATGGCTGCCAAGCCCGCGTTGCCGATCGCCTTCAGCACAAGCTGGAGCTAAATCGAGATGGAGGGACGACCATGAGGGGAGTGGTGTGGGGAGGGGCAGTGGCGTGGGGAGGGGCAGTGGCGTGGAGGGGACAGTGGTGTGGACCGGACAGTCGCGTGGAGGGGAGGACAGGAGGGGGGGGGGGTGGGGTGGGGGGGGGCGGGGGGGGGGGGGGATAGAAGGAAGGGTGGAAGCGGGGAAAGGGGGGGAACCCATCCCTACCCTCTCCACCTGGAGCTTGCTGCTTGGCTTGGGTCACACTGGGGGCACTGAAGCCGGTACTCAGGACACTGGATGTCCTCACCTTGTCATCATCCGAGGGCTCCTGGATGGTACAGTTCTCACCCAAGGCATCTCCCAGGATCCTCACTAGAGAGCCGACTCCAGGCAGCTGTCCGCAGGGAGCATCCAGAGAAGCACAGAGGTTGTGCACCAGGGCTGAAATGCCCAGGAAGGCGCCAGGGCTGGCCCGCAGGGTCTGGAGCAGTGGCTGGGGACAGAAATGGGCCCCCACCCAGAGAGGGATGGTAAATGCCCTTCACAGGCCTCACCCTGGCCACACACCAACTCAGCTGGGGCATTTTGTAATACAGAGCCGAGTCCCCCAAAGTCTGAACAAATTGCTCTGTTCAGGGAACACCGTAAAAGCACCCCAGAGGCCGGGCACAGTGGCTCATGCCTGTAATCCCAGCACTTTGAAGGCCAAGGTGGGTGGATCACCTGAGGCCAGGAGTTCGAGACCAGCCTGGCCACAATGGCAAAACCCTGTCTCTACTAAAAATACAAAAATTAGCCAGGCGTGGTGGTGCACGCCTGTAATCCCAGCTGCTTGGGAAGCTACGGCACAAGAATCCCTTGAACCAGGGAGGCAGAGGCTGCAGTGAACTGTAATAGCACCATTGCACTCCAGCCTGGGTGGCAGAGCGAGATTCTGTCTCAAAAAAAAAAGAAAAAGAAAAAGAGCACCCCATGTTACCCACCACTCAGATGCGCAGCTACCCTCACTCCAGGGCACTGAAGGCCTCAACGAAAGGAAGGCAAACAGGGGGGGGGTTCAGAACAGAGCTGCTCCCAGCCCCAGGCACCTCAGAGAAATCAGACCAACAAATCTTTTTTTTTTTTTTTTTTTTTTTAAGACGGAGTCTTGCTCTGTCATCCAGGCTGGAGTGCAGTGGTGCCATCTAGGCTCACTGTAACCTCCGCCCCTTGGGTTCACTCGATTCCCCTGCCTCAGCCTCCCACGTAGCTGAGATTACAGACACGTGCCACCACCCTCAGCTAATTTTTGTATTTTTAGTAAAGCCAGGTTTCACCACGTTGACCAGGCTGGTTGTGAACTCCTGACCTCAAGTGATCTGCCTGCCTTGGTGCTGGGATTACAGGCATGAGCCATGGTCTAGACTAATAAAACTTAGTAAACAAATTGTGTTCACTCCCAGCCAGACTGCTGATAACATGTCACACACACTGCCTTTCTTATTTCCATTTGCAGACGAGAAAACAGACCCGGAAAGGGTAAGGAACTTGCCTCAGGTAGCCCAGGTGTAAATAGTAGAACTGAGATTTAACCCAGGAGGGTCTGGTTCCCAGACCAGACATGATCCCAACACTCACTGCTTCTCAAAATGCAAATTCTGGGCTCACTCTAAAATCCAGCCCTGGCGGGCCTCTGTGCTAGACCCACACCACCCCAAAACAGGGACTGCTTGGCAGCTGTGAGGAAATAAAATCTCTGCCCAGCTCTGTCCCTTTTTTATCCTCCCCTCGAGATGGAGTCTCGCTCCTGTCACCCAGGCTGGAGTGCAGTGGCACAATCTCAGCTCACTGCAACCTCTGCCTCCTGGGATCAAGCGATTCTCCTGCCTCAGCTTCCTGAGTAGCCGGGATTACAGACGTGCACCACCATGCCCGATTAATTTTTGTATTTTTAGTAGAGATAGGGTTTCACCATTTTGGCCAGGCTGCTCTCGAACTCCTGACCTCAGGTGATCTGCCCACCTCCCAAAGTGCTAGAATTACAGGTGTGAGCCACCACGCCCGGCCTGCCCAGCTCTGTTCTTTCCTTGAATTCTTCACCAGGTGTGTGTTATGCTAGGATGTGAGCACACTGTGTGAACGCGTGAACATGAGCATCCGCGTGTGTGCATATTGGTGTGTGCTGTGGAATCCCAGTGCTTGTGGGTGTGTATGTTCCCATGTGGGTGTGCAGGAGTCTCAGCTCACTCGAGTACCCTAGTATGCATGTATTTCCTGGTGGATGCCTGTGCACACGTGTCCCCATGTGGGCACCTCGTGTGTCCTAGTGGGTGTGTGCATGTGCCCATGTGTCCAGGTACGTGTGTGTGCACTGTGTGTCCCTTGTGTGCCCATGCACAGCCGAGTGTATCTTGGTGTGCCTGTGCATGTGTCCAGGTGTCGGTGGCTGTCTCCACACGTCCCACTGCATAAGTGTCCTGCTGTGTGTATGTGCATGTCCTGCCATGTGTTCACATGTGCACATGCTGGGGTGTGTATCTGCATCTCCAGGTATGTGAGTCTTGGCATGTATACCTCAATGTGTGTGTGTGTGTGTGTGTGTGTGTGTCTTGACAGGTCTATGGTGTGGGTGTGTGTCCCTGCATTTCCCCATGTGGGTGTCCTTGGAAAGCCTGCCTCGGTGTGAGCCTGCATCAGTGTGTGTATACATGATCCAGCAAGTGTGTGCATATCCCTGTGTGTTTGTATGTCCCTGTGCCTTGGTGTGAGCCTGTGTCAGTGCACGTGCGGGTCCGTGCATGTACACATGATCCAGTGAGCGTGTGCAAGTCCCAGTGCAATGGGTGCGTGCTACAGTGTGTGTGGGGCGTGTCCCGTGTGCGTACACATGCACTCAGGATGCATGTGTGTGGGTCTTGGCGTGTGCATCTCACTGCATGTTTTCTTTGTGAAAGGAGAGGGGTGTGTGGAGCCTGGAAAAAGCACATTCAATGTTTCCCTATATTTGGGCAAGGAAAACAAAGCTGTCTGTTTTCTTAATACAGAGCAGGGCAAGCGGGCTTGGCTGGGAGAGCAGGGGTTATAAAAAGACTAAGAAGCTCTCGGGCACGTGGGAGGGGCTGCCTGCTGGAGGTTCCCGCCTCTGCCTACTGTGCCCAAGAAAGGCGGTGGGGGCACAGAAAGGGCAGGCTCGGGCCTGTCCCAGACCAAAGCTGGAGCCAGAAGCCTGGTCACGCCCTACAGGGCTGTGGGGCAGGCTGGTGCCACTTGGCTGGCAGAGAGCCCAGATCTGTGAGCCGCTTCCGGTGGCCCCGCCACGAGAGCTGGGCCAGCATGAGGCCTGGGTACTGAGCAGTCCAGACAGTAATGACCCAGTTGGTTCTGTGTATAGCTGCCCTGGGGATGCGCCCAGAATGGCCAGCCTTCCCCGTTTCCACAGAAACCAGAAACCACATCAAAAAAAGAAGAACAAATAATTTTGAAAGAAAAATAAATTTTAAAAAAGAAAAAAAAAGAAAGCGGGAGGAGAAAAAAAAACAACGCAAAAATCTCTAACTTATGAAGGCTTACTTACACTTCAGTTAAAAGTCTGTTTAAAATATTCACTCTTTTTCATTTTTAAAGGTGGAAAAATAAAATTATCCTCAAACCTGTGACCCTTATTGAGCTGATTTCACTTTTCCAACATGATTCTAAAGCTCAGTCATCATGCTCAAGCCAACCCTCCCTGAAAAGGTAAGAAAACAGAGCTGGGAGAAGACAAGACAGGGAACGTCGGGACCTGAGGGAGATCAAACACCAGCTCAAAAGCATCAAGAAGCCGCACTTCACCAACATGAAGAACTTCTGTTCATCGAAAGACACATGAAGAAGACCGGGCACAGTGGCTCATGCCTGTAATCCCAGCACTTTGGGAGGCCGAGGCAGGCAAATCACGTGAGCTCAGGAGTTCAAGACCAGCCTGGCCAACATGGTAAAACCCCGTTTCTACAAAAAATACAAAAAATTTAGCAGGATGTGGTGGTGTACATCACAATCCCAGCTACTCAGGAGGCTGAGGCACGAGAATCACTTGAACCCGGGAGGCGGAGGTTGAAGCGAGCTGAGATCGCGCCACTGCACTTCAGCCTGGGCAACAGAGGCTCTGTCTCAAAAAATAATAATAAAATAAAATAAAATAAAACAAAATAGGCACCATTAAGAGCGGAAACTACAAGGAGGCAACTGAGGATGGCTCAGCTTGGGAAAGAACAAAGTCCCCGCACACACAGCAGCACGGACCAATCCCGCAGAGGACGTGGGTGAAAAGAATTCGGCCTCCAAGACGCACGTGACCCATGAACATGAACCTCAAGAGCAGAAGCGTCAGAATGGTGGTGACCTTTGGGCATCACCAACTGGGAGGGGCACTAGGGAGCCTTCTGGAGTCAGAAACGTCCTCTCTCTTGTTCTGGGGGTGGTGACACATGTCAACACACACAGTTGTAAAAATTCATGGGCTGGGCACGGTGGCTCATGCCTGTAATCTCAGCACTTTGGGAGTCTGTGGTAGGCGGATCACCTGAGCTCAGAAGTTTGAGACCAGCCTCAACAATGTGGCCAGACCTCACCTATACAAGAATTACAGAAATTAGCCAGGTGTGGTGGTGCATGTCCCAGCTACTCAGGAAGCGGAGGTGGGAGGATCACTTGAGCCCGGGAGGTTGAGGCTGCAATGAGCCATGAATGGGCCACTGCACTCCAGCCTGGGCGACACAGAGAAACTCTGTCTCCAAAAAAAAAAAAAAAAAACTGCCCAGCTTGTACACGCGAAAACAGACATGTAATGATCGGAGAGCTTACAACGTGATTAAACCTCACACCCACTGACAGCAATGGGGTGCCCTGGAGAGGACTCCAGAACAGACAGAGCACATCCATGGAAAAAGTGGGGAATCACAGCAGTCTGGGGTTTCCTTGGTGGGAACAGACCCACTCAGCCTTGTGGTTAGGGCCAGTGCTTCCTGGTGGCACAGGACATTCACGGTCGGGAAACCCTGGTGAGGGCTAGACAGAAACACCCTCTACTAACCTTGCAACATTTTTTTTGTAAATCTAAAATTACTCTGGACCGGGCACACTGGCTCATGCCTGTAATCCCAGCACTTTGGGAGGCCAAGGCGGGGGGATCACCTGAGGTCCGGAGTTCAAGACCTGCCTGGTCAACATGGCAAAACTCCGTCTCTACTAAAAATGCAAAAATCATCCAGGCTTGGTGACAGGTGCCTGTAATCCCTGCTACTGGGGAAGCTGAGGCAGGGAGAATCGCTTGAACCTGGGTGGGGGGGGGGGGGGTGGTAGGCGGAGGCTGCAGTGAGCCAAGATTGTACCACTGCACTCCAGCCTGGGCAACAGAGTGAGACTCAGTCTCAAAAATAAATAAATAAATAAATAAATAAATAAATAAATAAATAAATAAATATTATTCTCAAATAAAAAGTTCATTGAAATACTCTCTCCCTGCTTGCCCCTCACTCCCCACACCCCCCTCCTTCCCCCTCCCTCTCCCCAGACTTCACAAAGCCAGTGCATCCTCAGGACCTGCCGGAGATCATGCAGGGCCTCCTAACTCGAGGACAGAACAAGAAAACACGACCCAGAGAGGCATGAACTCTGGCCTGCAGGTGGAACATCGCACGTGAGGCAGGTACAGTCAGCTGCCCTACCTCTTTGGGCCTGTTTTCTCACCTGCAAATTGGGGATGATAAGAGCACCTACTTCAAAGAGACATCTCAAGGGTTAAATGAGACCTCCACTATTGGCAGAAATTATTAACCTCATCTCACGCAGATTTCCTAATTTCCAGACTCATTAAATATGTGTGTTTATAAAAATAATAGCAGCTCTGATTGCAAGCACTCAGAGTTCGTGCCAGACACCAGCAATTCATTCACACGCAGCAATTCATTCCTCACTATGAGCCCAGGATAGAGGTACCACTTCCATTGTCCTTTTAGAGATCAGAAAACAGCCAGGCATGATGGCTCACACCTATAATCCCAGCACTGCGGGAGGCTGAGGCGGGTGGATCACTTGAGGTCAGGAGTTCGAGACCAGCCTGGCTGACAAGGTGAAACCCCATCTCTACTAAAAAAAAAAAAAGAAAAAAAAAAAAAGATACGAAACTTAGCAGGGTGTGGTGGCATGCGCCTGTACTCCCAGCTACTTGGGAGGCTGAGGCAGAAGAATCGCTTGAACCCGGGAGGTGAAGGTTGCGGTGAGCTGAGATTGCACCACTGCTCTCCAGCCTGGGCAACACAGCAAGACTCCGTCTCAAGCAATAATAATAAAAATCAGAAAACAGGCTCAGTAAAGTTAAGTCACTTGCCTGGGATCACACAGGTGGGAGGCACAATGCTGACACTTGGACCCGGAACTCTCTGATACCAAAGGCTCCCTTGAACCTGCCACAGTAGCCCAGGAGGTTGGGCAGTCTGGCCCCCTCCGCTGATCCTATGAGGGGCTGGCACAAAAGAACCAATCACCTCCCCCGCGTCTAACCAGCAGCCAACCAGGGAGGGAGGACACCCGGGCTCTGGGTGGGGTGCAGGGACTCACCAGCAGCATGTGAACCATAGCATCTGTGGGCTGTGGGAGGAAGGCCAGTGATGACAGCCACGCTTCCGCCTCGTCTGCCTCCACCTCCCCGGATGCGATGAGTTCCTTCATGAGGCCCACACAGTGCTCTGTCCCACAGGAAGGCAGGGCGTCCAACAGTGGCTGCCTGAGATCATCAAGGTGACCCACACGTGCTGAACGCCTGCAAGCCTCATCTCACCGAAGTCACCCGGGGGTAAACTGAGGCTCACAGAGGTAAGGTGCAGACATTCCCACCCTCACACCTTGGGAGGGGCTGACCCGGGTCTGGGATCCCTCGAGCCTGGCTGACGCCTGTGCTCTTAGCACAGCAGCACCCAGCCCAGACGCTGGCAGTTCTACCCACCCAAAAAACACAGTGGTTTGTGAAAACACAAGTCCACATCCAGTGCTCTGCTGAAACCCACCCAAGCAAATGTCACCGAGTAGGAGTAAAAATCCCTAGCGGAACAGGAACCAACAATCAGCAAATGGTCTCTCGTTTAAACCTCAGATACTCAGTACAACATCAGGACATTTTTTTTTTCCTTTTTTCTGAGTCAGGGTCTCGCCCTGTCACCCAGGCTGCGGTGCAGGGGTGCAATCACACCTCACTGCAGCCTCTACCTCCCGGGCTCAGGTGATCCTCCCACTCGGCCTGCCAAGTAGCTGGGACCACAGGTGTTCACCACCCCCTCGAGCTAACTTTCAAATTTGTTGTGGAGATGGGGGCATTGCTTTGTTGCCCAGGCTAATCTCAAACTCCTGAGCATAGCCCTGAGCTGACGGAGTTAGTGCCTCCGAGATTCCCCTCCGAGATTAGGAGTCTCTTTACCCGCCTTACTGGCCCCAGATCAGCAAGGTCTGGGTGGTTGAATCTCGGCCCTGCCCAGCACCTCCCAGCCCTGACTCTCCACCCCCCGCAGGAGGGTACCCTAGGCGCATTGGAATGCTAATTCCAGCAAGAGGGTCCCTGTCTAGGGAAGGGAACAATGGCTGTCTTTATCCGCCAGGCCCTTCAGCTTCTGGTCTCAGGCAGGATCAAGCTTGGGCCCCGTGGGAACCTCCAGGCTCCCCACTTAATCTCCTTTTGGTGCACGTTTTCGGACCGAGGACAAGTCAGTGTCGTGAAGACAGGATGAGGCATCAGCATTCATCCTCACTGGGAACCCGGGACAGCACAAATACGCCCCACAACCCAGGGATGCCCCCAGTCAGCTCCTGGTCCATCCCCCACCCGGAGAGGGGCCTTACCCATTGTCTCGGCATTTGAAGGAAGAATCTCGCCAGAGTTCCATCAGCTCACCCCCGGAAAGGCCCTGGAGCTGGGACACCAGTGTCAGGAACAAGTCCGTGGCCTGGGATTCAGAGGGGGCAGCATGAGACACCCAGCGGTGTAGGGGATCCCCGAAGTTCACCTCACCCGTCCCCTGCCTGCAAGCACAACCGTGGGGAAAGTAGGAAGGACCAGCTACCTTCTCCCAAGGTGTCCTGAGACCCAGTGAGATGAAGCTCCAGGTCTGGCTTCTCCCTCACTACACCCCCAGCCCCTACAAGCACACAGGCTGGCTCATTCTTCTTTAACAGGTATTTATTGAACATCTACTATGTGCCTTGCATTGCACTCAGGATATGGCAGTGAAAGAACAGGCATAGTGTCTGAATCTGTGGCATCTAATAAAAGCCCAATAAATGTTCACTATGATTGTAATATAATTATTCTAATGAGTCTTACCATATTTCAAATATTTACTGAGGTAGCAATCTTTTCCTATATAATATATATGTATTTTTTTGAGGCAGTCTCATTCTGTTGCCCAGGCTAGGGTACAGTGACATGATCTCGGCTCAATGCAACCTCCATCTCCTGGGTTCAGGTGATTCTCCTGCCTCAGCCTCCTGAGTAGCTGGGATTACAGGCACCTGTGACCATGTCTGGCTAATTTTTTGTATTTTTAGTAGAGACGAGGTTTCCCCATGTTAGCCAGGATGGTCTTGATCTCCTGACCTCATGATCTGCCCACCTCAGCCCCCCAAAGGGCTGGGATTACAGGCATGAGCCACCACGCCTGGACTATTTTTTTTCCTAAGAGACAGGGTCTCCCTCTGTCTCCCAGGATGGACTGCAGCAGCACAATCACTTCTTACTGCAGCCTCAACCTCCTGGACTCAAGCAATCCTCCCACCTCAGCCTCCTGTGCAGCTGGGAATACAGGCACACATCACCACGCACAGCTAATTTTTTTGTATTTTTCATGGAGATGAGGTTTCACCATGTTGCCCAGGCTGGTCTCAAACTCCTGTGCTCAAGTGATCCACCCACCTTGGCCTCCCCAAGTGCCAGGATTCCAGGCGTGAGCCATCGTTCCCACCCTTTTCCAGTATTTCTAATTTTTAAAAAATGTAATTGTTCTATACAATTATTAACAGTGATGACTAATAAAGGGCATTATAGGGGGTGCAGAGGGCCCAAAGCTCAAGAAATAAAGGACTGCACTCAGAGAACAGCCCTTGGGTTTAGGACACATTTAGTTTGGGAAACCTTCCCTTCTGGTACCCCTGTAGTCTCAGGCTGACTGCATCGCCTGAACCCAAAGCCACAGAAAGAGCAACAAGGTAGGAGCCAAGCCAAGCCAGGTCCTGGCTTCCTGCAGGAAAGCCCCCATGCTTCCCTCAGGCTTGATCAGGGCCAGGTCTGAAGCCCCCACCCACCCAGGGTTCCTCCGAGACTGGGACCTGCTTCCCTGACCCTGGGCCTCCCTGCTGTGTGTGGCTATGACGGAATCCCTGCACATACAGCTCGATCTCAGCAAGATACAGCCTGCAACACAGACCCTAACTCGTCACTCGGCCCACCTGCCAATGTGTCTGCCTGCCAGAGTCCAGGGAGCCTTCCCAGAACGTGCCTTCTGTGGGCAGAGCCAGTGGCAACCCTCAGCTCTGTCTTTCCTTCCTCCAGCAGGATCCACGAGCCAGCACCTGCTGCAGGCTAACTGCCACCATCTCAGCTGGCCCTGACCACTGGTAGGCCTAAAAGATTCTATTGCCCAGTTTGGGTCTGCTATCCAAAAAAATTTCAGTTCCAGTCCTGCTTCCTTCCTTCCTAATGGGCTCGGCCACATTTCCCTCTGGCTGGTGGCTGCCTTTCCCCGACTGCCCTTGGCACCCTGGGTTCCGAACACGTGTGCAGAGGGGCACCTGGAGATGGGGCCTGCACGGGACCACTCTTCCTGCTCTGGGTAAGCCTCTGGCCACAAGTGTTACCCTGAAAATGGGCCTTTCAGATCCAGGCACAACAGGAGGGATCATTAGTGGCTCATCCTGGTTTCCCTTCACTCGGAGAAGAGTTAAAGAGGGCAGATCTAGGCAGGCTATGGATGGAGACAAAGGGTCCAAGGCTCCTGCCTAGAAATCAAGTCCGGGGCCTGGCGGTAGTTCATGCCTATACTCACAGCACTTTGGGAGGCCGAGCAGGGTGGATCACTGGAAGTCAGGAGTTTGAGACCAGCCTGGCCAACCTGGTGAAACCCTGTGTCTACTAAAAATACAAAAATTACCCAGGCATGGTGTTACATGCCTGTTAATCCCAGCTATTCAGGAGGCTGAGGCAAGAGAATCACTTGAACCAGGAGGTGGAGTCTGCAGTTGCAGTGACCCGAGATCACGCCACTGCACTCTCTAGCCTGAGCAACAGAGCAAGATACAGTCTCAAAAAAAAAAAAAAAGACAGACAGACATGTAGGTCAGTAAGAAACCTGCCACCCCCATCACCACCAATAACACATGATAATAGTAATAAGGCTGGGTGCAGTGGCTCACACCTGTAATCCTAGCACTTTGGGAGGTCGAGGCAGGCGGATCGCTTGCGGTCAGGAGTTCGAGACCAGCCTGGCCAACATGGTGAAACCTCATCTCTACCAAAAATACAAAACCTAACTGGGCATGGTGGCGCGAGCCTGTAATTCCAGCTATTCAAGAGGCTGAGACGGGAGAATCACTTTAACTCGGGAGGCAGCGGTTACAGTGAGCCAAGATCGCACCACTGCACTCCAGCCTAGGTGACAGAGCAATACTGTCACGGGAAAAAAAAAAAATTGTAATAATAACTACGCTACTATTTACTTAGCAAGGAGCCTTTACTATGTTCCAGGCACTGGTCTAAGCTGACAGAGAAGGAAAGTGACATTCAAAAAGTGTTTGAGTCAGGTGCTGCCGGCCGCATGCTACTAAGTAGCAGAGCAGAGACTTGAACCCAGGGCACCAGCTCCTAAACCCACATTCTTAACCAGCATCCTATATGCAATGGCTTTAAAAAAAAAAAAAAAAAAAAAAAAAAAAGTCCTGATTTGTAGCTTTTGCCAGTTCCCATGGTGTAAATACACCCACCATGGTCAATTTCAGGCAACCAACATGCAATTGCTAAGGACAGACCTGGGAAGAAATGCACCTTAGCACATCATATCATATTTCCACCATACAGTTACAACAAATGTGACTAACCTCTAATGGAAAGACAATAGTAAAATGTAGTAAAATAACCAGGTAGTCGTGGTTTGGAGTACTTAATACCTTTGTTTCTAATATAATTATTTTTATTTGATTTTTAAATTTTTCTTCTTTTTTTTTTTTTTTGGAGAAGAGTCTCACTCTGTTACCCAGGCTGGAGTGCAGTGGTGTGATCACAGCTCACTGTAGCCTCAACCTCCCAGGCTCAAGCCAACCTCCTGCCTCAGCTTCCCAAGTAGCCAGGACCACAGGCATGTACCACCATGCTTGGCTTGTTTTTTGTAGAGATGGGCTCTTCCTATGTTGCCCAAGCTGGTCTCAAACCCTTGGGCTCAAGTGATCATCCATCTCAGCCTCCCAAAGTGCTGGGATTATAGGTGTGAGCCACCGCGCCCAGCCTATTTACTTGTTGATACACATTAGATGCACATATTTGCAGGGTACCCATGGAATAATTTGATACATTCATCAAATCATATCAGGATAATTGCGATACCCATCACCATAACTATTTATCTTTTCTTTACATTAGAAACCTTCAAATTATTCTCTTCTAGCTATTTTTAAATGTAGCATTGTTAATTATAGTCATCATAGGAATCTATCGAGTATTAGTCTGATTTCTATTGAAGTGTGTATTTGTACTCATTAATCAGCTATGTTAATACAACTTTTTATTTTATTTTATTTTATTTTATTTTATTTTATTTTATTTTATTTATTTGAGGTAGAGTCTTGCTCTTGTCGCCCAGGCTGGAGTGCAGTGGAGGGATCTCTGCTCACTGCAACCTCTGCCTCCTGGGTTCAAGTGATTCTTCTGTCTCAGCCTTTCAAGTAGCTGGGATTACAGGCTTCTGGCTAATTTTTGTATTTTGAGTAGAGACAGGGTTTCACCATGTTGACCAGGCTGGTCTTGAACTCCTGACCTCAGGTGATCTGCCTGCCTCAGCCTCCCAAAGTGCTGGGATTGCAGGCATGAGCCACTGTGTCTGGCCACAACTTAATGTTTAAAACAGCAGTGTTTAACAACCAGTCTGCGGGACACCTGGAAATCTACTGACCCACTCTTGTGAGCCAGTCCTGTTCTGCCACTGTCCATGCCATTTCAGGACTGCACACAGTCAGCCCTTAATAAACACCTGTAACTCCAGCTCCTTGTTGTCAGAACACCCAAGATTGGTGATTAGCCATGCCCTCTCCCAGGCATCTTTCCTGGCAGCCTGGAGTTGGCCCCGCTGGCTCCCTCTGTCTGCCCCTCCCACCCCCAGTGCACTCTTGCTTCCTCCTCCTTTGTTCCTTAGGGACGCCCTTGGCCATCCCACCCTCTGCCCCCCACATCGAAACTCCGGGGCCTCTCCACAGACGGCCTGACTCGGGGGTTTGCTTCTATTGAGCGCTGAGTCCTGGTTTTGTTTCCGGACTGAAAAACAAACCTTGTCTCCCACCCACCATCAATGGGGAGGGGCAGAGGCATTTCAAGCCAAAGCTCATGAGGTCTGTCCCCCTGGCAACCCAGGCAGGCCCTCAGCCCTCCCAGGGGCCCAGGAGCTGCTTGGTGTGCACCGATGTGGCCCTGCAAAGCCATTTCCAGCAACAGGGTCCTCAGCTTTTTACCCCTCACCTAGGGGACCTCCCTGGTGGCAATAACTTCCTTTTCAGTCTGTAAATAAAAGACAGCTATACAGTACCCTCTGGGGCTAGCTCCGCCAGCATCCAAAAGTGGAGACCCAGGCCTGCAGCCCTTGCCCTGAGCCACCCCTGCCAGGGGAAATGTCCAGTTAGGTGGTCAGGCGTGCTTTTAAGGCCAAAGAATGCAGTCCTGTCTTCCCATCAAGCCATGAGGTTCAGCAGTGCAATGGTTACAGCACAGGTCACAGAGCAGCGGTCCCCTACTGGTGACAACGGTGACAACTGTACTCCCCAGGGCCATCTGGCTGCCACGGACTGCAGTTGGGGATGATGATAACATCTAGTGAGGAGAGGCCAGAGATGCTGCTAAACATCCCACATTGTACATGACAGCCTCCACCACACCCCCGACAAAGAATAACCCAGCCCTCGGTGTCCAGAGCACCCAGGGTGAGAAACCCTGCCTTGGACCAGGCTGCCTGGGTTAACAGCCCAGCTGTATCACTTACTAGCAGTGTGGCTTTAAGCACATTTCCTAAACTCTTCAAGCTTTAGTTTGCTCATCTGTAAAATGGGCACAATGATATGAATATCACTGACATGATTAAATTAGGTAACACAAGTGAGGCCCTGGAGCTTATCATCTGAGCATACACTAAGTGCTCAATTAAACTATAAAGCCTTGGCAGAGTGCAGTGGCTCACGCCTGTAATCCCAACACCTTGGCAAGCTGAGGTGGGAGGATTATTTGTGTCCAGAAGTTCAAGACAAGCCTGGGCAACATGGCAAAACCCCGTCTCTACAAAAAACACAAGAATTAGCCAGGTGTGGTGGCATGCACCTGCAGTCCCAGCTACTCTGGAGGCTGAGGTGAGAGGATCGCTTTAGCCTGGGAGGTCAAGGCTGCAGTGAGCCATGATTGCACCACTATACTCTAGCCTGGGCAACAGAGTGAGACGCTGTCTTAAAAAAAAAAGGCTGGGCACAGTGGCTTATGCCTGTAATCCCAGCACTTTGGGAGGCCGAGGTGGGTAGATCACGAGGTCAGGAGATCAAGACCATCCTGGCTAACACGATGAAACCCCGTCTCTACTAAAAATACAAAAAAAAAAAAAAATTAGCCAGGTGTGGTGGCGGGTGCCTGTAGTCCCAGCTACTCTGGAGACTGAGGCAGGAGAATGGCGTGAACCTGAGAGTCAGAGCCTGCAGTGAGCCAAGATTGCACCACTGCACTCCAGCCTGGGGGAGAGCAAGACTCTGTCTCAAAAAAAAAAAAAAATTGTAGAACATTGAATGGAGACCCCCAAAATTATGTATCTGTATCCTAAGTCCTAGAACTTGTAAATTTCCCTTATTTGGAAAAAGGATCTTTGCAGATGTAATTAAGTTGAGGATCTTGAGATAGGATTGTCCTAGATTATCTGGGCGAGTCTTCAATCCAATGACACATCACTTTCCTCCCCCAGGGACTGTACCATGTTAAACCATCTCTCTTATGCTTTGCATCTTACATGTGGGTTCAAGGCCCTCTCTCAGAAAAAGACAGGTGGGAAGGAGAATCTCATCATCACAGCTCAACCTCAGGGCCTCAGATTCTTGATGATCACCAAGGAAGGAACTGGCCATAAGTCTCAAAGTCACATCTGCCTCTTGACTTGAAACAGCCAGGAGTTTTGAAGGAGGCCTGGGCCACGTGTTTCTAACTTTGTTGTGGGAAGTCCTCAATGCTGAGGCTCACATGTGGCTAGGTCTGGGAGGTTACACTGCGAGTCAAGAGGACTGTTGTATGCTCCTAGACAGACAGAGGAGAAAAGGCTTCCCCTCTGCCCACATCCAACCTGGACTGGGGCACTGGCTTGGCATACAACATCTAGATTTCCTTGCTTTTGCAATGAGGTACAGTTGTGCAGTCCACAACCTACCCACCCATACATGACAGCTCTGACATTAAATATCTGAGAGGATGGGCCATGATGTGGGCAGGAAGAGGAAGGTGTCCTAGGGACTCAGGGCCAAGAAAGACTCTGGCCTGGGGCTGGAGAAGCCACTTACCTCCAAGCTAGTGGTCTGAGCCAGGCACAGCCTCCTCACTAACGTGGCTGCGGTGGCCACCGTGGCCTGGGATGGTGTCTCCTCCCACTCATACAGCAGGCTGCTTGGGGTCATGTCTTTATCATCTCCAGCATCTGGATCTGAGATGGGAAGAGGTGGATGGGATGACCATATGGGGAAAGGCCAGAGTGAGCTAGAAAGCCCCCTGGGAGTTGCCCCCATCCCCACCAATGCTTACTTCAGCATGTTTCAGGGAACAGGTAAGAGGGGTGTCTACGAGGGAAATCATGGCACCATCCTTGCAAACAGCCTAAGATGGGAAGCACCTATGTACCCACCAGCGGGAGCTGGGCAAACAAACTGTGGACCACTCACACCAGGGAACACTATCTTTTTTTTTTTTTTTTTTTGTTTCGGGACGGGGTTTTGCTCTTTCGCCCCGGCTGGGGTGCAGGAGTACTATCTCGGCTCACTGCAAGCTCCGCCTCCCGGGTTCACGCCATTCTCCTGCCTCAGCCTCCGGAGTAGCTGGGAATACAGGCGCCCACCACCATGCCAGGCTAATTTTTTGTATTTTTAGTAGAGACAGGATTTCACCGTGTTAGCCAGGATGGTCTCGATCTCCTGACCTTGTGATCCGCCTGCCTCGGCCTCCCAAAGTGCTGGGATTGCAGGCATGAGCCACTGTGCCCGGCCAACACTGAGTATCCTTTAACAGAAACAGGTCAACAGGACACGCCCTGCTTTGGAAAGATCTCCAAGCCATCGAGTGACCAAGGCAAGATGCAGAACAGTGTATGGTTCAAAAATAAAAATAGACTGCTCTAAGACAGGCACAGAGGCTCACGCCTGTAATCCCAGCACTTTGGAAGGCCAAAGTGGATGGATCGCCCAAGGTCAGGAGTTCGAGACCAGCCTGGCCAGCAGGGTGAAACCTGTCTCTATTAAAAATACAAAAAATTAACTGGGCGTGGTGGCAGGTGCTTGTAGTCCCAGCCACATGGAAGGCTGAAGCAGGAGAATTGCTTGAACCTGGGAGGTGGAGGTTGCAGTGAACTGAGATCACGCCACTGCACTCCAGCCTGGGCCACAAGAGCGAGACCCTGTCTCAAAACAAAACAAAACAAAACACCAGACCACTCAAATAGACACAGTCGCCTATGTATCTGTAAGTACACAGAATTTGTCTGGAAGAGTATACTGGAAGCAAGGAATGGTGTCAGCCTCTGGAGAGGGGGGACTCATTTTAACCGTGTCCTTTTGTACCATGTCACACATAACCTTGTCAAAACAATAAATCTTCATCTCTCTCGTGCATTCAGTCCTGTGACTGCTTCCTAATAATGATGGGGACGGCAGAAACTGCCCTCCGCTCTGCACACAGCCACGGTGTTAACCTTTCCTAAGCCCCGCTTGGACCCCCACACCTCAGCCAAAGACCTACCCTCGAATCCACAATCCACACCTCCCTCAGCTTCAATGCTCCTTGGCAAAGGCGTGCGCCTTCTAGATGCTGTACAACACCACCTGGCTGCCTGCAGGCCTGGGCACCCGCCCTCACAGTGTGTCTGGCTCCACACAGGTGCACACATTCATCTGTCTAATCCTCAGACCTCTCTTTAGCCCCCCAGGTGCCTGGGACACACAGAGGTCGCTCCTGCCCCAGGGAAACACTTCCTGTTTCCTCCCTGAATGCTCTTTCCGGCATCTTCCCAAAGCTGATCTTGTCTTATCCTTCAGCAAAATCATTACTTCCTCAGAGGCCCTCTTACCCACCACCCCCACCCCACCGCCGCCCTGTCTAATAGCTGTCATGCAGCTGTTTAACTTCTTTCCTGACACAGATCACAGTCTCAAGCCACCCTGACTGGGTTTGTTCCCCCATCAGTGGTTTCCCCCTCCCAGAAGGGTGTCAGCCTCAGTGTGACAGGAATGGAGTTGACCATGATCACAGCCCTGTCCCCAGAGCCCCAGCAGTGCTTAGCAACAACAGGTGCTCAGACAGGCATTTGGGGTAAACATGAATGAAAACACACTCCTGATGTGCCAAGAATCTGCAAACCTAAGGAGAATTCTCCCATGACAGCTGGGAACCAAATGACTCCAACCCAGGGAGAAGGACAGGGCCAAGTCAGGGCCATGTGAACCCAGTACGCAACTTCAAGGAGGGATAAAGGCTCATTCCCGAGTGTGCCTTTGGGATCAGGCCCTAAAGAATGGGGCCAGGAGGATGTGAACGTTCATAGACGCCACGTGTCAGGTGCTTAGCTAAAGGCAATGATGATTTTTTCTTTTTTTTTTTTTTTTGAGAAGGGGTCTCACTCTGTCACCCAGGCTGGAGTGCAGTGATGCGATCACAGCTCACTGCAGCCTCGACCTTCTGGGCTCAGGTGATCCTCCCACTTCAGACTCCCAAGCAGCTGGAATTACAGACACACACCACCATACCTGACTAATTTTTTGTATTTTTCACAGTGACGGGGTTTCATCATGTTGCCAGCCTGGTCTCGAACTCCTGGAGTCAGGCAGTCTGCTCCCTTTGCTCTCCCAAGGTGTTGGGATTACAGGCTTGAGCCACTGTGCCCAGCTGACCATTTTCTGTAACTTTCCCCATAACCTATGGGGTAAGGGGTGACCTACCCATATATTTACAGCTAAGGAAACTGAGGCACAGAGAGACGCTATCAGCCCAAGTCACACAACATAGAGTCAGAAATAAAATCGAGTTCTGACTCCAAAAGCCTCCTGGGAATGACACTGAAAATATGAAAAAACTCCTCCATACAATGGAATATTACTCAGCAATGAAAAAGAAAAAATTCCAATTCATGCCACAACATGGATGAACCTTAAACATTGTGCTGAGTGAAGAAGTTAGACACAAAAGGGCACATTTTATGACCACATTTATATGAAATTCCAGAACAGGAAAATCAGAGGAAGAAAGTAGTTGACTGGCTGCCAGGGTCTGGGAAGATAAGGGCTTATGAGCACCAGGTTTGTTTATAGGGTGGTGACAATGTTCTCAAGTTGATTAAGGAGGACCACAGTGGTTCACACCTGTAATCGCAGCACTGTGGGAGGCTGCAGCAGGAAGATCACTTGCAACCACGAGTTTGAGACCAGCCTGGGCAACATAGCGAGACCCTCTTTCTACACAGAAAGTTTAAAAAATTAGCCAGGCATGGTGGTGGCACAGCTGTACTCGGGAGGCTGAGGCTGGGGGAATCCCTGGAGCTGGAGAGGTCGAGACACCATTGCATTCCAGCCTGGGTGACAGAGCAAGACTGCCTCTTTAAAAAACTAAGTTGAAGACTGGGCACGGTGGCTCACGTCTATAATCCTAGCACTTTGGGAGGCCAAGGTGGGCAGATCACCTGAGGTCAGGAGTTCGAGCCCACCCTGGTGGTAAAACCCCATCACTACTAAAAACACAAAATTAGCTGCGCAGGGTGGCAGGTGCCTGTAATCCCAGCTACTCAGGAGGCTGAAGCAGGAGAATCACTTGAGCCCAGGAGGAGGCGGCTGCAGTGAGCTGAGATCACGCTACTGCACTCCAGCCTGGGCAACAGAGCCAGACTCCATCTCAAAATAATAATAATAATAATAATAATAATAATAATAGTAATAATAATGGGGCCTGGCACAGTGGCTCACGCCTGTAATCCCAGCAATTTGGGAGGCCGAGGCAGGCAGATCAATCACCTGAGGTCAGGAGTTTGAGACCAGCTTGGCTGACATGGGGAAACTCCATCTCTACTAAAAATACAAAAATTAGCCGGGCATGGTGGTACACGCCTATAATCCCAGCTACTCGGAGGCTGAGGCGGGAGCACTGTGTGAACCTGGGAGAGGAGGTTGCAGTGAGCTGAGATCACACCACTGCACTCCAGCCTGGGTGACAAAGCAAGCCTCCATTTCAAAATATAAAATAAAATAATAATAAAGTTGATTGTGGTGATGATGGATGTACAACTCTGAATATACTAGAAACCAGTGAACTGTACACTTTAAATGCTGAATTGTATGGTATGTGAATTCTGTCTTAATAAAGCTGTTAAAAAGGAAAAAAAAAAGAAATCTCATCCAACTCAGTGGGACACCACTGGGTCCTGGCAAGCCTGGATGCCCCCAGGCACAGCTAGTTTCTGCAGCTGAGGGTCGATGTACAGGGAGGGCAGACCAAGCTGGGATCCTAGAAGGCATCCCGTAGTGCAGAGTGAAGCCAGGAAAATGCCAAGGTCCCATCTAGAGGGTTCTCCCCCGGGGGTGCTGGGAGCCTGCCCTCCAAGGCAAACACAATTACCAGCCAGGGCTGCAGAACACACGGCAGGAGTCCAGGTCCCAGCCCTGCTTATCACTGACTGAGTGACCTTGGACAAGTCATTTGACCTCTTTGAGTTGCAGGTCACTTATCTGAAAAATTTAACTGGTGGGGCACAACGGCTCACACCTGTAATCCCAGCACTTTGGGAAGCCGAAGTGGAAGGATAATTTGAGCCCAGGAGTTCGAGACCAGCCTGGTTTGTGAAACCCTGTCTCTACAAAAACAAACAAACAAACAAACAAACGAAAATTAGCCAGGCATGGTGCTATGTGCCTGCAGTCCCAGCTACTTGGGGGACTGAGGTGGGAGGATCACCTGAGCCTGGGGAGGCTGAGACTACACTGAGCCCTGATCAGACCACTGCTGTCTAGCCTGGGCAACAGAACCAGATTGTGTCTCAAAATAAATAAATAAATAAAATGATTTATTTCTTGAGATGGAGTCTTACTCTGTGACCCAGTCTAGAGTGCAGTGGCATGATCTTGGCTCACTGCAACCTCCGCCTCCCGGGTTCAAGCGATTCTCTGGCTTCAGTCTCCCGAGTAGCTGGGATCACAGGTGCCCACCACCACTTCCAGCTAATTTTTGCATTTTTAGTAGAGACAGGGTTTCTGCATGTTGGCCAGGCTGGTCTCGAAACTCCTGAAATCAAGTTATCCGCCTACCTCGGCCTCCCAAAGTGCTGGGAGCCACTGCACCCAGCCAAAATTTTTATTTAAATTTAACTAATAACAGTACCTTCCTAATGGGGTTCTGATGAGAATTAAATTAAATACACATAAAGCGCTCAGCACAGCCACTGGCCCACAGTAAATCCTTCCAAAATCCCAGCAGTGAGAATAACCGTTCTTATTTCATTGTTCAGGAAGATAACTGGTTTCCAAACATGGAAAAGTAATCCTTCCCCCAGACACAGGCCTCGCTTGTTTCATTCTGTGCAAAATTGTAGGAGGGCACCAAGTCCCAGGTAATGCTATGTGTTAGCAGGAACTTTCTGGAAAATCAGAAAACCTGGGTCAGTTTTCCCCTAAAATGGGCAGACTGAGGGGTCGCTGAATTTAAGGTTGAGAAACAGAAGATTCCGTCTTCACCAAGGACATCCCAGGGAAAAGGGGCTCAACCAAGCCAGGGCCATTTGATCTGAGCCTGCAGAAAGAGCCTGGAGAACCTTCTAGAAGTGGCTAACTCTCCTGATGACGACCATTTTCAGAAATAGGTCAGAGGTGTCCAGGCCGGGACAGAGGGATGGAGCCTGGGCCTGCTTGGGTCCCTCTGGCCAGACCACCCTCGCACCACGTTCAGGGGGTGGCCACCAGGGAAGGCTGAGGTCACCTGTGCCCGCTGGATCTTGGGGCATCTCGTGTAGCAGGCTGAGTGAGGAGAGGGTCCGCATCTGCACAGCACTCGCCTTTGCAGACAGTGGCCCTGCAGCGTCCAGCTCTGTGCAGGAGGCCTCCCGCAGCACGCCGGCCCGGAAGTTCTGGACGCAGGTCAGGCGGGAAGTCAGGCCGGGCTGCAGACCAAGAGGGGAAGAGACAGCTCAGGTCAGGATCTAGCCATTCATAAGACCCAGCTGGAACCAAGGGGAGGAGGAATGAGGGCCCCATCAGAGCCACAGGCCCCACCCTTCTCTCAGCAAGGCTGGGGAGGAGATGCTGAGGGCTGCATCCCAGCATCACCCACCCCTGGCACGCCTGGATTGTGGCAACAGCAGCCCAGGCAAAGGCAGATGGGAAGCAAGAAAGTCTAGCAGACAGTGACCCCCAGGAAAGGAGTGATAAATGTATGAAAACATTCAAATCAGCAGAGGCCCACCTCCACCTCTCAGATGCTGAGACTTTTGATAACAAGTCAACATGAACAGTGATCACTTCTCATCCTCCTGCAGATGTGTGGTATTTACAAAGCGCTTGCCTCTTCAGGGAGCTGCAGACACAGGTGTAGAGGAGGGCTTGGGGAAAAGGACAGAGGGGCGGGTGCGGTGGCTTGTTCCCATAGTTCCAGCACTTGGGGAAGCCAAGGTGGCAGGAATGCTTGAGCTCAGGAGTTCAAGATCAGCCTGGGCAACATAGCAAGACATCATCTCTACTAAAAATAAAATAAAATAAAAAATTAACCAGGAATGGTGGTGTAGTCCCACCAGGTGTAGCCCCAGCTACTTGGAAGGCTGAGGCAGGAGGATCGATTGAGCTCAGGAGTTCAAGATCAGCCTGGCAACATAATAAGACACCATCTCTACTAAAAATAAAAATAGAAAAATTAACCAGGAGTGGTGCCTTATGCCTGTAGTCCCAGCTACACTTGAGAGGCTGAGACAGGAGGATCACTTGACGCCAGGAGTTGAAGGCTGCACTGAACCATGATCACACCACTACACTCCAGCCTGAGTGACACAGTGGGATTCTGTCTCTAAGGAAACAGATACATACATACATACATACATACATACATAAAATAAAATTTCTTGAAGGAAAGAGAAGAGGGGAGGGAAGGGGAAGGGAGGAGAGGAGGTAAAGGAAGGAGAACCAAGAAGAGAAGGAATTGGTGGAGAGAACAGGAAGAGCTGAGGAGGGAGGAGGGAGGGAGGAGGGAGGGAGGAGGGAGGAGGGAGGGAGGGAGGAGGAGAGGAGGGAGGGAGGAGGAGAGGAGGAGGAGGGAGGAGGGAGGAGGGAGGAGGAGGGAGGGAGGGAGGAGGAGAGGAGGGAGGGGAGGAGGAGAGGAGGTGAGGAGGGAGGAGGGAGGAGGAGGAGGGAGGAGGAGAGGAGGAGGAGGGAGGAGGGAGGAGGGAGGAGGGAGGGAGGAGGAGAGGAGGAGGGAGGAGGAGAGGAGGAGGGAGGGAGGAGGGAGGAGGGAGGGAGGAGGAGGGAGGAGGGAGGGAGGAGGAGAGGAGGAGGGAGGGAGGAGGGAGGAGGGAGGGAGGAGGGAGGGAGGAGGAGAGGAGGAGAGAGGGAGGAGGGAGGAGAGGAGGAGGGAGGGAGGAGGAGAGGAGGAGGGAGGGAGGAGGGAGGAGGAGAGGAGGGAGGGAGGGAGGGAGAGAGGAGGAGGGAGGAGGAGGGAGGAGGAGAGGAGGAGGGAGGGAGGAGGGAGGGAGGAGAGGAGGAGGAGGGAGGAGGGAGGGAGGGAGGGAGGGAGGAGGGAGGGAGGGAGGAGGGAGGAGGGAAGAGGGAGGGAGGAGGAGAGGAGGAGGGAGGGAGGAGGGAGGAGGAGAAGAGGAGGGAGGAGAGAGGAGGAGAGGAGGAGGGAGGAGGAGAGGAGGAGGGAGAGGGGAGGGGAGGGAGAGGAGGAGGAGAGGAGGGGAGGAGAGGAGGAGGGAGAGGGGAGGAGGGAGAGGAGGAGGAGATTGAGGGAGAGGAGGAGAGGAGAGGGGAGGAGAGGAGGAGAGGAGGAGGGGAGGGAGAGGGAGGAGGGGAGGAGGGGAGGAGGGGAGGAGGGGAGGAGAGGGGAAGAGGGAGGAGGAGAGGAAGAGAGAAGAGGAGGAAGAGGGAGGAGGGAAGGGAGGAGGAGGGGGAAGGGGGAAGGAGGAAAGAGGGAGGAGGAGGAGGGAGGAGGAGGGAGGGGAAGAGGGAGGGGAAGAGGGAGGAGAGGAGGGAGGAGAGGAGGGAGGAGGGAAGAGGAGAGGAGGGAGGAGGAGGAGGGAGAAGGAGAGGAGGAGGAGAGGAGGGAGGAGGAAGAGGAGGAGAAGGGAGGAGGAAGAAGAAAAAGAGGGTCTAGGAGAGTAGCAGTCAGGGGCCCAGCTCAGCCCAGCACTCACGTCCACTCCAGGCAGGGCCTGAGAATGCAGCGAGGAGTGTCCCCTGCGCAGGGAGCACTGTGCCAGGTCCTTGGTCTTGTGTAGCCAGTCCCCATGGCGCTGGTATGTGGTGGGACATCGGCCCAGGATGTCCACCTGGGCAGACAGGGTGGGAGACAGGTCAGCCTTCCGGCCACCCCCACCCCCACCCCTTTCCCATCTCCTGACCTCACCTCATCGAGGGTGTTGGGGCTGTGGGCCCCCGGGTGGCCCTGCAGGAGGCTCAGCACAGCACGCTTCACATTCAGCACCCAGCGTGGCTCAGCAGGGTGGGGACACAGGTGGACCACACGCCCAGAGTGCAGGATGAAGCGGAGGGGGTTGTGGCCCAGGGCGGCACTGCAGGAGGGCAGACGGGTCAAGCGGCACCCTCCAGTGCCCCAGGCCACCTGCTGACTGCCAGAGGCCACAGCATCCCTGCCCTCCTACAGGTCAGCCCCCATGGGAAACTCCCAGGAAACCCCACATCCCCCCACCAGATACCCTTTCTTCCTTCTGCAGCTGGGCTCTGGGGCAGCCAACTGTGCTCTGAGCCACCCCAGCCTTTTCACCCCCGGGACAAATGGACAGGTGTGGGAGACAAGCATCAAAGAATAAAAGGCTGAGACCCCAAGCTTCGGAAAGTTACCTGCTTTCCAAAACACCTCACTTAATCCCAAGAAGGAGCTGAAGGCGTTCTGGATGTGCCAACCCAAAATATGCCACTTGGGTATATTGACCTTTTTGTGGACCAGTCTCACTCTGTTGCCCAGGCTGGAGTACAGTGGTGCGATCATAGCTCACTGCAGCCTCGACCTTGTAGGCTTAAACAATCCTTCTGCCTCAGCCTCCCGAGTGGCTGGGATTACAGGGCTGGGACCACAGACATGCGGCCACCATGCCCAGCTAATTTTTAAACTTTTTGTAGAGACAGGTTCCTGCTATGTTGCCCAGGCTGATCTCAAACTCCTGGGCTCAAGCAATCCTCCAGCCTCAGCCTCCCAAAGTGCTGGGAATACAGGCATAAGCCACTGCACCCCAGCCTCTTGTCTATTTTGAACCAAAGACTGTATTTGTTGAGAAACAGCAAATGTGGGGAGAGGCTTTCTCTGAACTCCCCTCTTCTGCCTAAAGATAGATCCCTCAAAAGGAACCTAATTGTCATCAATCCCCTCCAGGGAGTTTCATCCACCTGGGGAGAGCAGCTCTCACCCTGAGAGAGGATGGTGCAAGTCAACACCACACCCAGACAAACTTCATCCTACACTAGCACATCTCCTGTCTCTTCTTCCTCTTTCCTGGAAACCATCTACTCCCCTCTAACTTGCCTTCCTCCCTCCTCCCCTTCCCCCATGAAAATGGTGTATAAGCTCCGAAGTCTCACTACTACTCTAGGAGGCCATCACTCTTTCATTCCATGATGTCCCTGTGTGTATAAAAAATCTACCTACCTCTTCTCCTGATGTCAGTTCATTTCTAGACAGAGCTATTGAATCCAGGAAGGTAAAGGGAGTCTTTCCCTCCCCTACAGATCCCACCAGGGAGGTAATTACCCTCCCTCTACCCACATTCCAGATAAGGAAACAGGCTCAGAGCAATACAGTGTCTTGCCCAGGGCTCCAGCTGGGATTTGAACCCAGGCAGGCTGGCTCTGCAGTCACAGGCTGCAGAAACCCTGAACTGGAAGTGACTTGAGACTCTGTCATTGAGACAAAGAAATGAGGTCCCGAGGGATATCACACAGCAAGTCAGGGGAGGAGTTGGCACCAGAATTCAGCCCAGTGCTCCTCCCGCCTGCCCTTCCCCTGGCAGACAGCTGCCTGGGTCTGGTGTCTGCAGTGAAGGGATGGGGAAGGTGGGAGGTGAGGGGTGGTGAAGTCCCCCTTCCCTGCGTGGAGGTGGAAGACAGGGATGCTCCAAGATGAAGGGGAAACTGCCAGGTCCCCAGACCCTACAGGCTAGCAAGACAAAACCCTGGGGAACAGATGTGCCCTCACTTCTACTTTCCAGGGGGGCAGCGGTCACTCTCCAGCTCCAATTAAAGCCTGGGGGTCTTCCTAAGGCAGTCCCCTGGGTCCCAGGCCCTGATGGAGATAAATGCTAATGGCGCCCACCACTCCCAGAATAGCAAGTGTCAGTCTGGCCTCCAGGAAGTGACAACCCCTGGCCCCGCTGACTTAGCATTTCTGATGAGGAGCTGGGGGACAATAGTCCCCTTGGAGGAGACCCTCCCCTTGCCTTTCAGTGAGGATCTGTCTGTCCCTCAGCAGCATCCCCCATCCTGGTATCCCTAGACAAAGGCTTTATTTCTTAACAAATGAATTTGCAATAAAAACGGAAGACGAATCTGTAGAGAAGGAGATGTCTTCAGCCTGGCGGCCGCTCTGAGCTCTGAGGCCACCGAGGCCACTGTCAGGGAGGCCTGGGAAATGAGCCACAGAGAGAATCCCAGGCTTGGCTGGGTCACAAAAGAGGGGCTTAGCTTGGGGTGGGAGAGGATGGGGTCTTGGCAGAGTGGGGGAGGGGAAAAGGCAGACCTCCGTGGGCCCAGCAGTCCCATTAGCCAGAGTCTTCCAGAACACACTCAACAATGATGCCCAAGGGGTGATCGGCAGGCGTGAAATCTGGACATGCTGGGGGTGACAGGCAGAACTACGGGATGAGTTCCTCCCACCAGGTAAGAGAAGAGCACCTACGGCTCTCTGCAGTCACCCAAGGCTTCTACATGAAGGCAACCCCCCAGCAGTCTTCATCAGTGCTTGACAAGGTCAACATAAATACAGAAACTTGTTTGAACTTCAGTTCAAGATGGCATCTCTTTGCTGCAGAGGGGTCACCCTAACCAGTTGTCCTAATCTAATTCAGTGCACCCAGAGCCCGACAGTGGTTGGAAGATGGTAGAGGGCTCACACCTCCGGCCCCATCGCGGGCAGGTCCCAGCCCCATGGCCAAGTGTCTTACCTCAGGCTCTCCGACTCCTTCAGAAGCTCCACCTTGGCCCCCAGGATGGATGTCACCTGGAAGTCTTGGAGCTGAAGCGGAAAGCACCATGAGTGAGTGACCTCTCCTGTGATACCCCAGGACCTCACCAGCACCCCATCCACAGAGCAGTTCTAGGGCCCAGGATGATATATGAATCCATGTTGGGGGCAAGGCAGAGAGACCCCTCCCTTGACCAGGTACAAAGCCTGGGTGGTGAAGGCTGAAATTCTCACTGAAATAGTCAAGTACCTACAGCCCCCTGCTAAAGGTTTGGAAAGTTCTCATTTTGCCCAAAAAGACACTGGAAGTGTGGTTGAGAGATTCATGGGACTATACAGTACCAACAAAAATGTGTTACATCATAGAGCAGACAAAGGCTTTGCCCACGATGAAGACTTGGATATACCAGTGTCACCACAGGGCGTGTGTGTGTGTGGTGGTGGTGGTGGGGGGAGGGGGTTGCAAAACAAGGTACACTTTCTAAAAATGGAAAATATCCTCCCTAAAATAACTGATTTCACTGTTTAAATTTAACAGAGCCAGTCATGATGGCTCACACTTGCAATCCCAGCACTTCGGGAGGCTGAGTTGGGTGAATCACCTGAGGTCAGGAGTTCGAGACCAGCCTGGCCAACATGGTGAAACCCCATCTCTACTAAAAACACAAAAATTAGCTGTGTGTGCTAGCAGGCACCTATAATCCCAACAACTCAGGAGGCTGAGGCAGGAGAATCGCTTGAGCTGGGGAGGTGGTGGGTGCAGTGAGCCAAGATCATGCCACTGCACTCCAGAAAAAAAAGAAAACGAAAAAAAAATGTAATACATTTTGGCCGGGTGCAGTGGCTCACACCTGTAATCCCAGCACTTTGGGAGGGCAAGACAGGCAGATCACTTCAGTTCAGGACTTCAAGACCAGCCTGGCCAACATGGTGGAACCCCATCTCTATTTTTTAAAATAAATGAAAAATTATTTTTTAAAGGATGAAGTTCTGCTACATCCTACAATGGAGAGGAATCTTGAAAATGTTATGTTAAAGTGAAAGAAGCCAGACACAAAAAGTCACATATTATGTGATTCCACTTATATGAGGTACCTAAAAACAGGCAAGTTCATACAGACAGAAAGCAGAATAGAGGTGACCAGAGTCTGCAGGGCAGGAATTGGAAGTTACTGTTCAGTCTGTACAGAGCTTCTGTTTAGGATGAAGTTCCAGAGATGGAGGGTGGTGATGGTTGTACAACGATGTGACAGTACTTAATGCCACTGAATTACAGACTTAAGATGGTTGAAATAGTGTAGCCCATATTATATTTTAATCACAGTTTAAAAAAATAAAAATAAACCAGACACAAAGGAAAACATCCTGTACAATTCCATTAGAGAGAAGTTCAAAGACAGGCAAAACTCATCTACGGTGATAGAAATAAAAAAGGCAGGCTGGGCACAGTGGCTCATGCCTCTAATCCCAGCACTTTGGGAGGCCGAGGCGGGCAGATCACTTGAGGTCAGGAGTTTAAGACCAGCCTGGCCAACATGGTAAAATCCTGTCTCTACTAAAAGTACAAAAATTAGCCAGGCGTGGTAGTGCACACCACGCACCACCAGTAATCTCAGCTACTCAGGAGGCTGATGCAGGAGAATCGCTTGAACTGCAGAGGTGGAGGTTGTAGTGAGCTGAGACTGTGCTTCTGCACTCCAGACTGGGTGACAGAGCAAGACTCCATCTCAAAAAATGGAAAAAAAAAAAAGCTGTACCCTTGGGAGAAGTGACCAAGAGGAAGGATGAAGGAGGCTCTGGGGGTTATATTTTGTTTCTTGCTCTGGTGATCGTGACATAGGTGTTTGGTTTATGAAAATTCCTTGTTTTGAAGATTTGTGATTCCTCTCAAGGGTCCTCACTTGCCAAATATAAGATTTCTCAGAAAACTCTTCTGTTGATTACAAGGGGCCAGAAAATTTCCATTTTCCCCTAGAATCTTTGAAATACACCAGTTCTTTATACTCTTGCCAACATTTGACATTGGTAGCTCTTCTTTTGAGATAGAGTTTTGCTCTCATTGCCCATGCTGGAGTGCAATGGCACGATCTTGGCTCACCACAAGCTCCGCCTCCTAGGTTCAATTGATTCTCCTGCCTCAGCCTCCCTAGTAGCCGGGATTACAGGCATGGGCCACCAGACCCAGCTAATGTTGTATTTTTAGTAGAGATGGGGTTTCTCCATGCTGGTCAGGCTAGTCTCGAACTCCTGACCTCAGGTGATCCACCCACCTCGGCCTCCCAAAGTGCTGGGATTTATAGGCATGAGCCACCGCACCAGCTGGCAGCTTTTCTTAAATGCTGAAAGCAAACAAATGAATAAAACCGCAACAGAACACAATTTGCTTTGTGAAAACCGGCCCTGCAGATAAAAACAACCACAAGTGTTTTGAAGGGTGTGAAAGGATAGCAAAGACTAATAAAGCAGCAGCTCTGACATACTGGACACCCTAAGAATTCAGAGGCAGCTCAGGGCCACTCCATCAAAGATCTCATTCTGTGGTCTACACAAAAATACAACAAAACCGTTTTGAGAAACTCTTGTTAGCAAGCGCTCCAGTCAGTACAGAAATGCGTCACAATACGAGATGAGACTCCAACAGAAACTAAAAGGCCTTTTATGTGGGTTAAGAGGGTTTATCCAGGAAAAATATGACGGTTACCAGAAATGGGACAGAGGCAAATGAGCAAGCACTTCAGCTTGCAGGAACGTTGAGGAGCTTCCAGAAAATCTTAATGAAAAGAAATCTGCAACGACTAAGTGGGCCTAGCACATAATTCTGCCTTAACTCAGGACTAACACCACTGGACCATAGTGTTTGCCTGTAACCTGAGCCTGTGGACCCAGGTACTACAAGGCTAGTGTCCAGTAGAAAACAGGCCAGGGCAGGCTTTCCTGGGAGTAGACTTCCACCCAGTCTATTCCTTTGTCCAAAGGCCTTTACTTGGTTTGACTTTGCATACCCTTGGACTTGCAGACATGGTTCTCAGTCCACCCCTAGGGCACAGTATGTCCCCCTTCTATGGCTCTTCTCACTCCGAGGAACTCCCCCAAACTGCCCTAAAAATATTCCTTCCTTCACCTCTGCTATTTCCCCATTGGGCCCTCTGTGGCACCTCTTACAACCAAAATTGCACCATTTTCCCACATTCCTCTCAAGGGTCCTCACTAGCCAAATATAAGATTCCTCAGAAAGCTCCTCTGTTGATTAAGCAAATTGGAAATCGGAGGTGAGGGGCTGTGGCTTCCTCTTAGTCCTCCCCAGTGTCAACATAATAATCTCCCGGTTGCCCAAAGACACTCACCCATAAAGCCATCTGACACGGGCCAAGCACATCAAGGACAGCCAAGCCTTGGAGGCCAAGACCACTCTCCTCCACCGGGACCTCCTGCAGGCTGGTGCTGGTGTTGGTGGAAAAGTGATAGGTGTATCTGGTGCCCACAGGGAGGTGGGGCCCAGCTGACCCTGGAGGGCAGAGAGAGAACCTTGAGAATCTGCAGCCCTCTGGGATCCCTACTCCACCCACGGGCATCCTTGCTCACACCTCTCTCTCCATCTGGGCTCTGAGCTGCCTGTCCCCAGCTTGGGGAAAGGTTGGGTAGCTGCATACCCTCTTAAGGGTGAAAAAGAAAATAAAGATAATAACAGTAAGTGCTCAATAAGTGCTGGCCAGTGTCATCATGGGCTAGGCCTTCTTCTAATATCAAGGTTTCTCTGCCTGGGTGCTATTAATAGTTGGGGCCAGAGAATTCTATTTGTGAGGGCTGTCCTGTGTGTTGTCAGGAAATTTAGCAGCATCCCTGACCTTTACCCACGAGATGCCAGTAACACAGGCCAGTTGTGACAATGAAAAATGTCCCCAGACTTTGCAAAATGTCCCCAGGGGAGGGAGGACGACAATCACCCCAGTTGAGAAGCATCCATCTACAGTAATTCATTTAAGCCTCATAACCAACTCTGAGGTGAATACTCTATTTTCTCCATTTTACAGAGGAAGAAACTGAGGCTCAGACAGGTTAACTAACTTACACAAGGTCACACAGCTGAGATTCTACCCTTGGGAGTCTGACTACTCACCTATCACCTTGATAGATATCAAGTGGGGCTGGGGGTGGTGGGGGACGGTGTGGGGGAGAAGGTGGTGGTGGTTGTTATCCTGTCTTTATAGAAGACAAAGCTGTAAAGCTACCCAGCCTTGGGGGAATCTAGGGGTGAGGAGAGTAACTGCTCTGGGGAAGAGCTGATTTAGGGAACAGAGAGGTCTGTAATTCTCGAGCCAAATCTCTAACTTTCTATTGAGGCCAGGGGATCAAGTGTGACATCTAATTATAACATCTTACCCCTCCCCATGGCTTGTGATTGAACTGACATTTTCATGTCAATTTCCTTGAGACAGAACCACACCACATATTCCTAAGATGCTTCTCTCTTTCCAAAGAATTTGTTCCCAAGGCTTTTTCATCTGCTCCACTCCAAAATGCAAATGGCATCACCTGACCAAAGACATTTATTCCACCTGGGGCCCACGGGTATGAGGAAAAAACCTTGGGGGCTGGGATGGCTTAAGGCATTTTACTCTCAGCTTGCTATTCATTTCTCTAACTCTGTGGGTGGCCATTGCAGAACTGGCCTTGGTCCTCCCAACTGCTATCTTTGGGAACATAGCCAGGGCCCTCTGGGGCTGTCTCTAATCCCATCTTACAGCTTCACCCCCATCAGGCCCTGTACTGGGCTCAGGCTCCTGGTCATGAGAGGTGTGATCAGGTGTCCTGAGAGAATCACTCACCTGTGCACGCAGTCATGCAGGAGGCCGCCTGCCCCACCTGCGAATCTGGAATTTCTGAAATCACAAATCAGATGGCACCTGAGTGAGGCCAGAAAGAGGCATAGGATAGCCCCACGCTATGGGTCACTGACCTTACTCCGGGAAGAAGATGAGAAGTGATAATGCCAGCTCTCCCCAGACTTTGTGAAATGTCCTCAGGGGAGGGAGGGCCACGAAGACTGGAAGCCATTTCCCTACCCTTTGTCCAATTTGCTCTTGCCCATCTTGGGTACTGGCACCATTATCCCTGATAGCTCAAGCTGGCAATCGTTCGTGTGGAAGCACCCCTCATCACCCACCACCTGATTCCAATATGTCAGCAGGCTCTGCCAATTCCATCAACAAATGCAGCTCTCCATTCCTCCCATCCATCAGTCCATCTACCCATCCCCGCTCCCATCCACCCACCCACCAGCTCCCTGCTCCGATCCATCCATCCAGCCAGCCACCCCCATCCCCACTCCCATCCATCCACCCACCCGCTCCCCTCTCCTATCCATCCATCTACCCACTCCCCATACCACTCCTATACACCCACCCCCCAACCCCCCTTCCTATCCATCCATTCACCCACTCACCCACTCCCCCATCCATCCTCCCGCCCACCACCCCTTCCTATCCATCCACCCACCCACTGACCCACTCCCCCTCCTATCCATCCATCCACCCACCCACTCCCCCTATCCATCCACCTGCCTACCACCCCCCTCCTATCCATCCATCCACCCACCGCTCCCTCCTATCCATCTATCCACCCACTCACCCACTCCCCCTCCTATCCATCCATCTACCCACCCCCCAGTCCCCTCCTATGCACCCACCCACCCCATCCATCCATTTACCCACTCCCCATCCTATCCACCCATCCACCCATCACTCCCACTTCCTATCCATCCATCCACCCACCCACCACTCCCACCTCCTATCTACCCATCCACCCATCACTCCCACATCTCCTATCCATCCATCCACCCCCCCAACCCCCATCCATCCATCCATCCACCTACCCACTACCCTCTCCTATCCATCTATCCACCCGCCCACTCCCCCCTGCTATCCATCCATGCACCCACTCATCCACTCTCGCTCCTATCTATCCATCCACTCACCCACCCTCTCTTCTCTCCTATTCATCCAAGTAACTTTCCCAGGCACACACAGCTGGTTAACAGTGGAGCCTTGGAATTTGAACCCAGGCACTCTGGCTCCAGACTCCCCAGCCATACCCTCATCCTGAATGAATCAGAGAGTAAGTGAGCAAATGAGTAATGAATGGAACACCAGCAAGACCAAGAGGCTGCTGCAGGAAATAGCAGGAGCTGGTGTTCCTTCCTGTTGAGTGTCTCCTTTCTCCCACCATTGAAGGGGCAGAGAACAACCAGGACATGAGCAGACGTGGTGAGGTGGTCCCTCGGCCCCTAGCTCAGACTACCGAGGAAACTGCCAGGGATTCCCAGAACTCCCTCCCTGGGAAGGCCAGCACCCCTTCCTCCCTCCCTCCCGCCATCCAGCCGTTCCATTTCCACCTACTTTCAAGCCTTGTTTCCCCTTCCCACCAGCCGCTTGTGGGATCTTTCCCAGGCACCACCCATGCCCTCCTGTGCCTTAATCAGGCGTTTATCTGCAGCCGTGTCTGTAGGATGGCATTTCAATAATACCACTTCCATCCTCAAAACCACTCCATTGCACCTCGACTGGTCATTGCTACACATGCTGACCTGTTTAATCCCTCAAAAAACAAATTGTGGCTCGGGGCAGCGGCTCATGTCTGTAATCCCAGTACGTTGGGAAGCCGAGGTGGGTAGAGGGCTTGAGCTCAGGAGTGCGAGACCAGCCTGGCCAGCATAGCGAAATCCTCTCTCTACAAAAAAATACAAAAATTAGCCGGGTGTGGTGGCACACACCTGTGGTCCCATCTACTCAAGAGGCTGAGGTGGGAGAATGGCTTGATCCGACAGGTGGAGGCTGCAGTGAGCCGAGATTGCACCACTGTACTCCAGCCTGGGTAGCAGAGTAAGACCTTGTCACAAAAAAAAAAAAAAAAAAAAAAGAGGAAAAACAAATTGTTTCTCCAAAATGGGGACGGTTGGGGGTGGGGGTGCGTTATATAGTATTTTATTTTGACCCTTTGAAACAATAGGACATGGTAGGCTTTCTGGCAGGGTTTTTTTCCCCCTAAATATTTTGGCACATTAAACAAAACCTTCTTTGCATTCAAGTAGAGTATCAACAGATAAAACCACATTTGAAAGACATTCAACCCAATCAATTTCCCTTCCAACTTTCCTTCAACTCTTTGATCACTTGGACACTGGGCACCCAATTAAACATATGTGTGCATAATCATTACGTTCTCCATTGTGCACAAGCCCAGCATTCTGCTTGTTTGCTCTACAGACAATCCCTACATCTGCTTTACTGCTCGATTAGGCTACAAAGCAGCCTGGCCCACCAGTCTCCATCCACCATGACCCGTAGAAGTGAGCGGAGCTCTGAGAGCATTGTGCCTTTATTAAGCCTGTACCCCTTCCATTTCCTGAGCACTTAAAGACATTTAAAATATTTTTTAAATTTCAGAAAAATGAAGTTCATGCCATGATAAATTCATAACAGATTAACCAAGGATGGGAAAACGCTGCATACTGGAGGTAATAAATTCTTCAATAAGATCCTATGCACTTCTAGGAAGAGATCTGAAATGGACTGAAATCAACGTCATCTCTAGCCAGCAAATGAAATCGAGTCCCATTTCAGCTTTCTCGGCTGTCAATTCTGATCAGTGTGCATTCTTTTATGAAACCAGCACAATATACCGAGTACCTATGGCATGCCAGGCAATGTTATATGCTGAAATAAAAGCCCAAATATCAAAACAATTACATCATTTACAACAACTAAAAGACCCCACAATCTGGCCTGCGCTGTCCAGTATGTGGCTATAAAGAATCCGAAATGTTACTAGTTACAGAGAAACTTTTCATTTAACTTTACTTAAACAAAAAACCAATACTCCATTCACTTATTAGAAGACTTTCAGCTGGGTACAGTGGCTCATGCCTGTAATCCCAGTACTTTGGGAGGATTGCTTGAGTTTGAGACTAGCCTGGGCAACATGGTGAAACCCTGTCTCTACAAAAAACTTTTTTTAAAAAAGAAAACTTTCAAATATGTTTCAAACAACTTAGCACAGTAGCTAAACCTACTTTCTCAACGCTGTTTTAAGAAATCTAAAGATAGATCAAGTATTTGCTATGAAAATTTAGCATCCAAATTGAAATGTCATAAGTATAAAATATATATTGAATGTTGAATGGGAAATGTATCTCATTAATACTTTCTATTGATTACGTTTTCTAATTATATATTGGATATATTGGGTTAAGCAAAATATGTTATTAATTTCACCTGCCTTTTTAAAAATTTGTATGTGTGGGTTCTAGGAAAATTAAGATTACTTGCTTTTTGTTGTTGTGGTCGAGACAAGGTCTCACTCTGTCGCCCAGGCTGGAGTGCAGTGGTGTGATCTCGGCTCACTGCAGCCTCGACCTCCTAGGCTCAAGCTCAGTAGGCCCAGAAGGCAACATTTTCTCACTCAGGGCTTCAGATCTGGTCTCTGCAGCCCCTCAACCCCTGCCCTGTCTGAGTTTCCAGAGGATGCTGGTGGAGCATGTGAGGGAGAGCTGAGGATTCACCTGTCATCTCTCGCTCCTCTTCCCCATGAAAAGCTAAACAGAAGGTGACAGTGGAAGGGCAGGTCAACAGGCATCTGGCTACAAAAGCACAGTCCCAGGCGCGTCTGGGCTGCCCCTCGCTTCACTCCAGACAGGACCAGGAACATGCAGCAGTTTTACTTACCCTCTGCAGTCACTGCCATCAGCAGCCAGAATAGGACCAGACCGAGGAGCCCCATGGGGTCCAGCCTCACTCTCTGGGTCAGCCCCGTGCCACCAGCCTCAGGCTCCAGAGCAGCTCAGTGTGGTCCTGAAATGAATCTTTTTCCCCGAAGAGGAGAGCTCAGCTTTAACCCACTCTCCCAGCCCAGGGGAGTAAAGGGGGAGTGGGGGGGCATTCAGAACAGAGATCCAGCCAATCGGAAGCCTCAATAAAGATATTAGCACCCTACCCGACAGAGAGGAGGGGAGGGGGCTCCTGACCAATGAGGGGAAAAAAAGCCTAGGGGGGAAAAAAAAAGGAGCTTGCCTACTCTTCTAGCCTTGTAAACAGAGATCTGGGGGCAGAAGGCAACACGGTATAGTGGTTGTTTCTTTTTAATTGCAGTATAATTATATTTTAAAAACATAAAATTGACCATTTTAAGCATTTCATTGATTTTAAAAGACAGGGCCTCAGCTGGGCATGGTGGCTCACGCTTGTAATCCCAGCACTTTGGGAGGTCAAGGCGAGCAGATCACAAGGTCAGGAGTTTGAGGCCAGCCTGGCCAACACAGTGAGACCCCTATCTCTACTAAAAATTAAAAAATTATCTGGGCATGGTGGCGGGTGCCTGTAATCCCAGCTACTTGGGAGGCTGAGGCAGGAGATTCGCTTGAACCTGGGAGGAGGAGGTAGAAGTGAGCCAAGATCGCGCCACTGCACTCCAGCCTGGGGGACAGAGCTAGATTCTGTCTCAACAAACAACAACAACAAAGTCTCAATCCATCACCAAGGTTGGAGTAGTGTTGCAGTCATGGCTCACTGCAGCCTCCATCTCCCAGGCTCAAGCAATCCTCTTGCCTTAGCCTCCCAAGTAGCTGCGACTACAGGCACTGTGCCACCACGCCCACCTAATTCTTGTTTTTTTTTTTTTTTTTGTAGAGACAGTTTCACTATGTTGCCTCAGCTGGTCTTAAACTCCTGGGCTCAAGTGATCCACCCACCTCAGCCTCCCAAAGTGCTAGATTACAGGCATGAGCCATAGCACCCGGCCCATTTTAACCACTTTATTCAGTTTAGTGGCATTGTGTCCACTCATGACATTGTGCAACCATCACTACTGTCTAGTTGTGTAGTCTGATGTTGGGTTTTTCCTTCCCAGTGCTCAGGTTAGGAAAAGCCAGTGGGAGGCCTGGCTTAGCAAGGCCTTTGGAAACGGCTCTTACCACAGCAGCAGTGGGTTTTTCAAAGCTCCAGGTTCAAGGCCTCCCAAGAGGACAGGGAAGTAATTCGGAAGGCCAAGGGCCTGCTCACACCTGCTCAGCGTTCATTCTAGGTCCCACATCTCTGCCTCTCTCCCTCAAACTCACCTCCACCCACACCTTTTGGGTTTCAAGGTGTGGTGGTTTGTTTTTTTTTTTTTTTTAAAGACGGGATCTCACTCTGTTGCCCACACTGAAGGGCAGTGGTGTGATCACAGCTCACTGCAGCCTCAACCTCCTGGGATCAAGTGATCCTCCCACCACAGCCTCCCAAGTAGCTGGGTCTACAGGCACATGCCACCACATTTCTCTCAATTATCCCATTTAAAGCACAAAACTCAGCCAGTGTGGTGGCTCACGCCTCACTTTGGGAGGCCGAGGTGGACGGATCACCGGAGGCCAGCCTAGCCAATGTGGTGAAAACCCATCTCTACTAAAAGTACAAAAAATTAGCTGGGCTTGGTGGTGGGCGCCTATAATCCCAGCTACTCAGGAGGTTGAGGCAGGAGAATTGCTTGAACCTGGGAAGTGGAGGTTGCAGTGAGCCGAGACTGGGCCACTTCACTCCAGCTTGGGCGACAGAGTGAGACTCCATCTCCATCTCAAAAAATAAGTAATTAAATTAAAATGAAGCATACAACTCAATGTTTTTTAAGATAGTCATGGAGTTTGGCAATCATTACCACAACCAATTTCATAATATCCTCACTGCAAACAGAAATCCCATACCTAGTAAACAATCACTTCTGGTGCCTCTGACCCTAGTCCTTGGCCACCACTGATCTGCTTTCTGTCTTTATGGATGTGCCTATTCTGGACATTTCACACAAATGGAATGGTTCAGTAGATGGCTTTTTCGTCTGGCTTCTTTCACTCAGCATGATGGTTTTGGGGCTCAGCCACGTGCACTGAAAGGATAGACCACTTTCTGTATAGCCATTTATCTCTTGATGGACAGTTAAATGTACTTTTAATAGAATTTTCTTAGAGTCAAATTAAGACACAGTTGACTGGTTGGCACACCATGTTTTATGAAAACTTAATCATTTATGCTTTTAGACTTGGCCCATTTTCTTTTCATATTTTGAAATCAACGATTCTACTTCCCTTTCCCCAAGCTCAAGCATTTTCCTTTTTTTTGTTTTTGAGATGGAGTTTTGCTCTTGTTGCCCAGGCTGGAGTGCAATGGCACAACCTCGGCTCACTGCAACCACCACCTCCCGAGTTCAAAGCGGTTCTCCTGCCTCTGCCTCCCAAGTAGCTGGGACTACAGGCATGTGCCACCATGCCCGGCTAATTTTTTGTATTTTTAATAGAGACAGGGTCACTATGTTGGCCAGGCTGGTCTCGAACTCCTGGCCTCAGGTGATCCACCCTCCTCGGCCTCCCAAAGTGCTGGGATTACAGGCATGAGCCACTGCACCTGGCCCCCAGCTCAAGCGTTTTCTCTAGCAGGGTTCAGGAGCCCTGACCCATAGGGATAAAGACCTAAAAGACCCTTCAGTTCACAGCTGCTTGGGGACTGTGATGAGTTCTGGTGTGGCTGCTAAATGCTGTGAGGAAAAGCATCTTGGGGGCTGCTCACTTGGAGGAGCCAGTGGGGAAATGAGATACACAGGCAGAAGATTTTCAGCACATCACAGACAGACCTCACTCAGAGAAAGCAACAGTTATTGTGGTAGGAAATCGTGGAGGCAGTTTACAAAGGAGATATTTCCTTGGATCTCAAAGAATAGATGGCATTGTTGTTAGGAAACTATCAGGTACTAGGCAAAGCATTCCCTGTATATTGACTCATTCAATCAATTCCTCCTGCAAAATCCCTGCAAGGTGAACGAGGTCACCCCATGGTACAGATGAGGAAACAGAGACACAGAGAGGTTAAGACACTTGCCTTAAGTCACACAGCTCAGGAGGATTTTAATCCCATCTGGCTCCCAAAGGCCCTGCTCTGTTAGCTCTGGCAACTTTAGTCAGAGACTCAAGTCGCTGACCACAGGCCTGAATTCCTCCCCAGTTCAAAGCCAGGAGCCCTTGCAACCCTCAATGCGATGGTTTCTCATCAATGCAGCAACATCAATCGCAGGGGGTACTGGCTACAAACGCAGATTCCCAGGTCCATTCCAGGACAGGACAATCAGACTCCCTAGGGTGGCGCTCTCCCTCCAGGCCATTCTGGTGACCAGCTGGGTTTGCATTGCCCCAGCCTACCCGAGTCTGCCTGGGAAGGGTCCCTGTACCTCTGGCCTTACTTTGTGTCTACATTGTCACAGGCCCAAAACCCAGAGTGTGGGGACACAGGACTCGATTCACAAAGACTCAGACCCTCCTATACAAGCCACCCACCATAGATCCAGCCTCTCACCTCCTGCTCCTCTCACCAAAGAGTTGTGCTTCTACCTGGAGGGAATTTACGGGGTTGGGATTGGGTTTGGGTTTGCCAGTGACTGGGAATCGAGGTTCCAGTCAGTGTGAGTTCAGCTGCAGTACTGATTGAAGCCCATCAGGCTCAGGTCAGAGTCACCAGAGTTCAGAAGCCCTTTCGGTGGGCGCAGTGGCTCACGCCTTTACTCCCAGCACTTTGGGAGGCTGAGGTAGAAGGATTGTTTGAGCCCGAGTTCGAGACCAGCCTGAGGAACACAGGGAGACCTTGTCTCTACAAAAATAAAAGCTGGGTGTGGTGGTGCACACCTGTAGTCCCAACTACTCAGGAGGCTGAGGCAGGAGGATTTCTTGAGCCCAGGAGGCTGAAGCTGCAGTGAGCTGTGATCATACCACTGCACTGCAGCCTGGGTGACAGAGCAAGACTGTTTCCAAAAAAAAAATGGCAGCCTTTTCATTTGTGTATTAGCTTGTTCTCATACTGCTATAAAGAAATACCTGAGACTGGGTAGTTTACAAAGAAAAAAGAGGGTTAATTGGTTCACAGTTCAGGAAGCGCGGTACCATCTGCCTCTAGGGAGGCCTCAGGGAGCTTTCACGCATGGCAGAGGGCAAAGCTGGAACAGGCGTCTTACACGGCAGGTGTGGGACCAAGAGAGAGGCATGGCGGAGGTGCCATAAACAACCAGATCCCTCTGCTCCATTAACCCCTCCCTTTCCCTTAAACAACCAGATCCCTCTGCTCTGCCTATTAATCCCTCCCTTTCCCTTAAACAGCAGATCCCTCTGCTCTGCCCTATTAATCCCTCCCTTCCCTTAAGCAACCCAGATCCCTCTGCTCTGCTATTGTCCCTCTTTTTCCTTAAACAGCCAGATCCCTCTGTCTGCCCAATTAATTAATTAATCCCTCCCTTTCCCTCCCTTTCCCTTAAACAGCCAGATCCCTCTGCTCTGCCAATTAATTAATTAATCCCTCCCTTTCCCTTACCAACCCCACCCCACCAACCGCAAAACCACTGATATTTTTACTGTCTCCAGTTTCACCTTTTCCAGAATGTCCCAGAGTTGGAATCCTACAGTGTTTCTTCAATTCTTTTCAGAATGAAGAAGTTTTTGTTTTTGTTTTTTTGAGACAGGATCTCACCCTGTCACCCAGGCTGCAATACAACTTCCACCTCCTGAGTTCAGGCGATTCTTCTGCCTCAACCTCCCAAGTAGCTGGGATTACAGGTGCCCGCCACCATGCACGGCTAATTTTTGTATTTTTAGTAGAGATGGGGTTTCACCATGTTGGCCAGGCTGGTCTCGAACTCCTAACCTCAAGTGATTCACCAGCCTCAGCCTTCCAAAGTGCTGGGATTATAGGTCTGAGCCACCACACCCTGCCTGAAGAAGCTTTCTTTTTAAACCACCAAAAGATATTTTCCAGAGCTAGGGTAAGCAGGTGAGAGAGCCATGGATACCTCATGGTAGAGAAGTAACCAGCAGGGGGCAGTGAGCTCCTCTTGCCTTGCCTTCATGAAGCACTTACTACTGCCGCCTTATGAACAAGAGGCCGGGCTAGGTGGCTCACGCCTGTAATCCCAGCACTTTGGGAGGCTGAGGCAAGCGCATCACTTGAGGTCAACTGTTTGAGACCAGCCTGGCCAACATGGTGAAACCCCGTCTCTACCAAAAAACACAAAAATTAGCCAGGTGTTGGTGACACACGCCTATAATCCCAGCTACTCGGGAGGTTGAGGCAGAAGA